TAATATATCACCGATATCTAGGCTCAAAATGAAGTAATCTTACTGAAAATTTCAGCCTATTCTCTTTTCATTATTTATTTTTTTTTTTAACTATTATAGCTCTTTATCTAATCATACCTAATGCCCCTTTAATTAATGCATTCGTGACAATAGTACAACTAACTATAAGAATAATTGTAGAATAATTTACCAACGATACACTCTTACCCATAACATTATTTTACAAAGATTCTCAAATAGTATTAACCACTTATATAACTCAACAAAATAAGATTAATTAAAAATGTATCCATCGAGGCCAATCAAGTAAAAAATAAAGACCTCAAAAAAGGTCACCAATTTTCAATGTTGTTAAAAAGGGGCACAAATTCTTTGATTGAGGCTCAAAACATAACAGAATGAAATATATCTAATTATGTACTACAAAGAATTGTAACTACCAGAAGTAAAATTATTTATAATGAAATGCTGTCCATAAAACACTCCGTTTCATATCTTTGTATCAGAGCTTTCACTTTAAAAAAAATTTGGCAGTCAACTTTCGAGGTTTGTTTACCTCAAGATATATTATTTTCAAAGAATATCCCAATTTACGTAAAAGTTACTTTTCTACACATAAAACTATAAATGGAACTAGGTTTCTTATTTCAAGATTAATTTCCTCTAAATTCGTATGTCATGGCATGTAAAATGACTGACAGATCAGTTCTTCAGTCAATTTCACTGACAGATATGACTGAAACAAACACCCTGGTTTGATTAATTGTAATTGGAGAGGTATTCATTAATAACCTTGTGTTTATCATCTATTTCTTAAACCTTAAGGTCTTTTTCATGGTAATATTCTTTGAAATTCGAATGTTATGACACTTAAATAATCCGATAGCCAAGTTCTACAACCAGTCACGATTGACAAATATGACTAACTCGGTGAAAATAATTCCAAAAAAAATACGCCCAGATGAAAACACAGGCATATAAAAATTATGTCTTTGAAATTCTTATGTTATGAAACTTAAATTATCTAATAGCCAAGTTCTAGAACCATAATAAGTTCTACAATAATTCCAGAAAAAATATGCCAAGATGAAAATGTAGGCATATACAAATTACAAATCTGCAGGTCATTTTGTCTTTGAAATTAAAAGTCGTAAATTACAAGATGGTGTTTGGATTGTACCCTGACGATAGGACAACAGATTTATACAATACTAACTATATATAATCGTACAACAATAATCTACAATAGATCTTATAGTTAAAAAATACTTCTCTCTTCACAAGTCAACAATTTATCGAAAAAAAATAAATCAAATTGATTTAGTTGATTAAGTTCATTATTAATTCTATCCAAAAACAAATACAATTAGATTCAGTACAATTTTAAAACTAAGCTATTCTTTACAAAACTAGTACTTATACTCATAAATAAAGAAAAGGGCTTTCCTTTATATTACGCCAACCCGCCATTAGGAGGCATACCAATCGGACCAAGATCGGGATTGTTCTTCAAGAAGAATTTCTCCAACTTGGCGAGAATGTGTTTACCGTAAGTGTATTTACGGAGTGTGGCAATGTGAGGGCGGATCTTGTGCATCAAAATCTTGCGTTGAGGTGGTTCAGCAACATCGATCATCTTCTGTACTACGTAATTGGCAAATTGATCTTTCATCATTGTATATAGAGAACTGTGATGTCTGAAAAACATGAAGGGCCAACTTGTTACAGGTTTACACTCCCCATTCTTAACAATAGAAACGAAATTTAACATCATACATTCTACACCAACAGGGCTAATGTAGAAAAGCAGTGTGCTATGAGAGAGAAATGGGGTTTAAAGGACAATATTGGTGCCAGTCATTATCACATGTGATAGAACTGGTTAAACACGTTCCAAATATTATTTTATCATTTTATCGCAGAGATCATTGCTACGATAGATGAGTAATCAATGTTTCAACAATAGGAAGTGACGAACGCAAAAGGAAAACACTGTTATCCCTCTATAAAACTGGCTGAAGTGACGGGTGATAACAGATACATGGGCGAATTTCTGCTCACTAAAAATTCCTTCGAAGATCAAAAGTTGTTATATGAGACTGTAAGAGTATATCTGACAATTCAAAAAAGTAATTGAATGTCATCAGATAAGAGAACACGAGAAAAATAGAAACGAGAAAAATAGAAACAGTCCGTACATTCACAGGTGTTTATTCATTCTATACTTATAAAAACATGGTAATGCACAGACTTTTTCTGTTTTTCTTTCATGTTCTCTTATCTAGTGGCAGTCAAATTTGTTTATGAATTGTCAGATATCCTTTCACAGTCCCATACAACAACTTTTGGTCTTCGAAGGAATTATTAGTGAGCAGAAATTCGCCCATGTATCTGTTATCACCCGTCACTTCAGCCAGTTTTATAGAGGGATAACTCGTGTTTTCCTTTTGCGTTCGTCACTTCCTATTGTTGAAACATTGATTACTCATCTATCGTAGCAATGATCTCTGTGAAAAAATATTTGGAACGTGTTACCAGTTCTATCACAGATGTGATAATGACTGGTACCAATATTGTCCTTTAACATCCACTCGACACAAACTAGGTCATTTTGGGACTAACATATGGTTTAAATTTATTTCAATAATTCGCTTGTGCGTAGGGGTCTTTAGCAGTGGGAGGAAACCGGAGGACCTGGAGAAAATCCACGAGGTTGGAGTGTGCTATGAATGGAAATGAAATGGGGTTTAACGTCCTACTCCGACTGGAGGAACATTTTGCTCGGGTAGCAGCAATATGGCCTACACTTATATTGAATTCCAACTGCCATGGGATCTTTTACGGGCATGTAAATGTGTACACAGGACCATGGTTTTTGGTTCTATCGAGCAACTAGACAGCTGTCCTTGCCAGGCCCTCCCGTCCTTCACCACTGACAAGGGGAAACCACACCAGAAAATCCTGATGCACTTTCTTGGCAAAAGCCAGGATCGGCTATCAGGGGAATTTTGCCCAGGCAGTGTCATTTCCGCCTTCTCTTCAAATTCTAACTTTCAAGATAAGTTTTTACATGCACACCAAAGGACTACACCACTAAACCTTTTTTTCATCCCATCCAAAGGACTAGACACTGTTCCTTGCCAGGCCCCTAGTCAATTACCACTGACAACAGGGGAAACCATGGCCAAAAATCCTGTGGAACTTACTCAAATAACACCGAGATCGAACCCCTGGACATAGCTAGCCAGTGCCTTACTGAACCGACTCATCTCCCAAACTGAAAGTTATGACGACAACACAATCTCGGACCACATCTAATATCTGGGACTTACAGATTACACCTATATCATTCAAGGAATTCAGTTGGTTTAGAAGATTCAGTAAATAAAAACAATCATGATATCCACTTACCCATCATTCATGGTACAAACTTCATCAATCAGTAGGGCTTTCTCTGCTCGTGACGAATGAGATACACATTTTTCTACCACATTGCTTCAAAACAAAATAAATCAGAAATGAGAGAGAGAAATGGGGTTTAACATCCACTCAACCCAAACTAGGTCATTTTGGGACTGACATTTTTCAATTTTTTTATTTCAATAATTGCTCGCGCGTAGGGGTCTTTAGCAGTGGGAGGAAACCGGAGGACCCGGAGAAAACCCACAAGGTTTAACAGGGAACCCTACACTCATCAAGTACAACCGGGGAATCAAAACCCCGCCAGTTGACTCAATGACAGACCTTATGATACAGCACGCACGTGCTAACCCTTCGGCCATCCATGGGATTTAACGTCCTACTATTCTGCTCCGACCGAGTTTCAGTGATATCCAAATTGATTATTATTATTATTATGAGTCTCACCTGGCAAATTTATGTTGACTTAGTAATAAAACTTTTCCTCGTATCATGTTGACAATACGAGATTTATCTTCTGGTCGTCCATGTTCTAGTACATGTTGTATAACGTAATTACCATACTGATCCTGTACCAATCTCTCAACTTGATCGTGTAGTTCATCTAATATAGGGGTTGTCTGTTCAGCCACACAATGTTCTAATATTCTCTGTATAACACGACATCCATATGGGTGGGTAGATAAAGTATACACCTGCAAATAACCCAAATATGTCTATGAATAAAGATGGCTTTATAATTAATTTTCTTCATTCAAATGATGAAATGAAATAATGTATAACGTCCTACTATTCTGCAACAACTGGACTTATGGAAACTGGCATATGCTATACAGTGTGTTATGAGGGAAATTTTGCACCGACTGCGGCGCTATGGCCAACTCTTTATTTTGAATTCCAATTAAGGATCTTTCACGTGCACGCAAATGTGTACATGGAACCTCAGTTTTCTGTCAAATCCGAAAGACTAGACAGCTGTCCTTGTCAGGCCCTCCGGTCCTGCACCACTGACAAGGGGGGAAACTACGCTGGAAAATCTTTGTCAACTTTCTCGCCCAACACCGGGACCAAACCCACAACTTCCAGGCTAGCGAGCCAGCGTCTAAAGTGGAGAGAGAGAGAGAAATGGGGTTTAACGTCCAATCAACACAAACTAGGTCATTTTGGGACAAACATATGGTTCAATTTTATTTACATAATTTGCCTGCGCGTAGGGGTCTTTAGCAGTGGGAGGAAACCGGAGGACCGGGAGAAAACCCACGAGGTTGGACAGGCAACCCCACTCCTTGCCACGTACAACTGGGGATTTGAAGCCACGCCAGTTGACTCAATGACAGACTTTGTGATACAGCGCGTGCATGCTAACCATTCAGCCATCCAACCCCCCCTGTCTAAAGTGGATAAAAGATGAATATAGGTATTTACCTGGCCTTTAAAAGCATCAATGATAAACTGTAGATGTTTAGGTTCAACACATTCAATACATTTCTGTACAACATGATTACCATTCTGATCTTTAACACACTTCAATACATGACCATCTAATTCCTTTAATATTTCTACCTATAAACATAAAATACATGGCCATCTAATACCTTTAATATTTCTACCTGTAAAAAAAAATATCTACCTGTAAACAGGTATTTAATTACAGCCTATTTCTAGTAGTGTAGAAATTTTCAGAAATGAAATCTGCACTAAATGGGCCAATATTGTGTCTTGCTTTGGTCTGCCATTTCCACAAACTCCCCAAATATTTTTAAGCCTTATTTTCTTCTGCGTTCTTGTCATTTGAAATATATTTGACAGTGTCTGCTAACCTCGGGGCCAACAAATGTTTTGTTTTAATGATTTATATTTGCCTCTTTAACAAACCGACATTAGATTCCAGAGCTTTCTGTATAAAGCCCGATGTCTATTTGCGTCTTACTCTGGAATATTGTATAAGGCCTGAATGTCTATTTGTGTCTTACTCTGGAATATTGTGTAAGACCTGAATGTCTATTACTCCAGAATATTGTGCAAGACCTTTAATACTGTACTTAAAGATTGAGTTTCTATATTAGCCTGTAACTCTTGCATATTTTAAACAGCCTTTAGTAATGTACGCAAAAACTGTTTACTTGAAATATACACATTGACTTTTATCGTCTGCTAGTTAACCCTCTGGGTGTGTATCACTGGACATGTGTACTGATGAGACAGGTCTTGATCTGCACATGTACTGCGGTACACACTGCAACCATTCTTTGTTTTATCTTCAGTGTGTGTTATATCATATGTCTCCATATACTTCATGTTTCTACTAAATGTAAATAAAGTATACTGAAGGTGGCTAGACTAATTTACTTTAAACATAACAAACCTGCATTTCTGCTGGTATTGATTCCAGAGCTTTCTGTATAACTCGACAACCATACATCTGCAAAGCTAAAGGCAACACATGACCTCGTACTCTCTGGGCAAGTGTGTTCTTCTGCTCGGGTGAACCAAACTCAAAGAACTTCTGTATGACATAGTTTCCAAATACATCGGTCATAAGACTATATGCGGCTGTTAATATTTCAGCAAAAACCATGGATTTCTCCTGTGTAGATGCTCGTTCTAATTTCTGCTGAATAAATCTGTAAATAAAATAACGCAAGGATTAAATGCAAATTTGATTCAAGAAAAAATAAATTTTGTTTTCATTTTTATGATTCTGTACATACAGAAATGATTAACTATTCCACACAAAAAAAAACAAGGAAAATACGGATAACGCTACTACTTTTTTTTTTTATTTTTTTTTTATAACCCTTTGGACAATGACACCCTGAACAATATTAGGCCTATATACTGGGCTCCCAGGGTTAATACATAATATTATGAACCCTTAGGACCCGAGCGACCGAAAACAGACTAGAATAATTTGGCTAGAGTACCGGGCAACTGGTATATCGGCCACCACAGGTACCTGTTTGTTACTGATTGGCCGAACAGGTACCTGTGGCAGTCGGTACATCAGCCGCTCGGTACTCTAGCCAAGGGGCATCCGGACTGGTCTTTCAGCCACTCGGGTCCAAAGGGTTAATAACAGAAATCATAAGGTTCAAATCCGAGAAATTTCTAATTAGCAAAATAGTATAACAACTATACCAGGTTGATGTTTGTATAATCCAAGAAAGAAATGATCGATAACCTGATCAGATTTGATTCTAAGGAATTTTAATATGATAATATGGATTCATTTAAACATAGATGCATCAAAAACTTGAGCACTTCACTTGAGAACTATGACAGATTGAAGTAAATGTGTATACCTTGAGCCATGCTGGTCCTGGGAAAATTCCACTACATGATTAGCTAGATCTTTCAGCTGTAAATTGGGGATACGATTATTACGAAAATCTTCTAGAAGACGACTTCGACCAGTTACCTCTTTTGACAGACTTGCACTGGAAAAAATAACATTCAGATTTATTGTTAATATATATTTAAAGTGGTAATGTTACCATGTATTATGCCATAATGTTAGGAAATATTTCTTAAACAGCTCAAATCATATAGGGTTTTAACTGTTCTGCATCATCAGGGCTAATGAACATGAGCATAACCCATGGCAGAGTGCTTGGTATAGCCCTTTATAAAACATTTGTTGTTTTAATGTGTCAAATAAATCAATAAGAAACTATGTGCAAAGTTTTGTTTCTGGACCAAAGATATTTCTCATGGACAGTAACTGAGAATGCTTTGTGACCTTGGGGCCAGGGGTTCAGTTTTTCCTGTCTAGAAACTTTTCTTAAGTCAGGCCATCCAACATGCACCACTGACAAGGAAAGACCAGGAAAGAAAATCATGAGGAAATCTATCCACGAACAATGATATGTCCTGGTTAGTTAAGTCGGCACCATACATCATACTGAGCCACAGTGGCTCCCAATACTTGTAAATGGAATGAGGCTTGGGATAATGAAGACAGGCATATGCCATGTGTATATGGGGCTTCGGTTTTTCATCCCATCAGAGTGACTATACATTGTGCTTTGCCATGCCCTCGGCCCTGCACCACTGACAAGGATGAACCATGTAGGAAAATACTGATGAACTTCTTTCTGTCAAAGCAAGGCTTGAACACGCGACCTTCAGGTTAGCGAGCCAACGTTGTACCCACCGAGCCACCTGGGCAGCCATACTTGTAAACAAACTGAGGTGTTCTTATTAAACAACCAACTTTATAATAAGGAAAGCTAATACCAACCTTCTGGAAGCCATGTTGCGATTTTGGAATAAAGATGAGTTACCAAAGAGACCATTTGCTGGAGACATCAGACCAGCACGATATTTAGCCTCTGCTCCAGGTGCAGCAGAATAAGGACGAGCTGCTCCAAAACCTACAAACAACCACAAATAAAATAATTTTGTTCAAAATACTTAAAATACCTTTTGTTCAAAATACTTAAAATAACTATGGTTCAAAATACTTAAAATAATTTTGGTTCAAAATACTTAAAATAATTTTGGTTCAAAATACTTAAAATAATTTTGGTTCAAAATACTTAAAATAATTTTCTTCAAAATACTTAATAATTTTTCTTCAAAAATACTTAAAATAACTTTTCTTCAAAATAATTTTGGTTCAAAATACTTAAAATAATTTTCTTCAAATACTCAAAATAATGAAAATACTTAAAATAATTTTCTTCAAAATAAAATGAAACAAGATTCAATGTCTTACTTTCCTGCACCAACCAAAGTAATGAAGATGGGCACGCAGTGTGCAAAGAAGGACATTTTGTTTCAAAAGAGTTATCTTTTCATGTGTTGCTAATGGTACACATCATCTAGACGCCTTCCCTTGCCAGGCTAAGTTAGTGAGCAGTTACAGCCTTTTGAATGCTTTAGCTCCGAGATAAGTTATGGTATCTTTAGGAAATCAAAATTTCTGCTTTCAGATGGTGTGAGATAGTGGGCATATTACCGAGTGTGAGATTTAAAATGGGTGTCTAACCTAGAGGGAGATCGAAGATGGGCATCTAATCTAGTGTGAGATTTAAAATGAGTGTCTAACCTAGAGGGAGATCGAAGATGGGCATCTAACCTAGTGTGAGATTTAAAATGGGTGTCTAACCTAGAGGGAGATCAAAGATGGGCATCTAATCTAGTGTGAGATTTAAAATGGGTGTCTAACCTAGAGGGAGATCGAAGATGGGCATCTAATCTAGTGTGAGATTTAAAATGGGTGTCTAACCTAGAGGGAGATCGAAGATGGGCATCTTATCTAGTGTGAGATTTAAAATGGGTGTCTAACCTAGAGGGAGATCGAAGATGGGCATCTAATCTAGTGTGAGATTTAAAATGGGTGTCTAACCTAGAGGGAGATCGAAGATGGGCATCTAATCTAGTGTGAGATTTAAAATGGGTGTCTAACCTAGAGGGAGATCGAAGATGGGCATGTAATCTAGCGTGAGATTTAAAATGGGTGTCTAACCTAGAGGGAGATCGAAGATGGGCATCTAACCTAGTGTGAGATCGAAGATGGGCATCTAACCTAGTGTGAGATTGACGATGGGCATCTAACCTAGTGTGAGATCGAAGATGGGCATCTAACCTAGTGCGAGATCGAAGATGGGCGTCTAACCTAGTGTGAGATCGAAGATGGGCATCTAACCTAGTGTGAGATCGAAGATGGGCGTCTAACCTAGTGTGAGATCGAAGATGGGCATCTAACCTAGTGGGAGCGAGTTTCTAGATAGATGTTGTACCTGGTGTGAGAATCAAGATGGACGTCACAACTAGTGTGAGATTCAAAATGACATCTAAAATACTAAGATTCAAGACGGACGACCTAACTAGAGGGATGTTTACCAAGTGCGAAATTCAAGATGGACATTGCACCTAGTGTAAGATTCAAGATGGATGTCTCACTTACCTAGTGTGAGATTCGAAGAGGAACCAGATAGTGAAGGAGGTGGTGTCATTGATTGACCAGGCTGTAAGAGTCCTCCATGACCAACAGGTGAACCTGCCATTCCTGATAATGAGCCATAATACCCTCCCAGTTGTCTTTTCACATCAAAGGATTCACGGCGTTGACCTGAAATATAATCTGCGGTGTTAAAATCTCGAAGCCCATTTCATTTTTTTTCGGAAAATACCTTATTTTGAACAGTTCACTCCAGCTAAAATGTAGTCAAAGTATTATTTAACATTTAATAAAAAAAAAAAAAAAAATGTCAATAGATAATCTACCAGCTATGATTCAATTGGATTAAAAAAAAGAGGCCCATCAAAGATTACAGATGGCTTTAGACCACAAGTTGACAAATACTGAGTAGACAACATTCATCATGCAGATTACTACAAAGATATCAAGCTTCAACAGTCAACACAAACACTCAATACACTATGGCAATTACAACTACTTACTAAATGTTTGATCAACATTACTGTTCCAGGTATATTCACTTGTTCAAAAATAAAACCTTTTTCTGTTAGTGAGCACCTCACCTCCATCTTTTGGATAAAGTTTTTTTGTTTTTTTTTTTTAAAAAAGACAGGCTTATTGATTCCTATAGTCTTTAATGTTTTCAAGCCTCTTTATATCTCTAAATCCTTGTCAATCACGTCCCTAGTTTTAAGCTTAATAATTCAGGGCTGTAATTCGAGAATTTATCAGATATCACTGCAAATCAAAGGGCTTTTTGTTTCACTTAACATCAAACTACATAAAGATTCTGAGAGAGAAATGGAGTTAATGTCCACTCAACACAAACTAGGTCATTTCAGAACTAACATGGTAAAATTTTATTTCAATCATTCGCATGTGCATAGGGGTCTTTAGAAGTGAGAGGAACCCATAGGAATGGGAGAAAAACAAGTTTGGACAGGCGACCCTACTCTTTGTCACGTACGAGTGGGTAATTGAAAACCATGTCACTTGACTTAATGATAGACCTTAGGAACCTACATGATTGCATTAACCATTCGGCAACCCCTCCCCGCCCCATAAAGATAGATGATAAATTCAGACTGTTCATAAAAAAAATTGTGCATGATGGATGGACAGCCAAGGGATGTGGCAGTTTACAACTACATTTTGTCTATTTCTAGTGATTATGGCAAAGGAAATGTGCATACAAAACCTCACACACACACAGACTGAGTAGGACTTCAGTTATTTACATGCAAAGATGAATACAAGAAAATAAAGATGGTCACAATAAAAATGCAACCAATAAAATATTTGAAATAGGTTGATGGCCATATTCTAAAATATTAATACCCTGACCTACTTACTATTCCTTTAAAAACAAGGTGCACTAAACAAAACGTTAGTTAATTAGTAAATTGAATTTCTTGTTTTTGTAATCTTTAAGGGTTTTCTTTTTTTCCTAAAATTTAGGAGACCATAAATTCAGATAGTCCATTACGATAATCCTCTTACAAAAATCCTGAATTATTGAAATTAAATCGATCCCATTTGATCAATGCTTAAAGTTTTGAATAGATACACATTGTGGAAAGAAAAAAAAAAGTAGCCATGAAAAAGCTTTTAAATCAATCACAGTTTCAGGATTCACACTATTATTATCATACAACTTTGTTTAAAAAATTTAACCACACATGATCTGGGTCAATGATCACGAAAAAGAAAACCAATCAGTTTCATCTTTGCTTAATAATATGAACTTGATAGGACGATAACCCATTAATGGAAATGAGCAGGATGTGCTCTTGATGACTATCAACATTGTTCTTTCACTGAAATAATGATTTCTGATTGGTTTTCCATAATGTAATCATTATGGGTCATGCTGCACCATATGCATTCTGTCAATGTATGTGAAAAGAATATCTGACCATACTTCTACAAGTCTTTACAAGAATAAGCAGCAGGCCCAGGTTTCAATTTGGCTCATTTCACCAAGTTCAAAATTAAAACAATCATCAGTGAAGAAACTAAAACTAACACCAACACCAACAACCAAGCATTCTAAAACAATTAAACCATCTCAATTTGTCAAATTTACATTAGCTATGCCATAAATAGTTATCACTGTAATCCGTAAAATTACACAGTTTGTACTAGTAATAGTATTAGATACATCCAACAGCCTGGAAATACACCACCTGTTACTGACATTGTCAGACACTAATCCAGGCTTTATTAGTCCTAGAAACCTGGAAATATGGCATGTCAAAGACATTGCCAGGCACTAATACAGACTTGTTAGTCCAAGAACCTGGAAATATGGCACCAGTCAAAAACATTGCCAGGCACCAATACAGGCTTGTTAGTCCTAGAGCCTGGAAATACGGCACCAGTCAAAGACAATTGTCAGGCACCAATCCAAGATTTGTTAGGTACAATCCTTCTGATGCCTGCAATGTCGTCTAACACAGGTTTGTCTTTTATCAATGTTTTTAATGTTTTTACAATACCCAATAGTCGTTTAGTGCTTGACATATCATCAGGTACAATTATAATCTTTATTTCCAGACTGGTATGTCAAATTAAGGATAAAGTAATTTGGACCAAAAGAGATGGCTACAAACCAAATACACAGGCGTTGGTAACGTGGAAAATCTTTCAATAACAAAGTATAATGTCTAAAAGTCTATTATGCTCATCTTCGTAAGCAAGATATAAAATTCAGGGCGCAAGTTAGTTTGGTTTTATTTTAAAGATTTTCCACGTTATCAACGCCCGTGACCAAATATACAAAATGTATAGATATATACAATCTGATTAAAATACAGATCTATATTTCGTTTCCTTTTTTTATACTTTCGATGGCCTACACTACATGAAGATCTAACCGGCTGTATTAGATATTGCTTAATCAATCAGCGTTGATGCTTCTAGCCGTTAACCCACAGTTCCGTGTATCGCACGCCAAAAACTCCCAGAACAGACCGTTTCATTGGCTAATCCGTCATTTCAACCAGAAAGCCGGTAATATAACAACTCTTTCAGATCTTATGTAGCATAGACAAGTAAAACGAAATTTTAAACTATAAAAAACGAAATGAAATAGGATCTGTGTTTTAATCCGACAGATATATAGGGAGAAATGTGGATTATAGGGGGGTCATGAACCTACCTATAATGCCTGTATTAGAAGATGTAATAGCATCAAGACCGGTATTATTGTAGTTGTTAGCCTGATGGTTTAAAGTTAGATTGGTAGAAATGGGCGTGTATAAACTAGGGGTCACCTGAGTGTAACCTACACTCGTTGATGGGGTGTAGCCTGCAAAATTTCGTATTGTATTGTCAGAAAATAGTATATTAATACATAAATATATACACACTTAATATTTTGATTTACCAACGGGGCACTTGTCATAAAAAAAAACAAAGTTAAACTCAATTCCTGGAGGATTATTGACTTCATATTTGACTATTAGAAAGTTAGGTTATAGAGTGACAAAAAACATACACCCACAAATGCCAAGTCATCCAAACACATTATGAATCTTTAGATATCATAAATTAAAAGCAAGATCTTTATACTGTATCAAAATATCCAGAAACTGACAAGGGAAATAACTCTAAAACTAATTATCAAACTGTAATTCAATGCAAAAATTAAAAAATTTAAATTAGCTCAGATGTTGATTTTTGAACAAGGGACATAACTCTAAAAGATATTAACAGCAATTGTTGAAATTCAATCTAGCTTCTTCATTTGACTAACATAAAAAAGGTATATAACTGTAAATATCAAGTAGATCAGAGGATAAATTTTGTCACTAGAGCATTCACAAGATTCTAATGGGCCATAACTCATTGAGTTAAAAATAGTTTGTTGAAATTCAATAGGTTTGTCTCCCTAATCCTAACAGGAAAGATTGGATGAGTGTTCACAAGAGAGGACTTTGGACTGACGACAATAAATGACATTTCAATAATGTGGGTGTATAAAAACAAATCCTACATTCCCTTCTAGCATAAAATACAGAAATGTCAATGAATTATGGCTTTTCAATCCGAAATATTTTAATGAAACGCTTTGCCGTTAAATTGACATTTTAGGTTTGCTAAATGAGTATTGAGAGGAGGAGAAAAGCCATGATTCTGATTGTGTCACTTTAACATCTTTTTGTAAATAATATTGGTTAACTGAATTTCCCTAATTTTTTTTCCCTTTTTAACTGAATCAGTAAATATATGTAGTTTAAATATATTAGACTAAATATCTAAAACCCATTATTATGTTCCAGTATATTGTTAATCATAAAACTGAGTTATTATAAAAGTAGTCTTCATATCAATGACAACTATATTTATTTATTTTATGATCAGTAGTGGAATACCGCGTTTTATCAGTGAAAAAGAAAGTGTCATTTCACTGGCTAGTTGTTTTTACCTAAAATGATTGTAAAATCAAAAATAAAAAGAACATTTGTCGTTTTGTCGTGAATAACTTATTTTATTTCATCTCTAAGCAAGAAAACGTTTATATTTTCAATCATGCTACGCATTCGAGAAAATATAAGTTTTCTTGCTTCTCGATGAAATAAAATATGTTATTCACTCTAAAACGACAAATATCCTCTATATATTTTTTTTATATTCAAGCCACAAGTTTATACTCTAAATTATAGACATTGTTTTAAAAAGGTTATACTCCAAATTATAGACATTGTTATACTCCAAATTCTAAACTTTGCTATACTCCAAATTCTAAACTTTGCTATACTCCAAATTCTAAACTTTGCTATACTCAAAATTATAAACTTTGTTATACTCAAAATTATAAACTTTGTTTTAATAAGAAATTATAGACTTTGTTTTAATAAGCTTATATTCCATATTATAGACTGTCTTATAAGATTATATTCCATAGACTGTTTTAATAAGCTTGTATTACAAGTGTATATGATAGCTTATATTATAGACCGTCTTAATAAGCTTATATTCCATAGACTTTGTTTTAATAAGCTTGTAATACAAGTGTATATGATAGTCTTAGAAAAGAAAGATGGCCGTTTGAAAATGTGAATATCATTAATTCTTTGGTGTCATTTTATCATTTAGCGATTGGGAACATGACAAAACTAGGCCAATTATATAGGACAACAATCACTGGTTTATTATAAACAGGCACAATGTTTTGATAAGGAATTATTTGTTATCAAAACACTGTGCTATGTGCGAATAGGTCTTTAACAGTAGGACGCAACCGGAGGACACCCAAGAGGTTGGACAGGCGACCCTACACTTTGCCATGTATAACCAAGGAATCAAACCACGCCAGTTGACTCAATGACAGAATTTATGATACAGCACGCTAACTATTCGGCCATGCATGCCAATGTGTGCATGGGACCTTGTTTTTTTGCCCCATTCAACTAACTATACATTGTCCCTTGCCAGTCGATAACGACAATAGGGGGAGAGAGAGAGAGAGAGTTTAACGTCCACTCGACACAAACTAGGTCATTTTGGGACTAATACATGGTTCAATTTTTTTATTTCAATAATTCGCTTGTGCGTAGGGGTCTTTAGCAGTGGGAGGAAAAACGACAATAGAATACTTATCGAAACATTGTGCCTATGTATAACAAACCGGTGATTGTTTCATATAATTGTTCTAGTTTTGTGATGAAAATCATTGAGTTGAATATTAATATAACTACTGAGCTAAAGAATAAATTCAATTTACTTTATTAGTATAAACCATAACATTAGGTTAGTATTAAAAGCAGAAGAGTTATTGCTATTAATTTGTTTAATATTCATTCAGTATTACCCAGTTTCAACCATAAACAAAACAATCTCATGCACAATTCTGAACATGGAACCACCAAGAGTTGTCAAACCTTTCTGTTATTCATCATATAAATGGGGCAAGCTGCATGTGTTAATTTGGGGTTATGGAATAACAGTTTTAAACGTGACCGGAAAAGCTTCATAAATTTTTTAAATAATGCAAGTAATTATGTCAACACAAGTATGACACGAAGCCGAATGTCAATATTACCTGCAACAGGTAAATTTCAATGTGTTAATTTGGGGTTAACAGTTTTCAAGTCATATTTCCAAAATCATATCAATTTTAATAGTTTTATTTCTTAAAATACAGTGATGCCAAAATTCTAAGCAAAAAAATGTCTACAATAAGTTTTGTTTTCCATAATAATGGGATAAGTTGAAACAAAATAAGTTAAATAGGTTATGGTTTCCAAAATCTAACTGAATAGTTTACCTTACAGAAAGGGCCATTTTGAAATGACAAGTGGCAGACCAACAGACAGGAATGACAACAATATACAGCCATATTTCAATATTGACATGTATAAAATGATGAACCAGAAGAACTTGACAAGACTATGGTATTTCAATCATCAGTTTTGTAGGCAAGATGTATTAATAACCATTATATGGTCATACAATCATTACCCTCTTCTTAGAATGTATAGATAGTATTAGTAAGGCGAAACACCCATGTTTGTGTCTCTTTACAAATGGCGAATAGAAATGGGGTTCAATGTCCTATTGTTCTGCCCCGATTGGGTTAATGAGGGAAATTTTGCCTGAGCAGCGGCACTACGGCCTACTCTTATATCGAATTCCAACTTCCAAGGGATCTTTTACATGCACTTAAATGTGTATACTGAAATATTTCTAAGCCAACAACAGGAGCAAACCCATGACCTCCAGGTTAGCGAACCAGTGTCTTACTCACTTAGACACCGTGGCCCCAAATCGAGATGAGACCGATGTTATGCCATCAATAAACTATAAATACACTCTTAGTTTAGCAGTGCAGAGATAATTCTACGAGCTCAATTATCTGTATTGAGCCAAGATTCATTATTTTGCCACGAACTATCAATACACTCAGTGCAGAGATAATTATTTAACTTCAATATTTATTCATTGTTACACATAACTCATGAGTTACCTGGCTGTAACAATACAAATTGAACGTAGAAAAGGTTGTTATATAAGTATACATTACCCATTGAGTTATTTTGACTGGTAGAACTGTTACTAGACAAGACAACAGGAGGAGTTGGTACTTGTTGTGTCTGGGTTGTTAATAATCTCAATGGATTATTGCCACCTATAATAATGAATAAATCAATGAATAAAATGGGGTTTATTGTTCTACTCTTCTGCTGGGGTATATATTTATCCAGGAAGAAAATGTAAATTCTGAAACAAGTTAGGAAGAATATGTACCCACCTTAAAAATTGGTATGTATAATGTACCGTACATTTTTTGGACTAATAAGACCAACATCTTTATTTTCTTCCTACCTACATCTATTTTTTGTACTTTTTCTAACCAAACTAATTAGATATTTCTAGGATATAATCTTTTTTATATATGTTGAACTAGCAGGATACATGGTTTCGCCTGGGGTCCAAATTCGCACAGCTGCTTAATTCGCGTTGGGGTTGGAGAGTGACAAAGTGTTATTCGCCCATGGCCCAATTCGGCAAGGAACATTCACAGATGCTGGTTAATTTGATACCAGATTTGGATGTGGATCGTGGCGACGAAGTGCGATTATGTGGCTGACCTTAATCATCAAGAAATAACAGCTTTGTATAATGCCAGCCAACTTAACCTCCAAGCTGTAATATAAGGAGTTGATAAACTTACCTTGTTGATTTCCTCCACCGCCAACAAGAACTGGAGCAGGTGATACAAGTCGTACAGGTGTTCCCATACCTCTAGGATTACCCATAACTAACTGACCATTCTGATCATAGTAAGCTGGTGTCAATATCTGATACGCTCCATCTACAATATAAACATGTACGTTAAAAACATGAAATGAAATGGGGTGTAACGTCCTACTGCTCTGCACCGACTTGGATATAGAAAACGGGCATACTGATACACTATGCTATGGGGGGAGATTTTGCCCCAACAGCAGCACAGAGTCTTAAATCGAATCCAACTGTCAAGGGTTCTTTTACATGCACAGCAATGTACACTGACCTCTTGTTTTTCATCCCATCCAAACGATTATATGTGGTCCCTTGCCAGATCGGCTGTCTTGCACCGCCAATGAGGGACCACACTGAAAAATCCCAATGAAATCTCTCCTTCAACACAGAGAAATGAAATGGGGTTTAACGTCCTACTGTTCTGCTCTGACTGGGTTAATAAAGACAGGAATATGCCATAAAGTGTGCCATGAGGGAAATTTTGCCTTATATTGAATTCCAACTACTGGGAGGGAGTGAGAAATGGGGTTTAATGTCCACTCGACACAAACCAGGTCAGTTCCGGACTAACATGTTTCAATTTTATTTCAATAACAGTGGGAGGAAACTGGAGGAACCGGAGAAAAAACCCACAAGGTTGGAAATTTTGTCTGAATAGTAACACTATGAATTCCAATTGCCACCCAAGATTTTCTAGTTATGAACCAGTGCTTGGTTATACAGAAAAATCAACACAATATTTGAAAAATAACCTAACAATATGATTTGGTTTCACAACAGAAACAATAGCAATATTACACGATTTACAGTGTCCAAACAAATGTGAACGGATGTCTGGACTTACAGACATCTGGGCAAGGACATTATGTCTGTGGACATGAAAACTTAGGCGCATAAAATAATACACTTACTTGAAGGTAATGATTGAGGCTGTAGTGAGTTTGGTGTGCCCATACCATCGCTCTGCTGAGAGGGGGTTAAAGGTCGATTACCTTGACCCCGTAACAACTGCTGCTGCTGTTGTTGAGACATGCCTTGAGGTGTCTGCTGTCCTTGGGGAGCCTGCTGAATCAAATTAGCAGGATAAATACCCCAGGGGGCCTGAACTCCATAATACTGGGGGTGAATGACTGTTGGACCTGGAAAAATATACAATTCTTTAAAACATTTCATTTATTGGTAATATATTCGGACAAAAAAAAAACCCTATAAAACCTACTGAATTAATTAGTGATTTCAATAGTGTAATGAAGCATTACAGAATTAGTACATGTATTTCAACCTTTGACAACTCTTTTCTCATTAGCTAACTGTAAGCGTAATATCTCCAGATATTAAAAACACACAAAAAAAAAATAACGATAAAAATTTATAAGATTAATACAAAGAAATCACATAAAAAGATCTTAACTAGAAATAATAACTAATTAAATACAGAGAAACTTAATTTTTAAAATAACCAACTACACACACAAATATATATATATAAATAGAACAGTAAAAATAACCGAAAGTTTATGTCTAAAGCTCTTATAGACTCTAAACAGAATTAACATGTAAAGCCTGGGAGTAAATATTACTTTAGTATATAAATAAGCAGTTTCAATTATCAATTATTTTTCAGTCACCCAACCACATCAAAAAGCAAGCTACATTGATGTAAGTTAATATCTACAGCCAATATTTTTAACTCATTAATTCTTGAATTTCAAAAATAATTCATAACCAAAATTTAATTATTCCCTCGATCAAATATTTTGATTTTTTAGAACAATACCATTAACCTTTCAAACATTGTGTGATGGTTTGTAAATGTAATAAAACACTTCCGAGTTTTCGTTTTGAATTAACAGGGGTGATATAGATGTACATCGTATCCTGCCTGAGGCCATTAGAACCCAAGAAGTTTTAAGAGGGGAGTTATGGTCTTAATAAATGATGAATTTCAGCCAATCAAAATCAAAATCAAGGCAATTTGAGAATTGTGCTTCTTTTATTTATACGTTATCTGATCAATTTGAACAGTGGTTTTGTTCTGATCAGGGAAATTTGTGTTTCACCTCTAAAAACATCTCTTCAAAATTTGATTTAAAGTCACAGAGCTGCAGAGATCGGAAAGGGGTTCAATGTCTCATTTACAATACTTTTGTCATTTTGAGAGTAACAAAGTTATTTTCATTTCAATGGTCATGTGAGCAATGCAGGATGGAAGGTACAAGAAGTCAGCTTTGTGATCTAGAAATCATGAACATGTAGGTATTAAAAAAAAAAAAAGGAAATATTCCTGGCAATAAGCTATTTAAAACACACCACTCATTGACTTTGTGGAGATTTTCTAAACTGGAGAGTGTAATAATAGGTAAGCTTATTTAAAATTTTACAATTTTTAAATCCGCTTACTTTCATTTGATGGAATTGAATTGATTTTTTTTGCAAACTACAATATCGTAACCAGCGGCTGCCAGGCAGGATACGCCCACATTTTCGAGAGATGGATAGAGAACAAGCTAACAAGAAAGTGATTTTTCCTACAATCAAGGGCCATAATTCAGGAAATTACAATTCGATATGCAAGAATATCGAAAGGAACTGAGATCTTTGTGTTATAAACTTACATTTCAAGTTTCAACAAAATCGGATAAAAATTGCGACCTCTATAGGGTCCACAACCTTGATATACCATATTTTTACGCTATTTGAGAATGAACGGCGGCCATTTTGTCTGTTAATTTGGGCCGATTTTCACGAAAAGTTGAACTCAGTTCTCCTTAGGGTGTAACGGTGATATAATAATACGTTTTTTTAAATCGGATAAAATTATGACCTCTATAGGGTCCACAAGCTAAAAATGTGATTTTTCGTACAATCAGGGGCCATAATTCAGGAAGTTACGGTCCGATATGCGCGAATATAGAAAGGAACCGAGATCTTTGGGTTATAAACTTACATTTCAAGTTTCAACAAAATCGGATAAAAATTGTGACCTCTATAGGGTCCACAAGCTAAAAACGTGATTTTTCGTACAAACAGGGGCCATAATCCATGAAGTGTCGATCCGATCGAGGCTAGGCCGAAAATTCAATCGCTAAAATCTCGGTTCAGAGTGGATCAATTTGACTGAAATTTTCAGCAAACCCCCTTTACATTATTTAGTTTTTAACTATTATAATGATCACTGCCAGATCTTTATCTAATCTCCCATAATGTATCTTTAACTAAAATCAACAGAATTTCTCTTTCAGTCACATCAAACAACTTTGAACCAACTCAAACTTCTCAGCATTTTTCTCTCCAGTGCCTTTATATTTTATTAACATTATTTAGAAGGGAATGCTTATTTTAAATAAAACAAATAAAAAATAAAGGTGGATCATATTTTGTATAATTTTAGTTAACGATATTTCAAGAAATAATGTAGAAAACAGTATTTTGGATAACCAGGATCACAGATTAGCTTTAAAATTTCAATGGCATAATGAAATCAACTTGAAGTAATTTATTCTTGTAATGTTTAAAGTTACAATTTCATATTTTCTAAGAAAGTCAAAACATAATTATTTCTATGTCTTTTGCTTAATAGGTTGTCAACTCACTATTATACAATCATAGGTGTCATTCTCACACTTAAAACTCATTTACACCGGAAATAATAACACAATTACCTCCCTTGTTTTCTATTCTCCACCATGGAGTAGCTAACTTCAAACGTTTGAATTTGTCGATCAAAATGATATTTTTGCCAATTTCACAACTGGCAATAGTGAATTATAGGATTAGGTAGGACTGTTTATAGATACCATCTATTTTAAGGCCTTATTTTAATAAATTTTAAAAATAAGGCCTTATTTTAATAAATTTTAAAAATACCATCTATTTTAAGGCCTTATTTTAATAAATTTTAAAAATATAAATTAAAAATATGAAATTGCAACTTTAAACTATTGTAGTTGATTTTTATTTCCATTAACTTGTAGCTAAATGCAAGGGATTCTCATCACATGACCTCATGAGTTATCATGCAGGATTAAGGCTTTGGAAAGATCGATTTAAACAGGATTGTAATATACTTTATAAGTATGGTCTATATTTACATACAGTGTACCATAATGGATACTACCACAAGCAATTAAAAATCCTGTCCATAAATATTTTTTCAAAAGTTCTGCAACTGTCAAATTATTCTATTTCCTTTGATTTCATTGTATGATTTAAGAGGTTGCTAGGCAATGAAACATACGCCTACAGCAGCCAAGTTGTCCTAGCAGTCTACAGGAAGCAAGAACTATAATTATCATTATCTTAAATTGTAATTATTCATAATAACAAATAAATTAAAAGTTAATGATTTACGCTAAGGATGGTGTACATTTAACAGAAATAACTAAATTATTACACAAAATAACAAGTATTGAAAATTGAATTCAATTTTTTCAAAAAGATCTGATTATAATTAAAGCCATTAGTGTGCCAACCAGACAAGTGGATGATGGAACGACAGCAATACATGACCACATTAGAATACGTGTGTAAAATAATCAAATTCTTACTAAATAACAAGGCTACGAACACTACCAGTAAACTTATACGTGTATTATAGGCTCAATGTCAATATTAAAAGTTTCTCAGAAAAAAAATTGAGTATCAGTTATCCATGATAATCCTTACAAATTTATTTAGTCAACAATTGGTCACGTGACCAAATGGTTAATCTTCTTAGTAGTAGCTGGTAATGCAAGTCGGTAAATTTGAAAAAGAATCTCTAGGCGGTTTTAATGCATCACAGCATTCAGTTTTGATTTTTGGGAAATGCAACACCGCCAAACAAAACCCTGTTTGTTGGAAAATGGCAAATCAAAAATCGCATATTCACCTTTATTGTTTATTCTGGTTTATTTTAAAATAGGGATATTCTCACAATAAGTGTTAAGTGGGCATGAACAAAAGACAGACATTCTGAAACCTTAAAAATCACAAAAACCCTGTAACCAACACAATTTCCTATCCTATCAAAAATCATTTTTCAGAATTATGCCTATTCCTAAAAAAAAAAAAAAATAAGCACCTAAATATCTGGAACAATATTTTTTAAGGTACATAGAGTTATCTAACCTGCTAGAGGAATTCCCACGGCATAAGGATCCTGGGTACCGATTAGGTACTGGGCGTTCGTTCCTACACTTGAGGGGTTCAAGCCTATTTAAAGAGCCAAGCACACAAATATAAGCCATGCAAACACAAGAAAATTATCATGCTTTCTGTATACAAATTTTATTTTTATTATTTATTTCATCAAGTTGCATACAAGATGAGCTGAATATCCAATAACTAATTTTAATAGGGCGGGGTGAAAAAAAGATTTTGTAATCCATCTAAATAAAAGTTTTTGTTTTTAGAATTACTGCTATGAAGCATACCAGGGACCTCAAGTTTCAATCATTTGCCTGTCCTGAATGACTGGCAGTTAAACCCACTGGCTGGAGAACTCACCTGCCAGTCAATTCACATGCAATAAAATAAGAATTTGAGTGAATTTAGACGTAAAATAAAATACAGATAAATTTAAATTTATAATCTATTTTGTGTAAAATCATTGGGGTAATGATAATAATTGTCAATCTCTAGAAATAAAATGTGTCAAAAATTTGAATTGAAAGCCCTGCTGTGTACATTCATTTTTTTGTGTTCTAAACATCGTGAAAAGTGTATTTTTGAGACTATCTTGTATGCTGTTGGTGATAATTTATAAAGAATTTTTTTAATATTATATAAAATAAGGTCACATGCAGTGTTGAAATAAATGTTCTAAAATTTGAAACATAACGAAAACCAGTAAAATGCTAGCCAGATTATGATTAACTATGAATGGTTAAAGAGTGATATGATATTAACTTTGTTTTATTTTGGGCTTATCTAACAATGAAAACCACTTAATGCACAAAATATTTCAAGGTTTGCTCAAAAACTTAATTTGATACGGCTTTATAATCTTGCTGGGATTTTCGAAATGATACAGCGACACGAGTCAATACCTAAAATATTATATTTTTGGACCTGAAATTGAATGTTATTTTCCAATTATCCACGGGAATAATGCTGTATTCAATACAAATGAAAAGTGATAGGACTATAAATTCCACTGAATTATATTAAGAGCCAAGACATTGTTAGCAAAGGCCTAACATGCCCATCGATTAAGAGTTATATGAGAAACAATTGGGAATAACACACACTAGACACAAACTTGGTCATTTTGGGACTAACATATGGCTCAATTTTATTTCAATAATTCGCTGGCTCGTAGGAAACTGAGGAACCAAACAAAATCTACAAGGTTGGACAACAGTACCTTTTGTAATGTACCAACTTGGGATCAAAACCACGCCACTTGAATGTCAATTACAGACCTTATGATCTAAAGCGAATTGTTAAACCATTTATCCACCCAACCCCCAAGAGTTATATAGGAATGTCTACAATAATAAACTCACTGCAATTTGTTTTAATAAATTATAAATCAACCGAATTGGAATGTCTTGTCCATTAAGTATATGGTAATATTGCTATCAATTTAAAAAAGATAGGCTGCCAGGCAACAAAACATATGCCTACAACAGCCAAGTTGTCAGAGCAATCCATTAAGGCTGTCACGTTGATATCTATTTGCAGGTAATGGGAGCATTTACAACACATTAAAAACTGATAAAAGGGCACTCAGCACATTCGGTAGTTATAAGTCTAAAATTGATTGGCTTGTAGGTCTTCCTAGCACTAACATAAACATGTACCAGTAATCACATAATTTAACAAAGACCGGTCTTGTAGTCACTGATCGTAATTTGCACTTGTCGGACAGTATGTAACTTCCCACACCTTAATGTACTCAAAATTCATTATGTAAAATTTAATCATGTATAATTTAATTAAAAATGCATTATGTATGAGGTGATTTGACTGAAATTTTAAACATATTCCCTTTTCATTATCTATTATAGCGAGAACTTTCAGCTCTTTAGGCTACACAACTGACAGCTGAAACTGTAGGGCTAGAGGATGGTGCAAAATAAAATTTGGCTATTGTTGAAAATTGTTGGGGCGGGAGGGCGGCCATGTATTTTTAATGAGAAAGTCATTACTTGTCTACGGTTTTGCTTTCAGTTATATATTAAACATACTTAGAACATAAACCCAAAAATCAAGTCTACTCAAACACTGAAAGGAAAATAATTTTCCATATTTAATTCACGTATTGTACTAGCTTACTAATGGTAATGGTGACAACCATAATTGAAATTGGTTTAAAATAAAATTCCGTACGACTATTAATAGCCGTCCATAATAACGACAATATTTTAAAGAGTAAGCCTCGGACAGCATGTGTATCAAAAATAATCATCACGATAAACGACACTTCGAGCTAAATCTAGTATCGCTGGTTTATAATGATTGACCTAATTTCAACCAATGCATGTCACGTGTCATCGGGATTCGGGAAATGACTGTTTCTCAGGTTATTCGGTGTGTTTCTCAGGATATTCGGTGTTCTATCTGGGGTTTATATCGAATGACTATTTAAATTTAACTAACAACTCGTCAGTAAAACCATCAAATGTGTAATCCAATAATTATTTTCCGGATTATCAAAACTACCGTTAAATGTGCTAATGACCCAGATTCTGACTAAGGTATGGTGACTATCATCGTATCGTATTCGTAGCCACAATGACTATATCGAATGACTATTTAAATTTAACTAACAACTCGTCAGTAAAACCATCAAATGTGTAATCCAATAATTATTTTCCGGATTATCAAAACTACCGTTAAATGTGCTAATGACCCAGATTCTGATTAAGGTATGGTGACTATCATCGTATCGTATTCATAGCCACAAGTTATAATAATTAACCTGTTCTACGATTCATTGTTTTATAAGTAGGATTTTTTCAAACATGGACCGACTGAAGCCGGCAATAATGAGCCAATTAAGATCGAATGCTTGAAATACATTGCATTGTTGTTAATGACTTTCGGTGTTTAACATGAATCAAATTCTAGTTCACAAGGGGAGGTAATTAAAATCACGTGATACAAAAATGGAGGTTTTTTCGATATCAATAAAAAAGACCCGTAAATGAGCGTTTACATCTGAATCCGTTTAATACATTTGAATGGATATTCACGAATGGGGCATGTAGATACATGCGGCATATATTTTTTATGACTTGCTTTACGATGTTCGGGCGGGCGTTACATATTTTTTATTTTTCATCAAGACTAATACATAGGCCGCACGCGCAACCAATTTTGCGTGCGGGCGGTGCCCGAGAAACAACTTATTTTATTTGTGTTGCCTTATCTAAATCTTATGTAATACACCATTATGTTAAATATTAACCATATGAATTCCCTTCGTAACAAAAAGTTATTTCTGATTTGATCAAGGAATATATACCTCCTGGGAAATAGAAAATATTCTTCCTATTCAATCAGCCCATTTCATTTGTCAAGACCAATCACATGATCTACTATAGGGAAGTGTTTTAACAGTATTGTATATGTGGGGTTTTATTAATGACAGTAATTATTTATATATCTTAGTCGGTTATCTTTTTTTTTTCATGTAACTATCGTGGAGAGGAGTTAACATTAACTGTCAAAACCGCTCGTGCAGAGATCACTTCCTCCTCCATGCATGTTCTATGGCTTTACTGATAAACTATGTATAGATTTATTTGTCCTTGTCTATATAGTATATGTGAAGATGTTTAACTTTATCCCTCTGCTATAAATCAACAGATATGAAATGATTTATTTATGATTGATGATAAAAACTGGAAAACGACCAATGATTTGGCTAGCATTTTATATAAAATATTCACAAATTTAATCAAATTGACAAATATTCCACTTTCTATTCTCTATTCGACACTGCTTGTGGCCGAAGAAATAAATTAAAAGTATAATGATAAAATAAGTTATATTGAACAGTGTAATATGTAGTACAATATTTTATATATCAACCGATATGTTCGAGAAGTTGAGAAAATTTACTGGTACTATAAATTATCAAACATAAGCCCACAGAAGCTAAGTAGTAAGAGCAGTCTGTAAAGGATTGCATTTTTATTCATTTGTAGGAATAGAGAGAAAGATGGGGTTTAAGGTCCAGGATACAAACTAGATCATTTCAGAACTAACATGTGGTTCAATTTTATTTCAATAATTTGTTTGTGCGTAGGGGTCTTTAGCAGTGGGGGGAAACAGGAGGACCCAGAGAAAACCCACACGGCTGGACAGGCGACCCTGCTCCTTGTCATTTATAGGTAACAGAAGCATTTACACAATAAAACAGATCAAGGGAAATAACCCATGAAGTAATTATCAGAGAATTAAAATGTGATAGGCTTCTAGTTCTTCGTAGAGGAACATACACTGTTAATCAGATGACAACTTTTGCCATTTTCGCAATATCAGAAATCGTTGAAAATCAACTTCTGTGATGAAGAGAAACACGGTATGAATTTCCAATCAACCTGATCATAGCTTTAGTAATCAATGGCCCTACAATTCAGATTTGAAAATCAATAGGATTCTCCATCACACGAACATAACCGTCACAAATAAATCTCTAGTCAATAATACGACAACGTTCACAAGCAATTGTGGACAGCAGACAGACATATCAAACGACAATATACAACCACATTTCAATTTGGGCACAAGGAAAAATGTTTTAATCTCAAATTTCAGCAAGTATCAATTTCACAAAAGTTATGCTTTACTAGGCATGAAAACATATCACACATGGTTATTGAAGATTTGGGGACCCAATTTGATACTCCAACTCCACATTAGGATTTTTTGTCTATTGAAAAATAAACTGGCTTGATATTTACGCAAAAATAAGTGGGCATTCTCAATATCTTGTAAGAGAGAAAGAAATGGGGTTTAACGCGAGACTAACACATGGTTCAATTTTATTTCAATAATTGGCTTGCACATTGGGGTCTTTAACAGTGGGAGGTAATCGGAGGACCCAGACAACCCTACTCCTTGGCACGTAAAACCAGTGAATCGTAACCACACCACTTGACTCAATGACAGAGCTAAGGTTACAACGCACACGTGCTAAACATTCGGCCATCCACTCCCCCACCACCTCCCGCCTTATCTTTTAATAGAATATGTGGTTATTGTTAAATCCAGATAGTAATTGAAGGAGACAAAATTGTTTTATCTTGGCACTAGTTCTCATGTTTCTGTTCTTAGGCCTGACATAAGTGTTAGTGGTGAGGCACCTCCAAACTTATACCAGACATATAGAGTTCAGGACTAACACACAGTTCAATTTTATGTCAATAATTTCCTTGCGAATGGTGTCTTTAGCAGTGGGAGGAAACCGGAGAAAACCCCACGAGGTTGGACAGGTGACCCCACTCCTCGTGTACAGGCGATGATTCAAACCACGCCACTCGAGTCAATGTCAGACCTGTTAACCCATTCGGCCACCCAACTCCCAGACATGTATATAAGGAATCATTTTAGATACTGATGGGAGAAACGCATGTCGGAGGGATTGGTGCCTGACCATATTCATGATAGGTGCTCGCCAATCCGATATCTATTCATCTCATAAAATGGTTAAAGATTAAAACACTTTTTACAATTATAACGCGTCTTAAATTTAGAGGTACGCTACAAAAATTCCAACTACATTAATTTTGTTTCTAAAATTTCCTTCTACTACTGGATTTGGATTCATAAGAATTGTACATGTAAAAATGCTAAACTTCTCTAATTTCTAACAACATGTAAAACTAAAAAAAAATTAAAAAAGATGAAATAACATGTAATTAAAATAGAGCACAACAAAATGAACATGCTATACTTGTTAGACATTGTAACAATCATCAACAATACTTACCTAGTTGTTGCTGTGTAGCAAGGGCATACTGTTGTTGTGTCAGAACTGCTATTGGTTGCTGCTGTCTCTGTAGTTGCTTCGATTAGACAAAAATTAAAATATGTTAAGAAATGAAATGGGGTTTAACATCCTACTTTTCGGCACGGACTGGGCCTAGTGAAGACAGACTTACAGCATACAATAAGGGAAATTTTGATGAGGCAGCGACGCCTTGTGGTACTCTTATTCCACCGGTCCTCTGGTAGCACTGACAAGGGGAAGCTAAGCCAGAAATACATGTTAAGGTTATGGCCACATTACTGATGTATAAGGACAAGTTTTTAGAAACATTTTGTTTTCAATTTGTTCCATTCAGGTTTAATTACTACATCAATCATTTTGATAAATCTCCTGGACTAAAACCCACAACTACGCAAAAGGTAGTCCTAAATGTTTGTATGACAAATTAAACGAACAAGCATGGAATCGAAACATCACTTTATTCAATGACAGATCTTATGATGCAACGTGCAACTATTAACCATTCTGCCACTTAATCCCACACAAAATAAAGTACTTATAATACTAGACAAAGTGAGACTGATGTTCCCCACCCTAATCACAAAATAGAAGGCATTCAAAAATTATTTGCTAACCTACTGGAAAGCATTGAGCAATCATATATTTCTTACAACTCTGTTATAACCTGAGCAGAAAATTGCTGATCAAAATTAAGACATTCACTAAAGAATACCTACACTATCAGAATATCTACTGAATCAGAAATAAAGACACTGAGATCCAAAAGATGTTAATACACCGAAATTCAAGATATCAAATGAAAAACTACTTCGATTAATAGAGTTATAAGGGACCTTTTGCATCGGTACGAAAACGTCATCGATTCTGGAGCACTTGTGACGTCAATCCGTAATGAGTGTTCGGCCAGTGAAAAACGTTACGCGTATGGAGCTGGATTTACATAGGTATGCAAATGAATATGTTTCTTGTCTCATATTGAATTTTCCACCATTTTTCGAGGCTTTGTGTATATTGTTGATTGTGTAGAGTTCGTAGAATGTGCTCAAAAGCAATATTCTACTTGATTTGTTGTACATCTGCCAAAAAATCGATTGAAAACTATGCCTTGACCGAGAAGTTCATGGAGTGGAAATTAACGCCATCTAGCTTTTATCGTACTTCAGAATGCGAAACCGTGTGTTAGAGGATACGAAAACGATCATGTGTTCGTTTTCGTACCAATGCGAAAGATCCCTATTGTATCCCAAAAAGTGTGACTGACAGACAAACACATTTTTGAAAGACTGAACAATCAGGAAAGTATCCAGTCTATTAATAAGCCTACCTGATTATAATCCATGTTGTTAAAGTTGGGACTATCCATAGATTGCATCATCTGATTCGTGTAATCAAATTGAACTGGATCTATACCCATGGGTTCAAACTGCTGAGAATCAAACTGGAAGTTACCACCAGATTGAGGATGAAATGATTGGCTTTCGAAAAAATCTCCTTCCGGTTTCATAGGTAATTTTGGTATATCTTGGTATTTCCCTTCGTCTCCTGTTGGCGAATTTTGCCGACTTCCCCTGAAAATTATGAAGTTTGAAATAACTTTTCTATATTTATCTTGATAATATGAGAGAAATGGGGTTTAACATCCACTTTGTGCAGACTAGGCCATTTTGGGACTAACATAGATCAATTTTATTTCAATAATTCACTAGCGTATACGTGTCTTTAGCAGTGGTTTGACAGACGACCCTACTCCTTGTCACGTACAAGATGGGAATTCAAACCACGCCACTTGACCCAATGACCGTCTTTATGATGCAACAGTGTTAATCATTCAACTGCCCAACCCCACTCTTGAGTTACCTAATGTGTCCTATGCACAAAAAATTTTGACGTTTACTTGGCTCAAAACAAAAAGTTATCAATCATGCAGTAAATTTTGATCATCTCCAATTTATTATCAATACGGTAGTATTATTTACAGATCTCACTATTACTCAATAACCTACCATGAGTAATTTTTGAATACAGCAAACACCAACCAAGTTGTCGGCTCATGAGTCTGGAGGTCGCAGGTTCCCTCCTGGTGTTGACCAATCAGATTCATCGGGATTTTCCGGTGTGGTGCCTCCTTGTCAGTGGTGTATGACAGGGCCTAACTAAGATAGCTGTCTAGCTGTTTGGATGGTACGAAACACGGGGGCCTGTGTACACATTGGCATGCACATAAAGGATCCCTTGGCATGTTGGAATTGGATATAAGCGTGGGTCTTAGTACTGTTGTCCAGGCAAAATTTCCCTCCTAGCACAGTGCTAGGCATTCACAGGTTGATCAGAAACTAAATTTAATGTACCTGAAGCCAGACGTATCTTCTAATCCATTCTGTAAAATACCATTAGTTTGGAGGCCATCTTTATTATCTTCAATACGATCACCTTCACCATCAAATGGTGACGATGTCTGGCTTTTCTTTTCACCACCTGCATCCCCACCATCACCAACTGGAGGTACCTAAAACAATAATGTTTAAATGCGAATAAACAGACAGTTTTATGGATAACATTCACTAGGTTTATTAACTGCAATCTCCCCGTTATCAAGCAATGATAACATGGATAGGCAATCATCAGTAGGAATGAAAATAACATGAGAGGGGGAGAAATGGGGTTCAATGTCCACTCGACAGAAACTAGGTCATTTTGGGAATAACACACAGTTCAATTTCATTCCAATAATTTGCTTGCGAGTGGGGGGTCTTTAGCAGTGGGAAGAAACTGGAGAACCAGGAAAAAACCCACGAGATTGGACAGACGCCCATACTGACCAGACGGACCAATAAATTACTACATACAGTGACTGGCCAATGAAATGGAATTTAACATCCCACTGTTCGACTCCGACTGTTATAATGAAGAAAGGCATATGTCATACAGTAGGCTATGTGAAAATTTTGCTACAGCATACTCATTATCATATTGCATACTCATATCATATTCCAACTACCAAGGGATCATTTAAGAGCAAGCCACTATGTACACGGGACCTCAGTTTTTTTGTCCCATCCAAATGACTATACATTGTCCCTTTTCAGGGCCTTGATACCACACCATTGACAAAGAGGAACCACACCAGAAAATCCTGATGAACTTTCTTGACCAATGCAGGGATCGAACATTGGGACCTCCATGTTAGGGAGCAAGAGAGAGAGAGAAATGGGGTTTAACGTCCACTCGACACAAACTAGGTCATTTCGGGACTAACATATGGTTTAATTTTATTTCAATAATTCGCTTGCGCGTAGGGGTCTTTAGCAGTGGGAGGAAACCGGAGGACCCGGAGAAAACCCATGAGGTTGGACAGGCGACCCTACTCCTTGTCACGTACAACCAGGGATTCGAATCAACGCCAGTTGACTCAATGACAGGCTTTATGATACAGCGTGCACATGCTAACCATTCAGCCATCCACCCCCCCCCCCCCAAGAGAGAGAGAAATGGGTGACAATATAATGTACGACTTACATTGTATGCACCAGGTTTCATCCTATTTAATCTGGCATCCATCTCTTTACCAGTATTAGGTGAACGACCTAACACATACTCCACCATATCAATACCTACTGCACTATCTGTAAATACAACAATATTCATTTCATCATTACAATTTATAGAGAGAGAAATGGGGGTTTTCCCTTGACACAAACTAGTTGACTCAAAACAGGCCTTGTGATACAACGCGCACACCATTTGGCCACCCAACCACCCACTTCGAGTTTATAGTTCATATAAGTTGGGAGCCACGGTGGCTAGGTGGGTAAGACGCTGGCTCGCTAGCCTGGAGGTCGGGTGTTTGATCCCTGCATTGGCCGAGAAAGTTCATCGATTTTCCGGCATGGTTTCCCCTTGTCAGTGATGCAGAACGGAGGGCCTGACAAGGACAGCTGCCTAGTCGTTCGGATGGGACGAAAAACCGGTCCCGTGTACACATTGGCGTGCACGTAAAAGATCCCTTGGCAGTTGGAATTCGATATAAGAGTAGGCCGTAGCGCCGCTGCCCGGGCAAAATTTCCCTCATAGCACACTGTATGGCGTATGCCCGTCTTCAATTAACCCAGGTTAGGTGCAGAAAAGTAGGACGTTAAACCCCATTTCATTTAAGTTATACACTGTGGTAGAGAGAGACCAGCACTATGCAAAATTTGTAAAAAAAAAAAAAAAAATTAAAACTTTCCTTTCAATTCACTAAATGCATACGCTCCATGGGTAAAAAAAATGGCCTTGTATATATATCCAGGTGAATTTTACAAGTGACATGTGAGTTATCAAATAAAATGATCTATGAAAGGGCAATACAAGGAAATGAGTGAAATTCAATAGGTTTTGTCCAACCATCAACAGAAACTCAACTTTAGTTTTGAGGGCACACTGAATATCAAATTAGAACCAGTTGAAATTTGTAACTCGGATGATCTTGGTACATTTCCAGTACAAACCACAGATTTTGATCCAATCACCACCATTAATAATTACTAATTTGTTTTAATTATTGTATGTTATACCAGTTCAAATTGGACACCCTAGTCAATATTAGAATATACAATTCATATGCAGTAAAATCATAATTTCATTTACTTAGAGACAATTTCTCCGCAGGCTATAGATTCATGGATAGATATATTTCACATGGTCACCTGCAGATTTCCCCAAGGTCACAGGATGTACACAGGGTAAGGGCATGCGATTGTTGCCAAGGATTGTTGGTTAGGGTTGGGTTATTGTCAGGTTAATGTTTCGGGCTAGGTCTTCTATGAAGAAATCCGCAGACAGCTATATGAATCAGATCTAAGCATATAGATTCATGGCGATATAAAGGCTAGATTACCAATCAAAGATTTGGTAAAAATAAATAAATAAAAAAACCCATTTCATTCAGCAATATCAGATTACTAATCCACTGACCTTGGTATTTTTGCATTGCCATCATATGGGGAGCACCTGGTAACTTTCCTTGGGGAGGGCCTCCACTCCATCCATCATCTCTAGTTGTCCAATGATGTGGCTGAAATAATCCAGCTTTGCTTGCATCTCCTCCCTTGTTAGGATCATCATCCCAAATCTTTTTTGAAGGATTATTCACCTGATATTATAAAACAACATTTACAGTCATATGTATGTAATTAATAGACACTTTATAATCTTTTTTGAAGGATTATTCACCTGATATTATAAAACAATTTTTACAGTTATATGTATGTAACAGAACACAGTTTTTATGGGATACAATCACTAGTTTTATTCTAAAAGCACATCGTTTCAATAAGAGGATACTTGTCAAAACGTTGTGCGTTTAGAATAAAACTAGTGATTGTATCCCATAAAAACTGCATGTTCTGTTAATATGTTTCCCGATCGCTGAATGCCAATCGAAGATTATATGTATGTATGTATTTAATAGACAATCTATAATCTTTAAATGGCATTTAGTGATTAAACATACATGTAACGCAACACAGTTCTATGGATAACAATTACTTTTTATACACAAACGTTTCTAAAAGTTTTCATTAGTCGTTCTCTTGTAATTTTGTATGCATGATAACGACCAGTAAATACGTGGTTTTCCCTTGTCAGTAGTGCAGGAAGCCCTGACATTGAAAGCTGTCTAGTTATTGGGATGGGACAAAAACCAAGGTCCCGTGTATACATTGGCATGCACGTAAAAGATCCCCTGGCAGTTGGTATTTGATATAAGAGTAGGGTATAGTGCCACTGACCGGACAAAATTTCTCGCATAACACACTGCATGGCGTATATGCCCGTCTTCGTTGGCCCAGCCAGAGCAGAACAGTAGGACACTGAATCCCATTCTATTTCAAGACCAGTGAAATCTTGTTGGAACACTGTATTGTATAATGATCATCAGCCAAAAGAACTGTGATTGTGTTATAATAGACGCTACGATTACGCTTTAAATTCCCTCACAAAAATATCAGTCCAAAAATGGTTCAATTTCGTATAGTAATTACAAATGATTAGAGTTGATATGGCTTTTAATACATAATCCTGATAACCAGCACAACATTCAAAATGTCAAGAGCTGGTATATTTTGGACTGATATTTCCTCAGGTATCAAAAAATTTATTATTTCCATGTTTCCAACAGAAAAATAAATAAAATGCACTAAAATTATTATATCATTTGACTTCTATTTATTCCATTTTGGAGAAAAGTTATTATACCCTTTGCGGATTTTGTTGACCTGCTTATCAGCAATAGAGGTGACTTCAACATATTTCCATGTCATTGCATAAAAAATTACCCAGAATTCAGACCAGGGGTTAGCACCAACAATTTGATAATATATTTACATGGAGTACCATTACAGCATCAATGACTCATGTTACCATGGCAATAACTATGACTCATAGCCGGAAATCTAAAGACTAATAATGTCATCAATAGAAATTCTCAAAATCTCTGATCTTTCATAGAAGTCTTGATTTTTTTCTTTTAATCATAAAAGTACTAACAATTGTTCATGGGCTCATGGCAATTATGCACTTTAATATAGGCACATATAGGATTTCGTTTCACTATAGAAGAGGGGGGGGGGGGATTTTCTGGAAACCCTGAGAAAGCAAAATAATTTTAAAAATCGTCATGAATTTAGATAAATACAATCTTTTAGTTTGCTAGCCAAAATCGACGACAGCCCTTCAATGCAGAGCTTGATCAGGTCAGCAGCAGTGATTGCCCAAGAAAATGTAAACAAACATTGACAAATGGCTTGTCAAATTTTGGCTTTAACCAATGTCCTTCAAATATTATCTTTCTTGAGTGTGGATGTCCACTGACAGTTTGCTATCAACGAAATGCGGAATTGTGCCCTTTGTTTCAGCTTGTCGGAAGTTCTCTAATCCTTTGTTTGCATTGAAGAAGATCCGTTTACATTAAAAAAACAAAATGGCCGTCACTTACCTCCCGATTCATTGAGAGGGCATGGAAATCGCGTTCCAAATCCTGAACTGTCATTCCTCGAGGTGTCTATAAATAAAAAATAAATGCAAATCAAATTGTTGGTTATCAATTGAACTGAAAAATATAATGTCATCATGACCTGAACTGTGTACGGATTGATTTCCATTTCCGCAATGGCGTGCATTTTCTTATCAGCCCCGCTTGCCGAATGCTGTGTGTGTGTACTGTAATGTCAACAAATACGAGTGGAGTAGCGACCTTGGGAGATCCAGCTTACAACGAGAAAATATAACTGTTTGCTTACCTGTTCTATCACACTGTCATCCCCGACAGCCCATCGTTTGTTAGTATATCCCGTTAATTCGTCTGTCTGTGGTCTCTGGAAGAAATATCCAACCATTGCATCGTCTTGCGATCTTGCTCCTGTATTTTGTCGGATTCCGGCCATTTCTCTCGGGTTTTGTAACACTCCGGCAGTATTATTGTCCCAAGCACTGTGGTTCATGCTTGGCACAGGCATTTAACATTCATTCTATTTCCCGTCAACCTAGAATAAAAGGATGACATTTTCAAGGCAAGAGATTAAATAATATTTTTTTAGCGTTAACCTTAATTTTCCCAAAACAAAAACATGGCGGGAGATACACAGGAAGACGATGTCCACCGTTATTATAATTGGAAAATCCGAACCTGCATTAAAAATTTAATCTGTGCATAAAAGAATTATTACGTATGACTACTCAAAAACTAAATACTTAGAGAAAACAGCATTTCTTACCCCGATTGCATTGGATGAAGGTTGACACAGAAGGAATGATCACAACATGGCGCACGGCATTTTCAAGCGAAATGAATTGTGGGTAACAAAATCCAGACGGGATGACGTCATATGGCGGGACTGTTTGAGAATAGACGTCTTAGTAAATAGATTGAAAGGAGAGAGAGAGAGAGAGAGAGATGGGGTTTAGGGTTTAACGTCCACTCGACACAAACTAGGTCATTTCGGGACCAACATATAGTTCAATTTTATTTCAAGAATTCGCTTGAGCGTAAGGGTCTTTAGCAGTGGGAGGAAACCGGAGGACCCGGAGAAAGGAAATAAAGTATATAAAGTAAAGCGAAAAAGACTTCTTAATATTTTGGTCATTCAATATTCATTCTAGTTTAGAGCGAAGATTTGGGAAATTAGGTAAACAATTACAAAATGTTCCTCTTCATTTTCCCGGTTGGTTCAGAAAAATATGACATTACACAAACATATGACATTACACACTTAATTACACTCCATTTCGTTTCATTAAATTTACATACTTAAAATAGGCCTATTTTAAATTTCCACAATAAATTTTACAAATAAGACTAAAATTATAATATTAATCCATTGCCTGAATATTGTCACATTTTCACAGATGAATGATTACTATCTGATACTTCATAAAATAGCATATAAAATTTTAATACTATGTGTAAGTGTCCGCAGGTTTTTATCGGTTTTGATTTGCGTGTAGTGTGGTTCTCCTGCTCTTACTAATGATATACACAGAGAGAAATGGGGTTTAACGCCCACTCGACACAAACTAGGCCATTTCGAGGCTAACATATGGTTCAATTTTATTTAAATAATTCGTTTGCGCGTAGGGGTCTTTAGCTGTGGGGTAAAACCGAATGACCCAGAGAAAACCAACAAGGTTGGACAGGCGACCCTAGGGGGAGAGCGGGGCATAGTAAGCCAAGCTTTATAATTTTTAACCGTTTTTGGAAAATTCAATTGTGAGGTCATTGGGAAATTCCCCTTTACCGCCCCCCAACCGTTTTACCTCCTAAATTCAATAAATTCTTGTAAGCTGATTAATATTTATCAGAGGCGGATCCAGGGGGGCGCCCCCCCCCCTTAATTTTAGAACATTGCCCTTTTTTACTGCTGAAAGTGCCTTGTCTCAGACTCAAATATGTCCGTTTCCAACCCGTTGCAGGGATCCCAAATGACTCAAACCATCGACTCAACACACTGCAGTCTGGTCTAATTAATGCTTCCACTTTTAAACGAATTCTTGTTGTTTAGCTGGCGTTGCTCTAATCCTATAGAGTGACTATAGACGGACATCAATGATAGCATCTTGTGGAATCTGCGGCGTATACACTCATCCCATCACCGACGCGCATTAGTGCAACTTGATGTAGCATTGTTTCATGTGTGGACAGTACACAGTACAAGTGTCAAGGCTCAAATAGCGAAGTGGCTAGGGAATAGATTCGTCTTTTTTCCCATCATTATGCCTCGCTCGCCTTGACAATTTTCGAGTCGCATGTTCAACTGGCTTTTTTGCTCGATTTTAAGGCTCTTTTTCAACGATTTCCAAACGTTTACTTAGACGAAAATATAAGCCAAATGGCTCTTGGAATGGCTACAGATGCAAGGAAATGACGGATAATTTTCTCGCGGGAAGTCCCCCTCCCCCCCCCCCGTCTCCGCGGTCAGTGCCCTCATTTTGCGGCGCCCCCCCCTTTTTCAAAATTCCTAGATCCGCCCCTGTTTATCAATCATTAACCGTTTTTAGTGGACTGGTTAAACTGCTTGGCCGCCCCCACCCACCCACGAGACCAAATAAGCGCCCCCGCGAGACAGATAACCCCCAGGCCCAGTCCCAAAAAATTAAAAACTCAGTTAGGCCCTACATATCGGAAATTTTTTCGCGCCTACGGCGCTCGATTCATTTATGTCTCGAGCTTCTTCTTCCGCTCCCCGTCTTATAGCCTACTAGGCTATCTCATCACTATTATATTCACGATTACAGTGAATTGTTTAATTAGTAGTATCAATAGTGAGTGGGTCGTGGGGAGACATACTGTACAAATATTATGTCAACTCTCACAAATTTCTATAATCGTTCGTTTCAATTTAAACCATATCATTTCAAAGTTCAAACATAAATCCAATTTGAATAATTGAATTGATGTATAGGCTACCTAGGTACATCTACATTCTGATTTATAATTCGTTTGTACCTCATATTGAACGGAAGTCCATCAGTAGACGACATTTGTAATACGAATACGAATACGGTAAAAAGTAGTTATGAGGGCTTAGAGTGCAGGCGGACTAGTTATATTACAAAAGTTAAAAATATTTATTATTAAACTTTAAAAATATAAACAGTAAACCACAGATGATATGGACTGATTAATCAAAGAAGTCCTCGCAATATAGGGATATAGGTAGGCTACTAATTTGCCGGTCACGGAAAAAATGTGATGAATAATTTCTCAAGTGGCCAGCTCTGAGCATAAGCTGCTGAGGTCATGAAAAGATCATTCTCAGATCTGGATTACATCAAAGACCGGGCATTTTTGAACCAAGGGGAAATATCCTCAGTCTGAAAATAGGACTCAAGATACGCTGACAGAGTACGGCGGGCGAAGGCATACGCCACGTGCGCTACAGCCGCGCATTTAGCGGGGGTCTTGGTGCCTCCCCCGGAAGATTTTTTAAAATTAGGATGCCTCAAAATGCTATCTGAGACCATTTCTGGGGATTGTACACCGGCATGTTCGGAAATATAGGCTACATTTCCCGGGCTGAAAATAAGACTTTTGAAATTTTATCGATGCATTTTTCTGGGGGGGACGAGGGTCTGCGGCCTTGATCATAATATGACATGAACTTTATGTTATCTTGAATAAAACTGCTACTACATAGGCAATACGATCTATGTTCTACCTGGACGCTCAGTGTAGCCAGTATGTTGTTCACATTCATTGTGTTTTGGGATTGTGGATTCATATTTTGAACTAAAAGTTTAGTTTTTACAGTTCTTAGGAGTTTCAATGTGTTTACTATACATTAAAAAAAAAATAAACATGCGTAATGGCCAACTGCGTCCCATAGTGTAACCAGGTGTACCCCACATACAGGGCTCATTGGGTCAAAAACAAATTCGGTTTTGCAATATCTGCACAAAAATGGTTTCAATTTCTTAACAGCACTGTTAAATCGAACAAATGACTGGCTTCACCCGAGTACATGGTTTGATTCTCTGTAGGATTTCACCTCTGGTCAATTCACTAAAAAAAAAACAAAAAAAAAAAAAACGCAGGCGCGGACCCAAGGGGGGGGGGGGCGCCCCCGGCGCACGCCCCCCCCCCCCTCCCATATTTTGCGGTGGCGAACAATTTTTTGCCCCATATATTCACGCGGGAAAGGAGAACAAAAATGATCACCCCCTCAGCTGCAGTACTAGTCAGGAGGAAGTATGAAATTAGTCCTTGTGGGCGTTTTTTCCGCTCAAAAATCGCGGTGTTTTTCCCATAGGCCTATACACTCCGCGGAATTAGAGACGTTCTGGGAGGAAAAAAGTCCGCGAAAATATAAAATTTAGTCCATATTGTCACAACGTTATTAGAAAGAAACAAATATTTAATGGAACAATATCACGAGTATATTAGTCGTTTTAGTTAACCTGTAATTCATATATTCACGGGGGGGGGGGGGGGGGCGAAACTTTTTGCGGGGGGGGGGGTGTCTTTGCTCCCCTGCCCCCCTCCCTTAGTTACGGACCAGACTTACTAACAATTCAGAATAGTGTCTACAAGACTACGACACGGTAACAATTTGTTGTTAAAGGGGATTCTATTTTAGTCAATTATCGATTCCTTTTGATAGCACGTGTGAATTCACGTAATTTGGAAGTATGCATTGACTCAAGACTCCTTGGTGCCGAAATGAAAAGGTCATCAAGATATTATACGACTGATACGTGTTAATGTACATGCGTTCAGCAAGGTTTACGGTGACATCTGGCGATGTGTGCTTAAAAACAGAGATGAAGGCATTTAATTCATTTGTGATTTAAACCCGAAGATATATTAGTTCAGGTTTGATTTCTTAATTTAAAATGCATTGTGTGACTTATTTGTCAGAATGGAAATGGCTATTTCAATGGACAAAACTTTCGTCCACGGTAAGACCAGCATCTATGTGTGTAAATTTTGAAGTTTTCGTAATTTGAATGAGTTTGAAATAGACGATCGATGCAAGTATTAAAATGTCGAACATATTGATGAAGTAATGTATCGGTGCAACAATAATTCTGTTTATTTTATTATTTAAAAGCCTGCCAATGTTTGATATTTGTCATATTTTCAATATAAGCCAGTAAAATCTGCGTGTCTAACCGTGTTAAATTAACAATATTTGTTTGCATGCCGTATTAGCTGATATTCGGCTACGATATCACTGCCGTGGAATCGCACGATAAATAAACCTATTTAAAACCAGCTATGGATGTGCTGACTGTACATTTTGTACATGCGTGGAAAGTCCGACTTTTTAAAATTCGCGGTGGGCGGCGGTTTAAAATAATTGCGAAGTTCGGCGGTTTACTCAAATTCGCGGAGGAAATTTAGAGCATGGCCAGAGAGGATTGATTAACCGACGTCGGCGATTTTTCATTTTCGCCCGGGTCGGACGTCGGGGAAATTTAATACTTCCGTTTGACTAGTACTGTAGGTAGGTGCCGAAACTCATGTTGCTAAACGAATTAACAGTCATTTTGGGTTGGAAATCGTAATTTACCCCGAAACGAGCCGGTTGATGACTTGGTTGATTGCCCATCACTCCCAAGTGGGGGCAGCACCCCCCCCCCTTTCTGAAAATCCTGGATCCGCCCCTGTTCTTGTCCACTTTGCTCCGCTCTCCTCTACTCCTTGGCACGTACTATAGCTGGGAACTGAAACCACGCCACTTTACTCGATGACAAAAATGAAACGAAATGGGGGTTTAACTGGCTAATGCAGAGAAGACGGGCATACGTCATACATTGTGCTAACGGGACCTCGGTTTTTCGTTCCATCTGAACGACTATACGTTGTCCGGTGCCAGAACCCCCGTCCTGCGGTTGACATGAAGACGGGGCATACATCATGCTCTTCATACATTTCCAACTGCAAAAGCTGTTGGATGGCTGAATCATTAAGTCTGTCATTGAGTCAACTGGCGTGGTTTCGAATCCCCGGTTGTACGTGTCCAACCTCGTGCGTTTTCTCCGAGTCCTCCGGTTTCCGCCCACTGTTAAAGACCCCTACGCGCAAGCGAATTATTAACATAAAATGAAACCATATGTTAGTGCCCAAATGACCTAGTCTGTGTCGAGTGGACGTTAAACTCCATTTCTCTCTCTCTCTCTCTGCTTTTACACGAAGGGTAGGCTAGGCTACACGAGTGAATCTTAGTTTTATCCTATCCTTCCTATGGGGAAGCCAGGTTTCGAAATCCCGGATACTTATGGTTAGGGAGCCAGCACCATACGAGTAAGGAAAATTATGCTTCCCCATAATGTCATTCAAATCATCTTTGAGTGTAAAAAGACAGGAAAGGAACAAACCTTCATACTGATCTGTCAGATAGTTTACTAACGTAACATAACACATACTTTACTACTAGTATACCGACATAACACATACTTTACTACTAGTATACCGACATAACACATACTTTACTACTAGTATACCAACATAAGACATACTTTACTACTAGTATACCAACATAATACATACTTTACTACTAGTATACCAACATAATACACACTTTACTACTAGTATACCAACATAACACATACTTTACTACTAGTATACCAACATAACACATACCTTACTACTAGTATACCAACATAACACATACCTTACTACTAGTATACCAACATAACACATACTTAACTAATAATATACCAACATAATACATACCTTACTACTAGTATACCAACATAACACATACTTTATTACTTGTATACCAACATAACACATACTGATCTGTCAGATAGTTTACTAACGGTACATTAACGTAACATAACACATACTTTACTACTAGTATACCGACATAACACATACTTTACTACTAGTATACCGACATAACACATACTTTACTACTAATATACCAACATAATACATACTTTACTACTATATACCAACATAACACATACTTTACTACTAGTATACCAACATAACACATACCTTACTACTAGTATACCAACATAACACATACCTTACTACTAGTATACCAACATAACACATACCTTACTACTAGTATACCAACATAACACATACCTTACTACTAGTATACCAACATAACACATACCTTACTACTAGTATACCAACATAACACATACTTAACTAATAATATACCAACATAATACATACCTTACTACTAGTATACCAACATAACACATACTTTATTACTTGTATACCGACATAACACATACTTTACTACTAGTATACCAACATAATACATACTTTACTACTAGTATACCAACATAACACCTACTTTACTACTAGTATACCAACATAACACATACCTTACTACTAGTATACCAACATAACACATACCTTACTACTAGTATACCAACATAACACATACTTTACTACTAATATACCAACATAATACATACCTTACTACTAGTATACCAACTTAAAACATAGATATGACGTCACCCTTTGATGTTTTTAACCAGTATATATGAGAATGTACGCTTTTCTTAAACAATCGTCTATTATTTATAAAACTGTCCATTATTTTTAATAAATAATGGACAGTTTTATAAATAATAGACGATTGTCTAAGAAAATACCAATAATAGACACACGTATCTCTGAAAAATGGACATGTATTTTGAGATAATTTATTCTCTGAACAAATTAAATTACAGAACATGAAATTACTTTAAAACCTCGATCATAGTTACCGAAATGTCACATGACCGAATGTTGATTTCACGTGTTTGTCTACATAAAGAATTCCACTTAAATCCGTCCGTTATATGTCACTTGTCTGTTTAATAGTACGTTCGGCACTAGATCGATGATACGTTTTTATAGGCCTACATTTTCACACCTTCTTTGTGGACACTCTACGGGTCATAACTTGAAATACAGGTATATATCCCAAAGACCTCGGTTCCTTTCGATATTGTTTTTGTATGGGACCGTAACTTCATGGATTATGGCCCCTGACTGTACACACTGGAGGTCACAATTATTATTAGCCCATTTTGATGAAACTGAACATGTGTGTTTATAACCCAAAGATTTCGATTCCTTGCGATATTGGCCCCTAACTTCCTGGATTATGGCCCCTGATTTTCTACTTCTTCTACTTCTACCAGGTAGTGTCCACAATCATGGTTGATTATTTTGACACGGTATGGGTTGCGCATGGCCGGCGTGATGATGAAAAGTTAAAAACGGGAAGAAAAGTTAAAAAAAAAACAGGATAAAAATGACGTGGTGTCGAAGCTCACAGAGCCCCAGACAACATGGACTTGAAGATCTCGAGAGTGTCGGAGGATGGAATGTCTGGTGGTAAAGCATTCCACTATATATTGTTCTTGGGAAGAAGGAGAATTTCTTGGTGTCATTCCTGGCAGATGGAATTTGGAAAGTTTGAGGGTGCGTGTGTCTAGTTGTCCTATTTGGTGGAATTAGCATGTCTGTTGTGATGTTAATGAGGTTGTTGTGGATCTGATTGAACAAAAAAACGTCTTTTGAGCCTGTGGAACCTATACAGGTCACAATTTTTATCCCTTTATAAACAAACGTTCAAATATATCACCGTTACACCATATATTAAATTTTAAATAAAAATTTGGACGGCCGGTACCCTCCATATTAACCACAGTACTAAGAATATTATCAATATCTAAATCATTCTCGTGAGCAGCCTTTCCATCACAACTTTGACGGCTATTATTCCCCCATATCAAGACCATCACAATTTTTACGGCTATTATCTTCCATATAGAGTACATTACCAATGTAATCAGTATCCAAATGCTTATCACATATATTCTCATTATTTATATTTGTTTTCGACTGTGTTATAAACATGTCGTCTCCATGTCGAATATATTTTTGACTGTCTGTGTATGCTTGCATTGTATGAGTGGAGTGTTTTTTCACATGCATTCATGAGCATGTGCATGTTGTTTTAAGAATAATGGCTTGTTGTTTTAGAAAACTATCCATTATTTGTATCTCTATGGTGCTATGTTTTAAGTTTGATAATAGCCTCAGACTGTCCATTATGTAAATACAAAGAAAAACTTCGGGGCTGACGCCCCTCAGTTGTTCTTTCTATTTACATAATGGACAGTCTTCGGCCATTATCCATCACATAACACATACTTTATTACTAGTATACGAACATAACATATACTTTACTACACTACTAGTACACCAACATAACACATACCTTACTATTAGTATACCAACATAACATACTTTACTACTAGTATACCAACATAACACATACTTTACTACTAGTAGTAGTTCAACTTAACACATCTACTTTGTTGAGCTCTCCTTGATCTGCTGAAATACATGTATTTATTGATATACGAAGCCAAGTGGTATGTATTTCTCTGTATGTTACAGCCCATAAGAACAAGCACCTCCTCAGATATAACATTAACAAGTGGAAAAGTCCACAGCACATTTCGTTGGGAGTGCCGTAGCCGGAGGACAGGCAATATACCATTGTCAGTCATATAAAACAGCCATTGAAAACAATGTTATATTATAATATATATGATCATTTGCTCTTAGTTTTTGACAACATATCAACAATATGGCTCTGTGATGTATCTGCTAATGACGCTAATATTTGTTTAACATTACCAGACTGTCGTCTTAAAACTCTAATTAAACAACGTGATTTTTCATTTTTACTTCTTTCCCTTTCAACCGCTTCATGATCATTAACGTGTATTATACATTGTTCAAACAGTTTATCGGCTAGTCTCATGGCGTCCATATTTTCCACGAGAAACGAATGATTAGTTCGAAGTGCATCCAGCCATTGTTCTTCAGTGAGTGAGGCCACCGAGCCGTCCTGGGTGTTGGAGTTATTTAATGTGGGTATTTCAAACAACTCGCATTCTGTGGGCGAGGTCACCGATTCCTCTTGGGTGTCTGGTTTATTAACGGTAGGTGTTTCCAAAGATTCTTCGTCTGTTGAAAATGGATCAACTCTTCCTTGATTGGGATTCTCGTCTGTTTTTAGCTCAGTTACTTCCCCTGGCTTATCCGTGTTCTGAATAATAGGAAATGAAATGAAATGAAATGAAATGGGATTTAACGTCCTACTGTTTTGCTCCGAACTGAGCTAATGAAGACGGGCACACGCCATACAGTGTGCTATGAGGGAAATTTTGCCCGGACAGCGGTACCACGGGCTACTCTTATATCGAATTCCAACTGTCAAGGGATCTTTTACGCGCACGCCAATGTGTACACGGGACCTCGGTTTTTCGTCTTATTCGAATGACTAGAAACTGTCCTTGTCAGGCCCTCTGTCCTGCATCACTGACAAGGGGGGATCACGCCGAAAATCTGAATAATAGGCAATTACTATAAAACATAAATTGTTTCACTATCAGGCTAATATATATAAAACGGATAAAACAATTGGAGTTTTTAACAGAAGAAATGAAATGGGTTTTAACGTCCTACTGTTGTGCTCCGACTGGGCTATTGAAGACGGACAGTGTGCTATGAGGGAAATTTTGCCCCGACAGCGGCGCTACGACCTACTCTTATATCGAATTTCAACTGCCAAGGGATATTTTACGTGCACGCCAACGACTATACACTGTATGAAGTATGCCCGTCTTGATTAGCCCAGTCGGAGCAGAACAGTAAGTCGTTAAACCCCATTTCGAGAAGGTTGGATGGCCGAATGGTTAGCGCGTGCGGGGTGTATCATAAGGTCTGTCATTGAGTCAACTGGCGTGGTTTCGATTCCCCGGTTGTAGGTGACAACGAGTAGGATCGCCTGTCCAACCACGTGGGTTTGCTCCTGGTCCTCCGATTTCCTCCCACTGCTAAAGACACTACGCGCAAGCGAATCATTGAAATAAAATTGAACCATATGTTAGTTTGTGTCGAGTGGACGTTAAACCCCATTTTTCTCTCTCCCCCATTTCATTTCGAACCGACGCCATGCGGTGTGCTACGTGGGAAACTTTACCCGGACAGTCGTGTTTCCGCTTAATGTTTTTCGAATCGACCAAGTGCACGCCATTCTGCACACAGCGATCCATCTATTTCATACTTCGAGAATAGATCTCTTTTCTGAATGGCCGCCATATCCAACCGTTTCACATCTGTTTTACACAAAAAGAATATATACTTCTCCAAATTCTCGAAAAATACTCAGTGTTTTCGACTAAAATCATCGATTTAGGACTTATAATGTCGGTCAACTAGCTTAGTGTCTGTTCTCAGGCGGAGCTAACTGTAAACAGACAGCTTAAGTTTAGTATGAGTACACGGGTGGACCCCCGGTTTTCGCCCCAAAGAATCTCTTAGCCAACACAGGGTCGAACCCGGTACTCCCTGGTCATTGACTCCTGTAAATAACAATCAAAAACAGACACTTACGTCATATGTGTAATGGCCATCTCCGAAAAGGTCCATTGAATCTATGCTGGTTTGAGAACCCATAGGATTAACACGAAGATACGTCTCCGAACCACTTTCAGATGAACTCAGGCGGGATTGGTTCGTATCCGTCGCTGTTGATGTTGACCTGACATGGTCCGCAACTGCAGTCAAGTACGCAGAATGGTTCCCAAGCCCTGTTGGATTGTGGTCCGCTACTGCAGTTAAATATGTAGACCGGTTCTCGACTGAGTCTTGCAAGCTCGGAGGCGGACTATCAATGATTTCTATATATCCACCATCTTCTCCTGTAAATGAAGAAACAGTGCCATGGAGAAAATATAACTATTCTTGGGATGTCTATCTATAAAGAGATAGTTCGAGGGTTCGCTACAATATCCCAAACAGAGTTGTCTTCCTTTGCAGTCCATACTAACCTTGTGTGGAGAATGGGTTAAATGAGGTTTAACGTCCTACTATTCTGCCCCGTCTGTTCTAATAAAGGCGGGGTTCGCTATGGAAATGAAATGAAATGGACTGGGGTTAAACGTCCTACTGTTCTGCTCCTACTGGGCTAATGAAGACGGGCATACGCGTAGGGATCTTTAGCAGTGGGGGAACACCGGAGGACCCGTAGAAAACCCATGAGGTTGGAAAGGCGACCCTACTCCTTGTCACGTATACATCCGGGGATCTAAACCACGCCAGTTGACTCACTGATTGACCTTATGATAACGCGCGTTAACCATTCGGCCACCCCCACCCCACCCCCAAATGACGCATAGAGACTTTAAGGAAGTTAGGGTTGAACGTCCTACTTTTCTGCACCCAAAGGACTTCGGGTTTTCGTTCTATCCGAAAAACTCAAATATCCACCTACCTTTATGCATTGTTGCTATGGAAACTTTTATTCTGAACAACTCTAGTATAAGATATATGGGTCGGTGGGTAGTAGTAGTAGGGGAGACAACCTCTATATTGGTTTTTCTACCATCATTAATACAAGTTATGCTATCACCACCATTCCACATAATACTAAAAATTCCCGAAGTATCTCTCTTAAATTTAACCAGCGGGCAGATGTGTTTAAAGACTTCTCCTAAAGAAATCAGAGTGAAACACGTTAAAAGACTTCTGAACAAATTTAAGTTAAAGAGGAGGAGAAATGTGTTTAAAGGCCTCTCCTGCCATGAAGACATCAGAGGGGAAATGTGTTTAAAGACTTCTCTAGTAGAAATCAGAGGGAAATGTGTTTAAAGACTTCTCTAGTAGAAATCAGAGCGAAATGTGTTTAAAGACTTCTAGTAGAAATCAGAGGGAATTGCGTCAGATGGGAAAGGCCGGGTTATTTCAGAGTGCCAAATTTAGGAGGGAAACAGAGTTGGTGATAAGAGTTTTCACGTATTTGGCCATATTTGAAACCAACTCTGCAGCCTTCAGATTCTACATCACTATAAAGACCACATTACTATTAAGACCAATTTTTATCAGTCCAGCAACTGGTCTTAACCGGAAGGTTTCACTGTATACCATATATGGATGTACCCTACATACCTGTATAATAGTCTTGTATAGAATCAAGGTGCAGTTGTTGTGGAGTTTTGTTGGACACGCCAACAGAAAGATAGGACCAATTACAATTAGGTATTTGCTCTACTCTTAACATAATAGTCTTATCTGTAGTCATCGGTACACGACATCCACACAGAGCCAGCGGATTCGAATACCTTAGTTTTGTTGTAGCACCGCCCTGTAGCTGTTCCACATTTAAACCACACGACACGTTCCAGTGCATTTGCTTGACTTTAGTTGGAACTGAAGAAAATCATTTCAAAATGGAAAATTTTAATAGGACATATTTCGTTTTTTATGTTCTTCGTGCTCTCTCTCTCTCTCCCTCTCCATCTCCGGGGGTGGGGGTAGGTGGTTAACGCATGCGCGTTGGATCAGAAGGTCTTTCATTGAGTAAACAAGGACAACAAACCCATCAGAATGCATACTTCTGTAGCAACAGTATCAAACATAAGCTTATCGCGGCGAGTAACGTACTAGCCCACTATCTATAGATAGTTCGTCCCGTGATGATACCGGGGTTGGCCCAGAAAGTTCCAACTTGGTTTCCCTCTTGTCTGTGGTACAGGACGAAGGCCCTGACAAGGGACGCCACATTGTCGTTCGGATGGGACATAAAAAAAACCCATGGCAACTGCTGGAATTGGATGTAGTGTAAAAGGAATCGCTGCTCTCCGGCAGAATTTACTCATTGCTCACTGCATCGCATGTGTCCGTCTGCATTAGCCCAGTCGGTGCACAGGAGTACGGCATTAAACCCCATTCTATTAAACATGCATTATGCAAGAGCTAAATCTGCCTATTCAAGGTCTTTCTTTAGGCCTGAAATGTTATATAAACTATTAATTAGACATTAATTAACGTATCCAGAACATAATCAACTCTCGATGGCAGCGCTATCCTGCGATAATTGTTGGATTATTATCCGATTTGCTGCATAACTTTCCTTCTCGATTTAACGATTAAATGGATAATCGAGACCATGATTTTTGTCGTACCGACTTTAGTAATGATGACCGAGGCTGTGCGGAACTTTCGATCGCTTATTTCTCGGTGCATAGTGGATCAATTTGACTGAAATTGTCAGCAAATTGCCTTTACATTATCTAGTTTTTAACTATTATAGTGAGAACTGCCAACTCGTTATCTAATCTCCCATAATGTATCTTTAACTATAATTTACTACCTTTAGTAGTCATCGTCCAATGCAGATCATAGGCTATGTAATTCGACTGATACGCCATACAAGATTGGTAAAGTCTAACAATTAGAGCCAACTGCAGATTTTGTCAAAGTCGCGGGATGTAAACGGGGCTAGGGCACGTGATTGTTGAAGAGATTGTGGGTGTGGTTTAAGGTTAGGTCTAGGGTTAGCGCTAGCCCGGTCTCGTAACCATTAACCAAATCTGCAGTTGGCCATGATTTTTAGACCTAACATAAAAACCGTACACAATCCGACACTGTTTATGCGCCGGCGTTTTACTCAATGGGCGACCGTGGCTCACCGAAACCCCACTCTATTGATCTTATTATAACCAGGACCGAGTTAAGCTTGCATCGGAACCCTGTCTGAAACTGTCACGGGGACCCTTGCATCCACAGTGAAATGGGGGCATATTCTGGCCATTGTCCGTCACACTCACGCATAAGCAAATTGTTTGCAATATACTAGAGATTCATTTGGCAAAATCGTAACAACATAATAAATTAAATCATAAATTGTTTTTTTTTTGTAACTAAGTTGGGATCCCCTTGGCTACAGCCTGCTCTCCCCTCCCCCTTTAATCCGGGCTCCGGGTTCACAGTTAGCCTTGTTTTAATTAAAATATAACCATTTATAAAACTTTTGTTGCTTTAATGTATCAAATACATCAATAACAAACTATGTGCAAAGTTTTGTGTTTCTGGATAAAAGATATTTCTCATAAACATACATTTAAAGATACATTATGGGAGATTAGATAAAGAGCTGGCAGTTCTCACTATAATAGTTAAAAACTAGATAATGTAAAGGGAATTTGCTGAAAATTTCAGTCAAATTGATCCGCCGAGAATTTTGCAATTGAATTTTCGGCCTAGCCTCGATCATCATTACTAAAGTCGGTACGGAAAACCAACATAGTCTCGATTATCCATTTCATGATTTAATCATGAATGAAAGTAGAGCAACAAATCGCACCCTAATCCAGTAAATATCGCAGGCTAGCGATGACGTCGAGAGCTGATTATGGTCTGGATAAGTTAATTAATGTAAAATTAATAAATAAGATAACATTTCAGGCCTTAAGAAAGAACTGCAATTGGCAGATTTAGCTCTTGCATAATGTATGTTTAATTTGATAACATAGTTCCTAAACAAAAACTTGCAATAGGCAGATTTAGCTCTTGCATAATGTATGTTTAAGCCTGGGAATGCTTTGTAAACTCGGAGCCTGACCTGATTATATCATAGCTTACCCACACTTCTAAAAGTAACATCAATATCACCAAATAATAAACCACAATATAAATAATATGATTTAGTCTTCTTCGTGTAATTGACATGTCTCTTCGATCCTACATCGTCTTTATCGTAAATCCAGATCTTCCCCTTTTCTAAGCATTCCACCAATAAATTTGCTATATTCTTCTTTATACGAATTTGATAAAGAAGTGTACATATCGAATCCAAGGAAACTGCACCTATGAATTAAATTGCTAAATAATAGATATGCCTTTATATTAAAGCGAGAATTTCATATTTTCTAAGAAAGCAAAACATAATTATTTCTATGTCTTTTGCTCAATAGGTTGTCAACTCACTATTTTACGATCATAGGTATCATTCTCACACTTATAAATCCTTGACCCCGGAAATAATAACACAATTACCTCCCTTGTTTTTCTATTCCCCCCATGGAATAGCTATCTTCAAACGTTTGAATTTGAAGTTGAAAATGATATTTTTGCCGATCCCTGCATTGTCCGAGAAGTTCATCCCGATTTTCCGGCGTGGTTCTCCCTTTTCAGTGATGCACGACGGAGGGTCTGACAAGGAAAGCTGTCTTGTCGTTCGGATGGGACGAAAACCCGAGGTCCCGTGTACACATTGGCGTGCACGTAAAAGATCCCTTGACAGTTGGAATTCGATATAAGAGTAGGCCGTGGTGCCGCTGTCTGGCCAAGTTTCCCTCATAGCACACTGTATGGCGTATGCCCGTCTTCATTAGCCCAGTTCGGAGCAAAACAGTAGGACCCCATTTCATTTCATTTCATTTCTCTACATATGCCTTATTAAAGTTTAAATGAAACGAAATGAAATAGGGTTAAACGTCCTACTGTTCTGCTCCGACTGGGCTATAAAAGACGGGCATGTGCCATACAATGTGCTATGAGGGAAATCTTGCCCGGGCAACATCACTATGACCTACTCTTATATGAAAATATATACACAGAACTTTAGTTTTTCGTCCAATCCAAATGACTAGACAGCTGTCCTTAACGATTTAACCTTTTTTAAAAATGGCCGCCAGCGTACACTCAACAAAAACTAGGTCATTTCGGGACTAACCCACGAGGTTAGACAGGCAACCCTCTTTCTTGTCACGTACAAGCGGGGAATCGAAACCACATCACTTGACTCAATGACAGTCTAATGACAGACCTTATGATGCAAGCGCACAACTTGCACAAGTTAACCATTCGGTGTCCCCTGATGGGCCGACAAGTCGAGATCTATCTGTGTACTCATTGGTGTACATAGTGGCGTCGTGCCCATTGGGGCCCGGGGGGGGGGGCTGGGCCCCCCCAAATTCTCAGTGAAATAAAAATATTTTTATTGATATTATTAAGACAGAAGACCTGTCCGTCTATTTTAGTCATCACATGGTCTCCAGGAATTGTATAATTTGTCATTATCCGTGTTTAGTTTATTGCACTTTAGTTTAGATATCATTTGTTAAGGCCTCGCCATAGAGCTATATTTCTATATAACTCGCTTCGTACACTCTATCATTTAGCCTCGATCTAAAATTTCCGGGAGTATGACGTCAATGTAACGGTTAATGTTAATCTCCGCTCACGTCGCCATTTAAAAATTTAATCAATCAATGAAATCCTGTTTAAATCCAAGCCGAATCCAAGCCATCCGGGGGTTTACGAACAGAGTTGATTTTGTGCTTGTTGTGTAAATCCCTATTTATGATTGTATGTTGTATTTGATAAAATATCCATATACGGGTGTCAAAAATAAAGACTGAAAGTATTTTTTATTAAAATACAAATACATCTAAATACGTATTTGACCATGCATGAAGTTGTTCGAAATGATGAATAAAATATAATTCAGTTTTCGAGTGATAAATAACAATTATCACTAAAAAAACGACCATTTTTCAATCATAACTTTATTGTCTCTAATACATCGAAATGGCGTTTCCCGGCTTCTAATTTTAAAAATTTTCCAGGGGAGGCCCCCCCCCCCCGTAACCCCCTTGCATGCTCATGCCTACTGCATTCGATGTGTGCGGCGCTACCGCCAACACTCTCCGCAGCCAGTAATTTTAATTTACCATGAACACACTTGCAGAAAGTTGGGCCCCCCTAAAAAAAATTTTTGCACGACGCCCCTGTTGGTGTACACGCATCAGTTTAACCCTTGACAGTTGGTGTACACACAGAAGATTACACCTTGGCAGTTGGTTAATGGGGTTTAACGTCCACTCGACACAGACTAGGTCATTTCGGGACTAACATATGGTTTAATATTATTTCAATAATTCGCTAATTGCGTGTAGGGGTCTTTAGCAGTGGGAGGAAACCGGAGGACCCGAAGAAAACCCACGAGGCTGGACAGGCAACCCTACTCCTTGTCACGTACAACCGGGGATTCGAAACCACGCCAGTTGTCTCAATGACAGGCCTTATGATACAGCGCGCACGTGCTAACCATTCGGCCATCCAAACCCCGGCCTGCTAAAAGAATGGACGGTACACCCCATTTCTTTCTTTCTGTTCAGACTTGAGTATGGAAGTTACAACATAGGCTTAATTATATTGATGACTGTCGGTTGTCTGTTTAGGGTGGGCGGCTACTGCACTAGGGCTGCTCTGAAGATGAAATTTGGGATATGTCGACAGCTCGAGGCGGGACGTGACATCCGATGGCGATGCACTACCACTTCCGGTTTTGGATTTATACTACTTTCGGTTTCACTGTCCAGTGGCTCTACCCGTGCAATGCCGCTTAAACATCTAGTTAACTAATAATAATAATTACCACTCCGTATATCGTTTAAAGATGGTGGTCTATCAGATATTCCAACAATCACGCGACCGTCACCTTTAACAACCAACTCGTATCTGTCACCCTTTTTAATTGGCCTATTGCTAACACATATCCCGTCATGTCTTTTTTGATTCCATGTTAATGTATAATCATTTATCTTATGGGTGTTGTTTCCACGACAATCAGAAAATGGCATGTCATACTGAAAAGGTTGCAGGTAGTCAGCAGCCATATTTGTGTGGTTATTGACCCTGAAATACAGAAATAAGTAAAATAGACTTTCATTCTGGTGAGAAAATCATTTGAAGATTATAATTAAAGATACATTATGGGAGATTAGATAAAGAGATGGTAGTTCTCACTATAATAGTTAAACTAGATAATGTAAAGGGAATTTAATGAAAATTTCAGTCAAATTGATCCACCCTGAACCGAGTATTTAGCGATTGAATTTTGATTCTAGCCTCGATCATCATTCTTAAAGTCGGTACGATAAAACACATAGTCTTGATTATCCATTTTTTGATTTAATCAGAAGCAGCATCCCAAACTTTGGCTGCCTGTCTACAGCTAGCTCTAATAAGTATGACGTAGATGGATCGCTGTGTGCAGTATGCAGAAACAGCAGACCTCGTTCTAATCCAGTAAATATTACAGGCTAGCGATGCCATCGAGAATTGATTATGGTCTGGATAAGTTAATTAATGTATAATTAATAATTTAGATAACATTTCAGACCTAAAGAAAGACCTTTAATTGGCAGATTTAGCTCTTGCATAATGTATGTTTAATTTGATAACATAGTTCCTAACTTTACTCCACATGGGGAGCCACGGTGGCAGGGTGAGTAAGACGTTGGCTCGCTAACCTGTAGTTCCCGTGTTCGATTCCGGTGTTGGCCTAGAAAATTCATCTGGATTTTCCGGCGTGGTTCCCCCAAGAAGCTTAGCTGGGCGTATAGTCGTTCGGATGCGACGAAAATCGAGGCCCCATGTACACATTGGCGTGCACGTAAAAGAACCCTTAACAGTTGGAATTCGATATAAAAGTAGGCCATAGCGCCGCTGTCCGGGCAAAATCTCCCTCATAGCACACTCTATGGCGTATACGACTAGCTGTCTTCATTAGCCCAGTCGGAGGAGAACAGTAGAGCGTTTTAATTAACACCATTTCATTTCCTTTACTACACAAGACACGGATAACTAAAAATATGAACACCAGCAACTTCGGAAAACAACTTAGGATATTCATGGAAATCAACTAGATTATTCAGGGAGGCAACAACAATCTAGATCGGAAAACCTTTCTAGCCTGGAGGTCTTGTGGTCGATCCCTGCATTGGCCGAGAAAGTTCATCCAGAGATCCATAAAGATGGCGGTGTGAATAATATATATATATATATATATATATATATATATTTAGGGTTTATAGATCAGAATAATTGTTGGACAAAAATATTTTCTAAGAAGAGAAAACCTTTGCTTGTGTATGGCCTTAAAATCTACATTTAACCGTTATTCTGGCATCCTGTGGTTTTAAATGGACAATAAACATATCCAGGTTTCTAACAGAGAGAGAGAGAGAGAGAGAGAGAGAGAGAGAGAGAGAGAGAGATGGGGTTTAACGTCAACTCGACACAAACTAGGTCATTTCGGGACTAACATATGTTTTTTAAAATTTTATTTCAATAATTCGCATACGCGAAGAGGTCTTTAGCAGTGAGAGGAAATCGGAGGACCCGGAGAAAACCCACGAGGTTGGACAGGCGACTCTACTCCTTGTCACGTACAACCGGGGATTCGAAACCACGCCAGTTGACTCAATGACAGGCTTTATGATACAGCACGTTTGTGCTAACCATTCGGCCATCCAACCCCCCAGGTTTCTAACAGGAATAAAGTATTTAATTCCTACATACACAAGTTTCACATAGGTTTCCAAAATTTTCCGACGGACAGGTTGACGACATAAGCTTTGATTGTGTATGACCGTAAACTCTATTTTGGCATGCTCGGGTTTTAAATCGAGAATACCCCGTACCAACCCCTACACTACTCTAGATTTGGACTCAGGCTAGCAATTATTTGCCCATTGACTTCAATGTTAAATGGCTGTAACATCACAGGCATAACTTTTTGCTCAATATTCCGTTGGTTCCAACCTTTATAGGTACAATGGGGACCACATTTGGCAATCTCCTCATCATAATTTTGTAGGGGGTTGACCGTTTAGATTTTTCGCTACGGGGATTTGAAGTTGACTGGGGTGAAAATCTCACTTCCGACACAATGATTGCTCTGCAGAAAGACACTTTACACCCCCTATCCCTCCGCTGTACATAATATCATCAGTATTACCCAAAACTGCTATGAAATTGCAAATTTGATCCCATTTCTCCAATTGTAGACCAAAAAGTCAACCCAAAAGGAGTAGGGTTGCCTGTCAAACCTCGTGGGTTTTCTCCGGGTCCTCCGGTTTCCTCCCACTGCTAAAGACCCCTACGCGCAAGCGAATTGTTGAAATAAAATTAAACCATATGTTAGTCCCGAAATGACCTAGTTTGTTTCGAGTGGACGTTAAACCCCATTTCTCTCTCTCTTTAATGTGATCGCACTACATTCGTGAAATAAGGGGAAATAATTACTAGTCTGAGACCATTTGAAACCGGAAGACTTTACGAGTATTTACTGCCAGTGTTATGGGAGAGCCTATTTTTAGTCCGGATGGGGAGGTAGGGAATTTCCACTTGCCGAGTTATAGACAGCAGAAGGATTAGAGGTAGGGGTTTCCGGTAGGTAACCCGCACACTTACCCCAACCCAGAAATCCTCCCAAATGAATTTCCCGAAGGGAAATGACCTACACTACCGGCCTGCACTCCTGCCCAACCAATCAGCCTGAACCCCCACCAACCGACCTGTAGGCCTATAGATAGGAGACGCGACACACCACGGCGCATGTAGAATGGAGGGTAGCTTTGACCCGTTTATCACTTACCTGCTATTCTATAAGCTGTCTCTGTAAGACTAAAACGTAAACCTCTGTACAGCTTAGAAACGAATCGTCTATGCAGACACGTTTAAAATTGAAATTGACTTCCTGGTAATTTTAGCTTACGGTGTTCTCAAATTAGTTAGCAAATTTCCACGAAGCTTAAAATAGATCCAGTATAAGTTTAGGCCTACATGTGTTTTCTCTGAATTGAGGTCAAATCACAGGGGCATGTGATTTATAACTATATGATATGCACAATATGTCATATATTGCGCTTAGTTAAATTGACAGTTTCAGACATAATATCAATTTTTGACCAAATCAAATAGGCGGTTTCTCCTTTAACGTTAATATTGGGTGCTACGGTGGCTCGATGGGTATGGCACTGGCTACTAATGTTAATTCGGGCGCCACGGTCGTTCGGTTTGGTATGGCACTGGCTCACTATCAGGAGGTCTAGAGTTCGTGAAAGTTCTTCGTTATTTTTCCACCTGGTTTCTACTAAACTGATGTTCAGGACTGGGTCACCCGCAAGGCACAGCGTTTAATCGTTCGAATGGGGTGAAATACCGAGGTCCCGAGTGTAGCATTTTACTTATAATATGGGTTTGTCCTTTTAGCGTTACTTTGATCGGGGGCTAGCTCACTATCAGGGTGTCTATGGCTCGTTTAGCGAAAGATCTTCGTTATTTTCGAACCTGGTTTCTCCCGAGTTCCCCGCAAGGAAATGTGTTCAGTCGTTCGGATGGGGCAATAACAAAAAAGAGGTCCTTTGTGTACCATTGGCGGTTTAGAATATTTTTCTTTAGGACTACCCAATTACTTAGAAAACGCTTCGGGAAAGCGGGTGTTGATTTTTTTTTATGACACCTTTTAGGACCAGGTGGCAAAACATGCTACACCTATGAGTTTACATTTACTGTACCAGGTAGATGTAAAGAAATATACGAAGACGATCAATTGTAGAAAGAGACCAGAAGGAAATAAAAAAATGTAATGGATGCTATTGCTTGCGACCATAGCAAATGGATCTGAAATCGATAATTCTTTATTGTGTGACAGAACAGAGTATCAGCAATGTTCATGTCAAAAAGGGGAGCCACTAAGGCTCTGTAAATGTCAGGATTAAACATGAATAAACGGGATAATCTGAAAGAGTACGTACGTGGGTGTGTAGGGGGGGTATTCCTGGATCCGCCCCTGTACATGTGGGGATGTCTTTGGTTAGCATAAGAGAAATCCATGGAGTGATATTTATGAAGAATGTAGACCAATTTTGTATAAATTTAAAAACACGAAATTAAGCACCGAAGGGCGTCCGTCAACAACAGTTACGTGCGTGTCGAGCCTGTTCTTGACCAGGGGTGTTTTGGAGGTTAGGCCCGGCCTATGCAGTTATTTTTTCTTCCACAACATGGTAACCGGGTACTGTTGCCGGCCCAACCCCACGTGGGTTTTCTCCGGGTCCTCCGTACTGCTCAAGTGGACGTTAATCTCTCACTCTCTCTATTGGTAAACTACGATGATGGGATGAGGTCAGACAAACGTCGGAGGTCTGGTGGCTACTGGAGTACAATCTGTCGAACTCAGATGGGCTAAAAGTGAGAGAATTTCCAGTTCGGCTTGCGAAGCAGGAGGGGGTCATGTGGGTCGACCGCCCCTCCCCCACTACCAAAAATAAAAGAAGAAAAAATTGAAATAATTGATGCCAATTGGTGAATTCTGACGTATATCCTGGAGCTTGGGTATAAAAAATAAGCATGTTTGGTAACCTGAAAAGGGTCACTGGATAGTGACAATCGAAAATAAAGTCATCCTATTATTAGTCATCTCAATAAATCGCTTGGGCGTAGGGGTCTTTAACAGTGGGGGTTTAATCCAGCGAACGAGGCTGGGCTGACTCCTTGTCACGTACAACCGGTGAATCTAAACCACGCCACTTGACTGGATGACAAACCAGATGGGGTGCAGAAACTCTAAACCATGATATATAAAGCTCGCCATTGGGTCCCCTCTCTATAGAGAGAGAGAGAGAGAGAAATGGGGTTTAACCTCCACTAGACACAAACTAGGTCATTTTGGGACTAACATATGGTTTAATTTTATTTCAATAATTCACTTGCGCGTAGGGGTCTTAAGCAGTGGGAGGAAACCGGAGGACCAGGAGAAAACCCACGAGGTTAGACAGGCGACCCTATTCCTTGTAACGTACAACCGGGGATTTGAAACCACACCAGTTGACTCAATGACAAGCCTTATGATACAGCGCGCACGTGCTAACCATTCGACCTCCAACCCCCTCATATAAAACTAGGTCATTTCGGGACTAACATGTTTTAATTTTATTTCAATAATTTGCTTGGTCTTAAGCAGTGGGAGGACCCGGAGAAAACCCACGAGGTTGGACAGGCGACCCTACTCCTTGTCACGTACAACCAGGGATTTGAAACCACGCCAGTTGACTTCAATGACTGGCCATATGATACAGCACGCACGTGCTAACCATTCGGCCATCCAATCCCCTCATATAAAACTAGAAGTCTTTGTTAACATCATATATTATTTTATTTCATTGTATAGTATAGTATGATAAAATATTTAAATAATCTTGTGACAAATAAATGATAATTATTTTATACAATATATCGAATTAAATATATACAAAACAATAAAGCCTTAATTGCGGTAGGCTATACCAGAAACCAGAGCAACATTTACACTGGAAATTGGGTGCGGCGCCGAGCGTTTACACATGGCGGCGTAATTATCTTGGCATTACGTGCTGGGTTTAAGCCATGTCTATCTATGATTTAAATATCCCGGGACTATATAATCATGGCATTTCGTGTTGAGTTTAAGCTGTCCTGGTACCAAATAATCACAGCACAATTTTCGTGTTACATATCCCGGTGCCATTATAATGACGGCGTTATAGGCCTAATCATAGCATTTTGGGCTCTGCTATAATACGCTATAATACTATAACAGACTTTAAACATGTTCCGCGACCAAATAATGACGGCGTAATAATAAATGGCATTTCGTGCTTTGCTTTAAACGATACATGGCTCGTGCTGTGCATTTATTGTACATAATGGCTTTCATGACGCGGTATCAAATTATAACGGCGTAGTAATTATACATAGCATTTCGTCTTATACAAAACATGGCTTACTTGTTTCGGTACCAAATAATGGCGGCGTAATGATCATAGCATATCGTGCATTGTTTAAAATATGGCTTATACTTATATGTCCCAGTACTTAATAATGACGGCATACAAATCATTGCATTTCGAATTCGTGCTGTGTTTAATCTATACCACAAACTCATGGCGTAGTAATAATAATGGCATTTCGTGCTGTGTTTAAACTATACATTTCCCGGTAGCAAAAAATCACGGCGTAATAATTAATAATAATGGCATTTAGTGCTGTTTTAAACTATCACGGCATAATAATAATGATATATGGTTGTCCCCGTACCAAATAATAACGGCGTAATACCCATAGCATTTCGTCTTGTCACCACACAATATTTGTCCCTTTATGTCATGGTACCAAAGAATGGTGACGTAATAATCATGGCCTTAGGTGTTGTGGGGCGTGTCTTGTATTTGTTGTAGTAATTGTTAGAGTAGCCTTTAGATTGTCTACAACATAAACCTCTAATTGCAATTTGTGAAAATAAATTTCTGATTCGACTATACTTAACATCATAAAACCTCACTTAGCCATGTAAACACTCAGCACTGTAAGTACAAAATACAGCGACTAGTAAGTGTGGAACTAATAAGCCCCAACTCTGTGTAACCGCAGCTTAGAAATTATATTTTAATTGTATGTACATAATGTCATAAGTAATAAAACTTGTTTATCAGTAATGATACTAATTTCATCAGTAATGATACTAATTTCATCCGTAATTAAATTTATTTTATCAGTAAATAAACTAATTTCATCAGTAATAATACTAATTTCATCAGTAATAAAACTTATTTAATCAGTAATGATACTCATTTAATCAGTATTGATACTCATTTAATCAGTAATGAAACTAATTTTATCAGAAATGATACTCATTTCATCAGTAATGAAACTAATTTAATCAGCAAAGAAACTTATTTAATCAGTAATGATACTCATTTCATCAGTAATGATACCCATTTAATCAGTAATGTTCCTAATTTCATCGAAAATTAAAGTTATTTCATCTGTAATTACATTGGTAATAAAACTTATTTCATCCGTAATTACATCCATAATTAATCTTATTTCATCCGTAATTACATCCATAATTAAACTTATTTCATCCATAATTACATTCGTAATTATTATTTCATCCGTAATTAAACTTGTTTCATCAGTAATGAAACTGATCTTATCAGTAATGATAGGCCTATCCCTTTTTTTTTTTAATCTGTAATGAAATTCATTTCAAATTTTAATTATATGTACATAATTTCATTAGTATTTCAAAAATATTACATACAAAATGTAAAAAATATATTCCAATAAACAATTATTTATAAATGTTTGTCAGATGAATAATTCTAAGTAATTTATTTCAGATATAGTCAATGCGATTAAAACACAGATCCTATTTCCTTTCATTTTTTATAGTTCAAAATTTTATTTTACTTGACATTTTCAACAAAGTGTTGGACATGCATTAATAATATAAATAAATAATACAAATCAGTGCCGGACAAAATGACAGGCACCAGAGGTTTAGTGTCTGAATCTGTATGTGACATTGTCTGTGACAGGTGCCTTATTTCCAGGCTTTGTAGTCTGCTATGCCACCATAGATAATTGATGGGTTATATGAATGTTCCCGTAACCAATTCTAATGTACCATCATAAAACATTATAATTCAGTTTTAAAAACACGAAATGATAAAAACACAAGCTATACATTTGACATGATAAATTTTGGGGACCAATCATTATATTTGGTTGTCTGAAAGTTTTTTTTAGCCTACAGATAGCTTTAATGAAACAAACAAACAAACAAAAGTCACCCCAACAAATGAACATGAAATTTTATCAACCTGATTAAAACACAGATCCTGTTTTGTTTCGTTTTGTTTTTTATAATTCAAAATTTCGCTTTACTTGTCTTTACTAGACTAGAACCTGGAAGAGTTGTTATGTAACCTGCGTTCTGGATGATGTGAGGGATTTACCAATGAAACAGTCTGTTACAGCGAATTTTTGACGTGAGGTGCACGGAACAGTGGGTAACCCACTAGAAACATTAACGCTGACTGGATAATCAAATGTTTGATGTCATAGGGTCAAAAGTCGCTCATATGACCTCTGACATGACCTTCCACTACAAAAGGTCAGATCTTCATGTAATGTAGGCCATTGAAAGTATAAAAAAAATGAAACGAACTATAGATTTGTATTTTAATCAGATTGTAAACAAACCAAAGCAAGGAGGCCAACCTATGCATATGCCCCAAAACATAGAGAGAGCTTCTTATTTGGTCTTCTAATAATTAATAATAAAATAATCAAGGGCAATAACACTATAGTAAATATTCATATGTACCAGGTGTGAAAGGGTTAATTATAACTTGGATAATAAATCTATATGACATTATATATATTAAAAGGCAATATGTGACCTGTAATAGCACAATGAGTCGGAAGTCACACGTCTTTTATGATATGAACAGAAATGTTAAAATAGGCTAGAAATATTTTTTTAATGATATAACACCAAAGGTAAAACATTAGATTTGACAAATAAAGCAAACTAAATTTCTTTTATATTTTTAGCCTATTTCAGAGAGAGAGAAATGGGGTTTAACGTCCACTCGACACAAACTAGGTCATTTCGGGACTAACATATGGTTCAATATTATTTTAATAATTAGCTTGCGCCTTGTGGTCTTTAGCAGTGGGAGGAAACCCATGAGGTTGGACAGGCAACCATACTCCTTGTCACGTACCACCGGGGAATTGAAACCAATTTTAGCCTATTTCAACATTTTTGTTCCAATATCGTAAACAATGACTTGCGACTCATTTTGCTTTCATGGGTCACATATACTGTATTCATCTGATACAACTCAGAAGCATCATTGGTAAAACTTCAATTTTAAAAATTTATCCATTTTCTGTATTAATAACTATTATTTAGTAACATATTATATATTAGTTCAACATGGACCACACATAATATGGACAGGCAACTCCCTCAGGTCCTTAGAATTTTGTACTGTGGCAAAAGAAGTCCTGATTATTGTGACTAGTAAAGAATTACTCCCCCTCCCCTACCATCCTACCACAGTATTCTAAAGACCCTGAAAAAGTTGATGGTTTCCATGGTCTCAATTCATAAAAAATCAAACATCAATACCATCAACATATTTAATCTTTCAAAAACAAATAATCAACATGGAATGACAGATGAAAGTAATTTTTAAAAAATATATAAAAAATTCTACATTATACAATTTTTGATTAATGACTAGTTTGACTCTGCAATTCAGGGATTTTACTTCAAAAGTATTTTGTCTTTATTCGGGGGTAAAAAAGATATTGTTTTGCAAAGAATGTGACTATTTTTAGCAATATTCAAGACTTTTAAATCATTTTTATACATAAACCTATAAATTGAACTGTATTTATTATAAAAAATAAACACACATACTTATGGAAAGCAGCCACGATTTTGAACAGTATTTTCTTAATGTTATCGATGTGTAGCCTTAAAGATACATTAGGTAAGCGCTAAATATGCCTATTGCAAGTCTTATTAATTAGACCTTTATTTACATAACAAGACCAAACCATTAAATGGCTGACCAAGCTAACATTTACTGTTAATCACTGTAGACTGCCGATGAAAGGACTGACAATCGAGGGTACCGTAGGCATTGAGAATGTTACTTGATAATCAAGAATGTGTTGGCGGAGTTATCATCTGTCAATCAAACGATTGGCAATTCTCAGAGATTGTGCAGAGACAGTTGATGCCTATTTCTAGTCCAAAATGTTATCAAAATCTTAACTAATGTATCTTTAAATATACTAGTTGGTGTTTCCCATAAGTATGTGTTTTAGTTTTTATTCTATACAGTTATTAAATGCCATTTAAAGAGGTGTATTTATTATGTTTGGGAGCCATGCTGGCTCAATGACTAAGACGTTGGCTCACTAACCTAGATGTCCTGTGTGTTAGATCCCTGTGTTGGCCGAGAACGTTTTTTTTGATTTTCCGTTGAAGTTGCTCCTTGTCAGTGGTGCAGGACAGAGGGCCTGGCAAGGGACAATGTTAGTCGTTCGGATGGGACGATAAACCGAGGTATTGTGTACACACTGGCATGCACCTAAAAGATCCCTTGGAATTCGATATAAAAAATGAAATGGGGTACAAAGTCTTAATGTTTTATTTGATATAAGAATATGCCGTAGTGCCACTGTCCGGGCAAAATTTCCCTCATAGCACACTGCATGCCCGTCTTCATTAGCCCCGTCGGAGCAGAATAGCAGGACGTTAAACCCCATTTCATTTCATATATTATGTTTTTAAGGTTAAATTCTTTGAAATTCTAAATTGACTCACAGTCAATTTCTCTTTCTGTCAGTTAACAAATTTAAACCGTTTTCCAACAATGGTTTAAAACTAAACATTAAATACAGAAACAGCAAAAGTACCTGAAAACCAAGTTCACAAAGCATTCTTAGACTTAAGTTAAGAATTTACTCAACTTTCAATCACTGTTTATGAGAAATATCTTTCATCCAGAAACACGTAAGTTTCTTATTGATGTATTTGATACATTAAAACAACAAAAGTTTTATAAAGGGCTATATTTTAGTTAAAATAAGGCGAACAATTTTGAGAAAATTTGTTACTTAAGTATGAGAATGCTTTGTGAACTCGGGGCCTAATAACTGCGTTGTACTGTTATCCATCATGCCTGAATATATATCTACCATTTGGAACAGGTAACGTAACAATAAATAAAAAGTGAAAACAGCCATTTAATGCATTAATTAAATTAACAAAATTTTCTATCACAATGTATCAACTGTTTTGATTGGATGAGGAAGAAGTTTTTCGTATATTTGAAGTCCAAATTGACCAATCACAAGTCGTCGTCACCTATTCCTTGGAATACACTGTTTTCTGTTACCCCATTCTCACTTGCTTTGGGTTTCGATAATTTATCCTGTAAAAAAAGCACAAAAAAAAACCAATATGAGCTTGTATGGCCCCTTAATATGCCTACCAGCTGCAAAGTAGTCCATTACAGCTCTAAAATCCTTACAGAAAAAGAGCTTGGAACAGAAAGATAACTTGAAGATGGGATTGAATTTGTGTGTGTGTGTGTGGGGGGGGGAGGGGGGCTATAACTCTGCGATATGTGATTGTTGATGAGATTGTTGGTTAGAGCTAGGTCTAGGGGTAGGGTTAGCGCTAGCCCTGTTTACATCTCATGAGGTGGCCTTAATATTTAGTGGCCTTAATATTTAGACCTAAACCCCTTTACACAATTAGACAGTATTACTTGCCAGGCCCTATCTTTGTCCTGCACCACCGACGAGGCCCTAGCTCTGTCTTGCACAACCGACAGGGCCCTATCTCTGTCCTGCACCAATGACAAGGCCCCATCTCTGCCCTGCATCACTGACAAGGCCCTATCTCCGTCCTGCACCATTAACAAGGCCCCACAATATTAACCGAGCCAATGAGATGCCTTTCCATACCAGGACCAACGTCCAACCTTACTGACAAGGGGAAACCACGCTGGAAAATCCTAGGACCTCCTGGTTGGTGAGATAGCGCCATACTTACGGAGCCAACCAGAATAAACAACATATAATGTAATGATTTACAACACTTACTGATATTTTCTTGACAGATTCTATTGCTTTATTTATAGCACCATGTTCATCACCCTGAAAAAATAATAAAACCTGTGAAGAACGAACTGGAAAGATTTTACAAGGCTTCAACAGATATGATAATAGAATTAACATAAGCCACTCATAGTGGCTGAGCTTTGTGTCTGGCATGGTCAGAAATTGTCGCCAAAGACTTGATTCATTACTTGAATTAAATGTTGCTCCTGGTAAACTGATCTGTAGTAAATGTTTGCTCGGCCTCTACTATTACTGATCATAATCCAACCTTTATTAAAATAGGTCATGACAAGTACTCTATAGAGTGAGCACATTAGGATATCATGTGGGATAGCCTGGAGGACGAGTGTTCGATCCCTGAAAGTTCATTGGGATTTTCCGACATGGTTTCCCCATGTCAGTGGTGCAGGACAGATGACCTAACAAGGACAGCTGTTTAGTCCTTTGGATAGTGTGAAAAACCAAGGTCCCGCTGGAATTCGATGTAAAAGTAGGCCATAGTGTTGCTGCCTGGGCAAAATTCCCCTCATAGCACACTGTATGGCATTTACCCGTCTTCATTAGCCGAGTCGGAGCAGAACAGTAGGACATTAATGAACAATTTTAAGTAATATTCCTGAAAAGTTGATCAAAACCAGCACCGAACTGAACTAAGTATAGAAAGAGAATAGTAATGTATATTTTATGAACAATCACATAGAGCAGAACTAAACCGTCTACAAATTTCAACATGGGTAAATGAAACCAATACCTGCATAATAGCAATTATTCAACAACTTACCTCTCCATTTGTGGAATTAAGAGCTGTGGAATAAGAAGAGTTATTTCCCCTGATGGGTAGACCACTGACTGATTTTTTACTTCTATCTTGTGGCTGTGTAAATTGAAAAATAATAAATTAGATATTTTCATCTATGTAGAATTTTTTCATGAAAAGAAAAGTAATGAAGAGCCCTGGGGAAGAACAATCTAAGTCACTTTTTCAACGAACCCCAGTTAATGGCGCCATCTGGTAGCAAAATTGTACAAGCTTTCTGTGGAACAATCAATTTCTGGTAAAAACGATCGGAGTCACATGGAACCAAGGTCCTTCTGAAATGACCTCCCGTACAAATAGAAGTCCATTGTATTTATTTGACCTTAATTTGGCTGAAAAGTGGAAGTCAGTTGTTGTACTGGTAATTATGATTCGTATTAAACATCATTTTGAAGTTGTAATTAAACCCACTCGTTGTTCTGCTCGCGTCAAGCATTGACTTAGATCGTTCTTCCCTAAACCCTGGGACTCTTCAAATGAAAGGACTTAATTTTCATATTTAATGACACAATGAAATGAGGTTTAACGTCAAACTTTTCTGGACAAATCGGGTTAACAACACCGTGCGTATACGTCATACAGGGGCTAATGAAGATGTGTATACGTCATACAGGGGCTAATGAAGATGTGTATACAGTGTGCTTTGAGTTATTTATTTTACCTTGAGGGAAGAGTTTCTACCTTCTCTTCATTGAATTCCAAATGTCAAGGGTGTACACAAGATCTCAATTTTTGTTGTCCCATCCAAACAACTACACACTGTATCTTGCCAGGTCCCGTCCGTCTTGCATCCGGGGGGTTGGATGGCTGAATGGTTAGCGTGCGCGCGCTGTATCATAAAGTCTGTCATTGAGTCGACTGGCGTGGTTTCGAATCCCCAGTTGTACGTGACAAGGAGTACAACCTCGTGGGTTTTCTCCGGGTCCTTCAGTTTCCTCCCACTGTTAAAGACCCCTATGCGCAAGCGAATTATTGAAATAAAATTAAACCATATGTTAGTCCCGAAATGACCTAGGTGTGTCGAGTGGACGTTAAACCCCATTTCTCTCTCTCTCTCCATCTTGTATCCACTGACAATAACACAATTTTATCTGGACAGCAGCTTTTTCATATTCATCGGATTCCAACTGTCATGGTTTCTTTGAAGTGTACATTTGACCTTAGTTTTTTTTTGTTGTCCCATTCAGACAACTAGACACTACGCATAGCTTGCCAGGTCCTCGTGTCTTGCACCACCGACAACAAAATTTTATCTGGACAGCAGCTTTTTCATATTCATCGGATTCCAACTGTCATGGTTTCTTTTAAGTGTACATTTGACCTTAGTTTTTTTTTTGTCCCATTCAGACAACTAGACACTACGCATAGCTTGCCAGGTCCTCGCGTCTTGCACCACCGACAACAAAATTTTACCCGGACAGCAGCTTTTTCATATTCATTAAATTCTAACAACACAATTTTACCCAGCTTTATCATATTCATGATGTACATGGGATCTCAGTTTGTCATCCCATTCAAGGGAGCCACGGTGGCTCAGTGGGTAGGACGTTGGTTCACTAACCTGGAGGTCCTGTGTTCATTCCTGGCGTTCATCAGCCATTTTCCGGCATGGTTCCCCCTTGTCAGTGGTGTCAGATGGAGGGCCTAGCAAGCGGCAATGTATAGTCGTTCGAATGGACCTAAAAACAGAGGTCCTGTGTACACATTGGTGTGCATGTCAAAGATCCCTTGGCTGTTGAATTTGATATAAGAGCAGGTCGTAGCGCTGCTGTAAGGGCAAAAATTCCCTCATAGCACACAGCATGGGGTAGCCAGTCTGTGCCGAACAGTAGGATGTTAAACCCCATTTCCTTTCATTTCATATATTTTCCAAGTCCTCTATCCTACACCAATGACAATACCACAATATAACAAACCTTTTTAAATTTTCTTCCTTGTTTTTTCATCAAGAGTTCATCTACCATGTTTTGTAAACTCATACTCATCAACATAGCCTGGAAGTAAAAATATTTACAACATTTGATATTTATGAAAGTGTATTTTTATTTATCATAGAGGTGGTTGCTAAGCAGAGTTTTACTGAATGTGACCTTGCAATACTGAGGTGGTCGCTGAGCAGGATTTTACTGAATGTGGCCTTGTAATACCAAGATGCTCTCTGAGCAGGATTTTATAGTATGTGATAGATATGATGCTTCACCACGGGGTTTGATTAAGGACCTTTAAGAAAATTGTTTATGTCCATATAGGTTCATATCTTTAAGAACAACCATCTAAAAGAACGTTTCAATAATAATAACAACATACCTGATCACTAGTTATAGTCACCCATTTTAAACTGTCTCGAGACATTAAATATTCAAAAGATAACTCTAACTTCGGCTTTCCGTTACTATTTTTACTTTCATTTTCTTCTGGTAACTGAAACAATTATAAAAAATGTTGAGATATTTTATAGGATGGAACCATGCTCTTTATTATCAGCATACACTGTAACTAGGGTATCATTTAATTTTGTGTATTTAGTACTAATTTCTTTCACATTCATTTAATATTGTGAACCTGCTTTAAACATGCATTAAGCAAGAGGCAAATCTGCCTATTGCAGGTCATTGTTTTTTAATCCTGAAATGTTATGTAAATTATTAATTGGACATTTATTAACATGACAAGACCATAATCAATGGATAATCAAGGCTTTCTTTATTTTCATCACAATGGCAACAATGACAATCAAGGCTACAAGGTTTTAAAATTAAAATGAGTATTTCTCAGCTTTGTGTGAAGTAATTTGACTGAAATTTTCAGAATATTTCCGTTACATTATCTATTATACTAAGAACTGTCAGCTCTTTATCTAATCTTCAATAATGTATCTTTAAGCTAGAAAAAAAAACTAATAAAAATTACCTTCTTGAATCTGATCCTAAAAATTATAAACTTTGTGTTTGGCCCTTCACCTAAAAGGTTTTCCCACGACTGAACTATTGTGACCCTGCCTTAAGCTAGAAAAAAAAACTGTCTAAAACTTACTGTTGTTGTTATTCTCCAACATCTCATTCTGGTTATACTAAAACTACCTTCTTTAATCTGATCCTAAAAAATATTAATCATTGTTTTCATAACGCAAAAATATATCATACAATATATATCACGGTGGACAAACATGTAATTCATACAATCTATATCAGGGTGGATAAAAAACAGGTATTTCTGTACATTTCATTAAATTAACAATATTTTTATTAATTTATAAAAAAACAACCGCGACAAGTCTTTGTGATTATTCAGATGTGAGGGCTTATCTTATTTAAATAGGGGGATCACGTGGCTAAGTGGGTAAGACGCTGGCTAGCCTGGAGGTCGGGTGTTTTCGATCCCTACACTGGCCGAGAAAGTTCATCAAGATTTTCCGGCGTGGTTCTCCCTTGTCAGTGATGCAGGACGGAGGGGCTGACAAGGAAAGCTGTCTAGTCGTTCGAATGGGACGAAAAACCCAGGTCCCGTGTACACATTGGCGTGCACGTAAAAGATTCCTTGGCAGTCGGAATTCGATATAAGAGTAGGCTGTAGTGCCGCTGTCATTATATTTCTTATTTAAATACACAGCTACACCTGGAGATGAAGGAGTCAGTGTTTTATATAATCTTCAGTCTTAACACATCTTTAAAACATGCATTACGTAAGAGCTAAATCTGTCTATTACAGGTCTATCTTTAGGCCTGAAATGTTGTTTAAACTATTAATTAGACATTTATTAACATGACAAGACCATAATCAACTCTTGATGCCATCTGATGGGTCCGATTTTCATTATATTTGAATCAGATCTGTAGTGTTTGCTACGGTTGATCCAAAGCAAAGACTCTATGCTAAAATTATATTTGGAATGTGTTTAACCAGTTCTGTGTAATATTTATGTCAAGCACAAATGGGCTAAACAGCATCATGGTGGACACCAACACTGTCTTTTAATATAAATAAATTATACGTACATCGACTTGTATTCTAAAGTTGAGCTCCTTACTACCAGCTGCTATGAGAACACGAGAGTTGGCTTTCGGGTAATCTGTTATACATGGTAAAAATTGCAAGTAACCATAGTAACGTAACGTTCTAGCAAACCGAATGTACTGAAATAAATTATACATATATCAACATGGTGTCAAATAGTGAAAAAAGATAGGTTGCCCAGCAATGAAACATTCACCCACAGCAGCTAATTTATTCTGCGTTGTCATATTGTGAATCTTTAAGTATATATAAAGTAATAATGCTGCATAAAAACATTTGCACTTTGAAAAGAGAACTCTATAATTAATGATCAAGGGCAATAACTATGTAAGTAATTATCAAAAATTGTTGCATTTGTTCTTCATTGCAATAAACGAAACAAAGAACACAAATTTATATTAGAACATATAATGATGCCTTTCACTAGAGTGTTCACAAGATTCTATAAACTGAATAACTCGAGAAGAGATTAACGATAATATATGACAACATTTCAGAGTGAGCGCATTAAAATAAAATTAAAAATTGTGTTTACGACAAGAGACCAAGTATATGACCACATCCTAGTGTGAGCGCATTAAAATAAAATTAAAATTATTTGTTTACGACAAGAGACCAAGTATATGACCACATCCTAGTGTGAGCGCATTAAAATAAAATTAAAATTATTTGTTTACGACAAGAGACCAAGTATATGACCACATCCTAGTGTGAGTGCATTAAAATAAAATTAGAATTATTTGTTTACGACAAGAGACCAAGTATATGACCACATCCTAGTGTGAGTGCATTAAAATAAAATTAAAATTATTTGTTTACGACAAGAGACCAAGTATATGACCACATCCTAGTGTGAGTGCATTAAAATAAAATTAAAAATTTTGTTTACGACAAGAGACCAAGTATATGACCACATCCTAGTGTGAGTGCATTAAAATAAAAGAGACCAAGTCTAGTATAGAGAAAATGAACTACCTCTCGTTTTGATCCCCTATCCTGTAGAGTAGCCAGATGTTTTAACTGATCTTTGGTTGCTAATATCCACTGTCTCTCAATATCATTTAAAGCCTGTTTATAATAAAAAAAACCTCAGATTAATTTAAAGGAGCTAAATCGCTAATATTTGGGACCTAGAAATTGACACAAATGGGATAATGTAATATGAATGTATATAAACTGATTTACATTTGTTTCTGTTTTTACTGTAATTTCTAATCAGTTATGTTCAGCGAAATGCGCCAAAGTCTTAATTAAATGACAATCTTTAGCATCTGGTTATTCCAGTTTACACCGATGGTATTTATTGCACATGCTCTCCAGATAAGAATATAGCGTCACCATTTGACATGACTTGTGGAATATGTCTAGCTTCGTTCTTTGAGTCCCTTGTTCCAAATGGCACTGAAACGCATTATGGTATGCGATTCGTGTACCAATGGTAAAATGTTTATTTTGTCTTGAATATTGGATATCAGAAGCCCATGTTTTCCCTGTAAGATCACAAGACCAATGTTGATTTGAATTGACAAATAATTCGTGTTTTCAATGTCGAAGATTTTTGATGATATTGAGTTAGAGACTTAGCTACTTTAAATTCAACAATACTTTTGTTTTAAACAGTAGGGTCTAACTTTGTAACATTTTTTAATGCAAAGTTGGTTACATGCCTTTGATTTGAAATTAGTTGTGCTAAACTAGTCTACTTACAGTTTGTCAGTTGATTGACGAGCCAGGATTAGCAAGACTCTTTTATAGGACAAATTATTTATAGACAGAGAACAAAGGTTATTATTTACTGGTGTGATATTCACTGACCAGAGAGAGAGAGAGAGAGAGTTTAACATCTACTTGACACCAACTAGGTCATTTTGGGACTAACATATGATTTAATTTTACTTCAATTATTCGCTTGCACATAGGGGTCTTTAGGAGTGGGAGAAAACCAACGAAGTTGGGCATGCGACCCTACTCCGTGTCACATACAAACGGGGAATCGAAACCATGCCAGTTGCCTCAATGACAGACCTCATGGTTGAGAGAGAGAGAGAGAGAGAGAGAGGGCTAACACTCGACACAAACTTGGTCATTTTGGGACTAACATATATCATTCAATTTTATTTAAATAATTTGCTTGCGTGTATGGGTCTTTAGCAGTGGGAGGAAACCAGAGGACCTGGAGAAAATCCACGTGGTTGGACAGGCGACCCTACTCCTTGTCATGTACAAACAGGGAAACAAAACCACGCCAGTTGACTCAATGACAGACCTTATGATACAACGCGCACATGATAACCATTCGGCCATCCAACCCTCCATTCACTGACAAAACCATAGTATCTGAGTATAATTGTACATAATATCTGAATATAATTGTATACCTACTTGTACATAAAGTAAGTTCATTGTAATTTTATTGTCTAGTAATTCTTCATCATATGCTGCATCCCAATAACTGAAATAAATCAAAATTATAAATCAAAAACTTCCCATACCATGCACTTCATAGAATGAATTAAACATACATTATGCAACAGGTAAATCTGCCTATTGCAGGTCTTTCTTTGGGCCTAAAATGTTGTATAAACTACTAATTAGACATTTATTAACATGAAAAGACCATAATCAACTCTCGCTGTCATCTTATGTGTCAAATTTTTACTGGATTTGAATCTGATTTGCTGCTCAATGCTCATTGATGATTTAATCCAAAAATGGATAATCAAGACTATGTTTTTTATTGTACAGACTTTAGTAATGATGATTGAGGCTAGGCCTAAATTTCAAACGCTAATATCTCGGTTCACTCAAAATGGAGCAATTTGACTGAAATTTTCAGCATATTTCCTTTACATTATCTAGTATTTAACTATTATAGTGAGAACTTCCAGCTCTATATCTGACCTTCCATAATGTATCTTTAAACATTAAACCAAGGCAGATTTAGCTGTTATATAATGCATTTTTAACTATTGATAAGTGGACGATCTGAAACTAGTAATCTGAAACTACTAATCGCTATCGGGGGAGAGAGAGAGAGGGGGGTTTAACGTCCACTTGACACAAACTAGGTCATATCGGGGCAAACATATGGTTCAATATTATTTCATTAATTCGCTTATGCTTCAGGGTCTTTAGCAGTGGGATAAAACCAGAGGACCCAGAGGAAACCCATGAGGTTGGCCAGGCGACCTCACTCTTTGTCACATACAAGCAGGGAATCAAAACAATATCACTGTTTTATTATAATTTTTCAAGAAGAAACAGTACGATTTTTAAGGGTTAAAGTGTCACAATCACACAAAATCAAAAAAACAAACTTTCTGATTTAACATTTCTGATAATCAAAACTTACCTTTTGCGTAGCACAATTCGATGTTCACCTTCTTTGTTGGCTGAACGAAGGGAAATAAACGGGGACTCAAACTCTTGTAACTTTCTGACAACTGAAATTAAGGCAATAATCATTATTTTGGGGATATAAATATTAATGAGAGAAATTATAATGAATCCTGCAGTTTTCTTGTACTTATTGTCTGCCACCTTTTCCCACCATTTTATATTTGAGAAGAATTTAGTCACTTACTTGAGTTATCTCCCCCTCGTTCTTTCTTCACTAAATAAAGACCAAAATAATAGACAAAGTCATCAGGTATCTGTATATCTGATGCTACATTCTGTAAAACAGATTAAAACAAATAATAGAGAGAGAGAGAGAGAGAGAGAGAGAGAGAGAGAGATGGAGTTTAACTCCACTTGACACAAACTAGGTCATTTCGGGACTAACATATGGTTTAATTTTATTTCAATAATTCGCTTGCGCGTAGGGGTCTTTAGCAGTGGGAGGAAACCGGAGGACCCGGAGAAAACCCACGAGGTTGGACAGGCGACCCTATTCCTTGTCACGTACAACCGGGGATTCGAAACCACGCCAGTTGACTCAATGACAGACTTTATGGAACAGCGCGCGCACGCTAACCATTCAGCCATCCAACCCCCCTTACATGATGGACACCTTTCATAGATTCAATCTACATGTAGCATCCCCAAAATCATCACGGATGAACATAATTTCCTTTTGGATTGACCATTCATAATGGGAGACATCTTCAATAGAAGGCTTGATCTCGCTTTAACTACATACATCTTATCAAAGCCTTCACGTAAGACCCCTGCTTATTTTGGCACTAATTTCGATTGGGTATTCACCCAGCTTGGGAGCCTATCAGATAACTTGATCATTGCAAATACCAAGTCTTAACGCTTTCCAGATAAAATGTCTACCAGTGATAATCGAGTTGCAAAGTTCAAGGTTTGTTCAATGTCAAGGTTTCTGTGGAGGTTGCCATGTCACAACCTCTGATTGGACGCTACTGTTCACGTGTCTGTATATAACATAGCTATAAGTTAGGTAATTGCGAAGAAATCTAGCAACGTCTAGATGTTGTAAAACTCGCAGTTGCTTCTGGGACATGGCACCGATTGGGCTAATGAAGTGTGCTATGAGTGGCATTTTGCCCGGACAGCAGTCCTACGACCTACCCTTAAATTAAATTCCAATTGCCAAGGGTTCTTTTACGTGCACACCAATGGGAGATAACCATGACAGAACAATTTAATTCATCTTGAGAGAAATCAGACAATGTGCTATGAGGGAAATTTTGCCCAGACAGCGGCCCTACGACCTACTCTTATATTAAATTTTCAACTGCCAAGGGATCTTTTACGTGCACGACAATGGGAGATAACCATTACAGAACATACCTCTAAAACGTCGTCTGTTTGGTCGGTTGAATTTATATTTACAGATATTTTGTGACCATTCATTAAATATATATTTAACGTCACTTTCTCTGCAGCTTCTTTCTGCATCTCCTTCAACAAATATTCAATACACATACAGAAAATAATAAATGAAATAGAATGGGGGTTTAACGTCCTACTTTTCTGCACCGACTGGGCTACCCGTAATGAAGACAGGCATACGGCATACAATATGCTATGAGTGAAATTTCGCCTGAACAAGGGTTCTTTTACATGCCCACCAATGAGTATGCACATGACCTTGGTTTTTTGTACCATCCGAACGACTATACACCTGAGATTTCCTGGTTACCCTTCAGGTCACCAATTTGATTTTCTGTTCTTTCGAAACACCTGTTATAATTTTTCTTGTTATTACTTCAGGGACCTTATTCACGAAAACTTAAACTAAGTTACAACCGAAATTTTAAGAAATACTGCAACTTCATTGGATATATGCAAATTGATTTTACTGGTCAGCCAATCGAATAGCAGTATTTCTTAAAATTTCGATTGTATCTTAGTTTTAGTTTTCGCGAATAAGGGCCCAGAAAAAAAACTTAATTAAAAACCAAAAGTATTTGGTTGCATTGTTCAAAAGCTTTTAGTTCCAAGTTTTTAAAGTTTTGAAATTTTAAACAGAACATCTTTCATGTGATTTAAGTGGCTATTTATTTATCAATACATCAAAAAACAGAAAATTTGATTAGTTTGGCCTAAATCTGATGGCACAGACAGGCAAGTGGTGTTTCTGACAGCAACACATAGCCAACATGTATTTCGCCCCTAAAAATATGGTGCTGCATGTAAAATAAACAAAATGGGGTTTAACCAAGTCTGGACATAAGGTACCTATCACAAGCTTTGTTAGACACAAATTATCACACAAACTTTATATGAGGTTTAACGTCCTACTATTCTGCTCCGAACTGGGCTAATGAAGACAGGCTTATGCCGTCCAGTGTGCTATGAGGGAAATTTTGCCCGGACAGCGGCACTACGGCCTACTCTATACATTGTAAAAGTCTGGACATACAGCACCTGTCCCAGATATTGTCAGACACAAACTATCGAACAACACAAGCCTGGATATAAAGCATTTGTCACAGACTTTGTCAAGTACATACTATCACAAAATGTGCATATACAAGCCTGGGCATAAGGCACCTGTCATACACAAATTATTACACAATGTATATATATATATATACAAGCCTGGATATAAGGCACCTGTCACAGACATTGTCAAACACATTTAATACGCAATGTATCTTGGACATATGGCACCTGAAACATATCACACAACGTATATACAGTGGACTCGTGTCACATCCTGCTTCTGAATACTACGGCATTCTGTGAAATCCGTCATTTTCATGTCATCAGTGACAGATTTCACTGATTAATTTGTGTGTGACAATGTTTGTTACATGTGCCTCCTGTCCAGGCTTGGGTTTAAAGCATTACTTTTCCTGTATCAACCCTCTAAATGAAAAAGGCATAACCCATGCAGTGTGCTTAGGGAAATTTTGCCCAGGCAGTAGTGCTACAATCTACTATTATCTTGTTGCAATGGCATTTAGTAATTGAACTGGGATATACAGGTCACATTTCAATGGAATACAATTATGACCTATTTTTCTATTATCTTGAGCCCTCCATCCTGCACCACTGTATGACACAGGGAAACCCAGTCGGAAAATCCTGACAGCGGGATAGAGACCGCGACCTCCTGGTTCGTGAGTCAGTGCCACAATCAGCATGGGTCACTCATCCCAAAAATTTTTTAAAAAAAAAGGTTTTTTTTTAGAAAAACCGACCTGTTGGGCATTAAGTAGGAAAGTATTAAAACTTTCGCTGTTGGATATTTGAGCATCTTGACTAACTGAAATTAAAAAAAAATACACAAACCATTAAATTATTTGACACAGAATTTCATATCTATCATTGGACCAGAAATGTCATTACAACAGGGAATGAATGAATGAAATGGGGGTTTAACATCCTACTTTTCTACTCCAATCGGACTAATTAAGTCGGGCAAACATCATGTAGTGCTGGGCATTGCCACTGCAGTCACGATACAAGGATCATGTGGCTTAGTGGGTAAGACGCTGGCTCGCTAGCCTGGAGGTCGGGTGTTCGACCCCTGCATTGGCCGAGAAAGTTCATCCAGATTTTCCGGCGTGGTTTCTACTAAGCTAATTGGGTATATCACTCTGACATAAGTCTTTCTTAACCTAATTGGGTATATCCCTCTAACATAATAAATCTATACTAACCTAATTGGATATAAGTCTATACGAACCTAATTGGATATGTCTCTAACATAATAAGTCTATACTAACCTAATTGGATATATCTCTCTAACATAATCCGTCTCTCCTCTATCTGTATTGGAGTTAATGACAAGAGCTTCTTTGGAGGAAACTGGGGCAGGTTAAGAACACCAAATTCTTTTTTCATCTAAATGTGAAAATATTTAGCATTATTATACCAATTTTTGACATATTTAGCTTACCTCATATTAGTAAGACTAAGATATAAATATTTCCAAACAATGTGACAATCTTTAGCATTATATATTTTTCAATTTTTTTAACACAAAAAAGCTATAAATTTAACTGCATTTATTGCCTCGAAATCAACCACCACTTTGACGAAGATATTCTCTCGGCTAAAAAATCTTTATTCTCTCAGTACAAGAGACACCGTAGAATCAAATCAGTCCATGAAAACGAAGCCACTCATTCAACAAAGACACGTAACCGAAAGATGACAGGCCAACCCGTTCAGTAAAAGGGACTATCCCGATTTGAACAGAGTCTCAAAAATTAAAGTCTGAGTACGTATGAAATTTAAGCGCCAAAATATTGTGGAATGATGTATTAACATTGTCTCAAAATTTCAGCTCAAAATATTGAGTCGTTTGGACGTGAATGTCAAAACTGCTTATCCGGACATGTAACCCTTTTAAGATTTCGGGGCAATTTTTTCATTGGGTGACCTTATAATCGAGTCCCGTTCTTTTAGAGGTCTATAAAGTGAATGACCCATGTGCTGTACTTGATAACGAAAGATAAATTTAACCTACACATTATTCTTATAAAATAAAAGTCTGGTTTTATCCAGACACCGCATAATACAGCTTGGGACACCAGTCCCCATTTCCAGATGAAGACTGACGGGTTTAAGTTGTTTGAAAACGTATGTGATAGTTGCTCAGCCCTATGGTGGAGGATTTTAAGTGATTTTAACACTAAATTAAGCATTTTTTTTCTCCAAAATATTATCGGAATTGGCCCTTTAATACAATGGAGAATCTCACCTAGGTCCACAAAAGAGAGACACATACTAGTTGCCTCCCACTTCCGATTTCCAAGGCATAGTCCAAAGCTTGACTCTCATATAAATAAACTATTTGGTACTAACTATAATCCATTCTTACGGATAATCAGTGACTGCCATTGAACCGCAGATTGGACTGAAATCTGTTGAAAATCAGACCCACCAGATGGCATCGAGAGCTGATTATGGTCTTGTCATGTTATAAAAGTCTAATTAATAGTTTATATAACATTTAAGGCCTACAGAAAGACTTGCAATAGGAAGATTCAGCTCTTGCATAATGCATGTTTAAATTCCTTGAAATCAATATTTTTTTGCCTGTTACTTCTCCAGCTAAGCATAACTAGTAAATATGACTAAAATTAATACAAGTGCCATGATCCATTGGTAGTAGTTTTTCTTGACAATTAACTGCATAACTAAATGTATATATACATGTAATTTAATTACCTATACACATATGGGCTTTACAACAGAATATCCACCAATAAAAAAACCCAATTATTATTGAATGTATCTGTATGTATGCAGGCTAACAAGGATGAATAGTCACAATGACAGATTATAGATGCGCTTATTGGACATTAATATACACTGTAACCCAGGTATCATTTAATCTTTGGTTTTTAGCACTAATTTCTTTCACATTCATTTAATATCAAATCTTAGTTTAAAAATAAGTAAAAATTGTTTAAAATCACCAAAAATCATCTGACTTGTACTTGTGTCCAGTTTAAAGCTGACTGATTAATTTTGATAATGAGTGTCCAATTTACAAGTATTTCATTTCCTGACCACTGTTCAAAAATTAATCATTACACATCAATAATCAATTGGGTTGTTTATTTTTGAACAGTGGTCAGGAAATTAAATACTTGTAAATTGGACACTCATTATCAAAATTAATCAGTCAGCTATAAACAACTGGACACAAGTACAAATTAGATGATTTTTGGATGATTTTTTACAAATTTTTAAACAAAGATTTGATATTGAATGAATGTGAAAGAAATTAGTGCTAGATACACAAGTTTAAATGATACCCGTGTTACAGTGATAATAGTCTGCAGTAATAACAAATGGGCATTACAACACAATATAAACCAGAGGGAGAGTGAGAGAAAACTATGGTTTAACATCCACTCAACACAAACTAGGTCATTTCGGGGCTAACATATGGTTTAATTTTATTTTAATAATTCGCTTGTGCATAGGGGTCTTTAGCAGTGGGAGGAAACCAGAGGACCCGGAGAAAACCCAAAGGCGACAGGGAATCGAAACCACACTAGTTGACTCATTGACAGACCTTATGATACAGCACGCACACGCTATCCATTCAGCCATCCAACCCCTCCAATATAAACAAATAAATATGATTATGTTGAAATGAAATAACATCCTACTATTCTGTTTCAATTCAGCTAATGAAGATGGGTATATATCATATCATACAGTGTACTTTGAAGGAAATTTTGTCCGGACAGCGGCACTATGGTCTACTCTATATCAAATTTGAACTGCCAATGGATCTTTTATGTGCACGCCAATGTGTACACTGGCCCTCTCTCTGTCCTGCATCACTGACAAGGGGGAACCAAGCCAGAAAATTCTGATGAACTTTCTTGGCCAACACTGGGATCGAACATGGGATCCCCGGGTTAGCGAGCCCACGCATTGAAATGAAATGAAATGGGTTAATGAAGATGGGAATATACACCATACAGTGTGCTATGAGGGAAATTTTGCCTGGGCAGTGGCACTATGGCCTACTCTTATATCGCATTACAACTGCCAAGGGATCTTTAACGTGCATGTCAATGTATACACAGGGGCCAATGTGTTACTCAGCCGTCTATCGGACATTAATGTAATGTGTTGCTGTGATAACAAAATTTCTCTCACTTGTTCATGGAATTGATGCAACAATCTGTAACGTAGTTGACAGTGGAAGACTCCATTAATGTATAGATTGTAAGACTGCAAAATAAAATGGTACTATGAATATAAATTTCTCTACATAAACCTCAATTGCTACTACTGTTACTGGTAGGGCTGTAATCCAGTCACTTCATTACAAATGGCCCTTGAAATCATTCTGGTGCTCGATTCCATGTGCCAATTCTAAAATTTTCATTTTGTCTTAAAATATTGGATATCATCAAAAGTCCATCTTTTCAAGCTAAGATAACAACATCAATGTTGATTTAAATTGATCAATAAGATGTGTTTGCATTGTCGAAGGCTTTGGATGATATTGAGTTAAAGACTTGCTACCTCTACGACCATATTGAGTAATTAAAATCAACATTGATGTTGTTATCTTAGCTTGAAAAGATGGACTGCAAATTTTTGTTGTTGAAAAAAAACCAAAACACAGTGGCTACTGCTAGTGTTTTGCATCAAAAGGCCTAAAAATATATATTTTAAAACACACTGGAAAAACAATATATTATTTTACAAAACATTACAATGTCTTTGATAAAAACAACAAGTAACTATTAATCGTTTTAAACGTAGTTTCAACTTTTCATCACAATATCCATAATCAATGAAAATGCTCATTGCCAACCAGGTAAATTGCTGGCATTTCTTCAGAGGAAGGAGTAAAGTACTAATGAATCAACTGATTGGTTAATATCTAACTGATTGGTTAATACCTAATTAATCAACTGATTGGTTAATACCTAATTAATCAACTGATTTGTTAATACCTACAATGTAATTAATCAACTGATTGGTTAATACCTAATTAATGAAATGATTGGTCAATACCTAATTAATGAAATGATTGGTCAATACCTAATTAATCAACTGATTGGTTAATAACTAATTAATCAACTGATTGGTTAATAACTAATTAATCAACTGATTGGTTAATAACTAATTAATCAACTGATTGGTTAATAACTAATTAATCAACTGATTGGTTAATAACTAATTAAGTAAAAGAATTTAGTCCTTTTGATTGGTGAATTTACTTCATATCTTTAAATGGTTTCCCCAATTGATTAATGGTTAATTAGTTATTACTTGTTTTTTGTATCTGTATATTATTTTTATCACTGTGGTATCACTTCGGTGGAAGCGTACGTAAAATCATCCTATGCTTGAAAATGTTGAGAGAACCCTCAACGAAACGTTGCTTTAATTAAAATAGTAAATTTGTGTTCCATATTAAGTTTTTGTGTTTATTACGTGTGTCAATTGATAAATGATGCTCAAAGAAGACCTAATTAGGTATTTCACACTCTTTCCAGCCATTACGGATAATGTAAACTGAGCCGAATGTTTTTGATTTTAAAGTGAAATGCAAAAGACATCTAATTTTCTCAATTACTAGCCAATTATCTTTCTTAGTCAAGTCCCCCAAAATTGTCAATAGTCAGTTACAACCCATTTCATTTCAAAACAATGGTTTATTATTGGAACATTCAAGTACATGTATGTTTTAAGAAATCTTTCTACTAACTCTCTAGCATAGGCTTATAGTTTTGTCAAATCCTGTCATCATATGAAAATTCTGCAACTTTATATATGTATTAATGTAATGTACAGGAGGAGAAAACAGGATTTCATCAAATTTTCGACACAGGGAAAGTCAACAGATGTGTTACCTGAACAGCCATACGTACACCTGTATGGCCAGTACCGGTAATGGATTTTGAGTCCACCACATTTGTGAAAGATGTTCCTGAAGTCTTTTTTATTATAAACCATGCTATTTGGAGTCATTTATGTAAATAAATAAATAAAATATTATTGGATTGATAATAAATATTTTATTGTCTCTTTTAATTTTATTGCTTTGTCTATTTTTTAATAATATAAATGAATATTATAAAATATTTCAATAGGAGACGAAAAAAACCCCAAAACATGAATTATTAAATATGGTGGTTTTATTTATTTTTTTTAAAACAATATTTTTATTCTGGATGTCTGAATTGGACTGGGGAACAGATTAGCCTATGTAAAATCCATCTCCCTAGTTTCAAAATTGACATATAATTTAATAGCAAATCCCCGAGGATGAGGACACACTATGTACATTCTAATACCACGGTGACAAAAATGACACAATATTATACATGTACTTATCTTCGCGCAATGTATTATAATTTCCATGCAATTTAGACATGCCATGTTTTGTTTTATTATCTTGGAGATGGATTAATATAAGCCTCATAGATGGTTTCCGAATCCATATAGTTTATTATGTATTGTTAATATGTCATTATATGTTAAATAAATACTGTTTAAACCAATAGCAAATAGTTGAAATACCGGTACTGAAAATTAAGTTACAAAAGATTAAGTTTACTTGACATCTTTTGAGTACCGTAGATCAACTATAAATTGAAAGAAGTCAAAATCTAAAAGGTCATTCTATGGATTAATAATACCATATTGTCATTTAGTTGTCTACTTGATGTCTATTCAGAGATATCCAAGGGCCAAAAGTCAAAAGAATGTTTATTCTAAACACCCCAATTGAGAGGTTTGTTTACATTCACTGGACTGATTTTAAAGACAATTAAGGATGTCACAAGAGTTAACCTTTAAATTTAGGTTAATACTTTATCGTGAAATCGATTTTAATCAACCGGGGGTGTGATGGAAAGTTTAGTGGTAAGAGGGATTGGATGCCCTGGATGGGGCTAGACGAAGACGTCGAAAAAATGCCGAAAGCTCACCGTGAAGGAAGTTCCACTGGAGTCTTTACACTCTTCTGTGTCAGGAATTGAAAAGTGCATTATGAAGCATTCAAATTATATAAAATATGTGAAGTTAAGATGATTTACATTAATATAGCAACATTGTACATGTGCGCATCAGTTTTCTTTGGAAAGATTTACTTCAAACACTCCCCTTCCGCCATTTTATGTGTTTTGTCACGTGATCTTAGAATGTCAAAAATGTCAAAATCAGAAATCAATAGAAATAATCATTTAGTGTTTTAAATGGAAGGTGTAAAAGGTAACTTTGCCTAATTCCCATCTGACCTGTTTTCAGAATCTGTTGTTCATCAGAAAATATCAATTTTAGACACTATCAGTGATGTCGTAAAATAAAAATTGAAACGGAAACGCGCCCACTTCATTTCACCATAGTGGCCGACTTTTTATTTGAGTTGGCTATTCATCTCTTCTGGAAAATATATTTCGAATTTGCTCAATTTTCTCTCTTTGCCACAATGCCACCAGCTGCAGCACCAGCATTAGCAAAACAGGAGGAGGGGACAGGGGTGAATGCTATTCTTCTCGGCCCACCAGGGTCTGGAAAAGGTACCCAGGTAAATGTGCATTTCACACACCTGTCTCATGCTTGATCACATTGCATTGACTTTCGTAGTATAGTAGTGTATTGAATGAACGACCTTCAAATCTAAGATCAAACTACACGTACTATAACTGTGAGGCTTTGACATTGCATATGATAAGATCATTTGTCTAAGAATGATTCTGCCAAAAAGAAAGAGGCAACTTGCCATTTCAGTACAATTTATTTGTACTTATGTACTACTAATGAAAAAAGATGATAAAAAGACAGAAATGATATATTTATATTACATTTGTTTTAAGTTTTTATGTGTTTTTTTTTTATCAGCCTAGACCAATACTAGAATCTATCTATTCTCTATAAACGACCCTACTGTACTGGTAGAGGATATTGAGTACCATGCTGTGGGTGGGGGATTACATGTCATTTCGGTGCCGCGTCATTTTGGACTTAAAACATTTCCGACTCAAAAAATGTGGCCTCGATGTTTCGAACTTGGGAATAAGTTGAAAGGAAAGGTTGAACACAATTGTCAAATCAATCTATAATAAACCAAAAGTGATTTTATAAAAAATAACATGCAGGTAAAATTTACCGCTCGCAATCAAGTACAGCATGTGGAATCGTGGATCAAGCACCGTATAGATCTCTCAAGGAACTGCAAAATTTTCATTGTTGAATGTTTTTACAAGACTCTGGAATTTTTTAACGATAATCTGTAAGTACACGTTGACATACTTTCCTCGACAAGCTTGCCATAGATAGAAATACCAATCGATAAATTAGTGTGTACAAAGAAAACTCTTTTTGGAAAATATTAGAAATGGTAACGATCAAAGTGGGATAATTAAGTATTGTTTAATGGTCGAGAGCGAGACATTAAGTAATATATTGTAACAACATGAGGGCCGTAGGCCCGAATGTTTTTACAATATATTACGCAATGTCGTAAGCTCGAGACCATTAAACATCTTAAAATACTGACCCTCCGCACGCGCTTTTACGTCACACTAGTCTAATATCTCACTGGTATGAATAAAGTACTTTTGGCAAGTTGCCCGTACGATTATTTGAAATAATGGTACGCCAACATCAAAGGGTGACGTCACATCTGTATTTTAAAGCTGATTAACCGATAATCCCTATGTTATTGTAGTATGCGCAAAGAAACCTTACAGTTCTTTAGTGGATGAGGAAAAACGTGAGTTGTCAATCAGTGATAATGGCGACTGTGTTTTTTGATTCGATTATTCTGACACACGTAAAGACACCCCAGCTATTACAAATATATCACACAAATTTTCAACAGTCTTTTAATTATTAATCGGAGTCCGAAACGTCGCCAGACCGAGTCCAAAAAGTCGTCATTTAAGTCCGAACGTGCTACCGGGTGGGGGCATGGCAAGGAGTATAGTCTATCCTGCGCCACTGACTTTAGTTATTTGCCACTCATTTTATAATTCACCACTTTCTATCATATCCTTTGTGGTATACGGTAGAAGAATAATGCTATCACACAGTATCATATACACTTAAAATAGTTTAAATTTACAGTGGCAGTACATGTACCTCAAATTTAATTTTAAGAATAATTCTCTTCGGAGAAAAAAATGCTAAAGTAAAGACAAGAGAACCCGCAACAAAACGTCGCCAGAAATAAATGTTTTAAGTAACTTGGTATTCCACATAATTGTGCCATCCACAAAACCCATTGGAAGACTATTTATATTATAGCCCTAGCAGTGACTGCTAGAAAAAGTACCCTAGAGTTGAAGACTTTTCTTTTGAAATTTAGCTCTACTAGTCTTTAAGATGACTGTTATCATTGGTACCGGTAATTTAAACTTTAAAGAAAATTTGCAGACATCTTACCAATCTGTGGGTGTTTGTGCGCTGTATCATAAGGTCTGTTGTTGAGTTAACTGGTGGGGTTTCGTTTCCCTGGTTGTACATGACAAGGAGTATGGTCGCCTGTCCAACCTGATGGGTTTTCTCTGGGTCCTTTGTTTTCCTCCCACTGCTAAAAACTCCTATGTGCAAGCAAATTATTGAAATAAAATTGACCAATATGTTACTGTTAGTCCCAAAATTACATAGTTTGTGTTGAGTGGATGTTAAACCCCTTCTCTATCTCTCTGTCTCTTACCAATCTGTTTCACAAAGGTATTACTAAAGCCTTCTAATATCTCTGTAGTATGACTTACCTTTATAAGTTCAACATGTGACGTCAGATCTCAAGGCGTCAATCATTGATTCCATGTAAGACATTAGCGTGAACTTGGCCGGGCAGAATGGTGCCGTTAATGCATTTTATATACCAATTTACACTAAATAGGAAATATTTTTTATTTAGATATACTTCAAACACCTTTATTTTCTAATACTTCTAAAAAATGTTCTAGAATTTAGTTTGCAGAAAGAAAAAAGTGAATATTGGGGACTCATTAAGCCACACCGATGTCATCCGACTTAGCAAATATTCACTGCTGTTGTATTAAATAGAAATAAATTGGTTAAAATGTGTGAAATAAGGCGTAACATGTTTCATGAATCGGGACATATACCGTAATACATTATTTTTAATTTTAATTATGTTTGAGGAAGACACGATTATTCAGTGAATAGGATGATGGCTCGCCAACCAGGAGATCTTGAGTTCGTTCCCAATGTTTGTCAAGAAACATCATCAGGATTTTCCAAAGTGGTTCCCTTTTGTCATTGGTGCAGGACGGAGGTCGTGGCTTGGAACTAAAAATCAAGTTCCTGTGTAAACATTGGCATGCATGTAAAAGAAACTTTGATGGTTAGAATTCGAAATAAGAATAGGCCTTAGTGCCGCTGCGTGGACAAAATGTTCCTCATAACACACTGAGGAGTAAATATATTATTTTTTTTTATTGTTTATTTCAGGCTCCTTTGATGGCTGAAAAATTCTGTGTTTGCCATTTATCAACAGGTAATATTGGACATTGTTGAATAAAAATTCTCTATTTGTCATTTAATTTGATATCCAATGAACCAGGGATGGTGTTTGGAAATTTTACCTGTCATACATTTTTGGGAGTTTGAATATTATTCACCATATCTTGATGCCGGATTGGGCATATTCCTGGTTGGACATTTGACAACTGTCCATTCATTCAGATGACACGAATAAACCATGTTTTTTTGGCATTCACGTAAAAGAACAGTTGGAAATAGATGCGAAATTTCCCTCCATGCCATTATGCCTGAGTGTTAGTCGTTTGGATGGGACGTAAAACTGAGGTCCCATGTACACATTAGCATTAATGTAAAAGATCCCATGACAAATGAAATTCATCGTAAGAGTAGGCTAAATCGATGTATTGTGATTCACGTATTGAATTGCAAGACACTTTTTGTCGTTTAAATAAGTAACCGGTCACTCCTAACATTGGCCTGGTTATAAATTGTGATATGAATTGTATCGTAGCACCAGAATCGCAATACATATATGTATCTTATTGTGCCTGCAGTGGCAATATCCAGCCCTAGGTCAAACCCCATTTTATTTTATTACAGGAGATATGTTACGAGCTGTAGTGGCATCAGGTAATGAATTAGGTAAACGAATCAAGAAAGTAATGGATGATGGTCAGCTTGTATCCGACAACCTTGTCGTAGAAATGATTGACCTCAACTTAAATAAACCTATGTGTCGGAATGGATTTTTATTGGATGGTTTCCCAAGAACCGTAGGTCAAGCAGAAGCTGTAAGTATTTGTAGTAAAATCTTATAAAAAAAGTCAGAGCCACCTGCCACGGTGGCTACGTGGGTAAGATGCAGAGATGCTAACCTGGAGGTCACATGTTCGATCCCTGCATTGGCCGAGAAAGTTCAGAAGGATTTTCCAATGTTTCCCCTTGCTTCAGTCTAAACCAAGATATTTAGCAACTTAATTTTAGGCTAGCCTCAAATGTCATAACTACAGTTGGTATGATAATAAAAGTCGCGATTATCCATTTTTACGTTAAATCATCCATCAAAATATGTATACAAATCCACTGAATATCGCTAGCTAACAAGAGTAGATTATGGTCTGGATAAGTAATAAATGTCTAATTAGTAGTTTATACAACATTTCAGGCCCAAAGAAAGACCTACAATGGGCAGATTTAGCTCTTGCATAATCCATGTTTAAAATTAAACAAGGCTAGTTGATACATGATTGTGTTCAGTATTTTTTATTACTACATGCATATCAATAATCTTTTATCCCAAGGTGAGATCAGGTGTAATTTGACCAATGCTGTAATCATGTATATGATAAGCAGTGAAACACGACTCCACAAATTATAAATAGCATTGAAATACATGTATAAACATGCTGTTAACATTGTATTAACATGTTGTGTAGTGTGATAAAATAACAATTTGATTAAAACACAGATTTATATTTCGTTTTGTTTTTTGATACTTTCGATGGCCTACACTAAACAAAGATCTGACCAGTTGTACTGGTAGGTCGCGTCAGTGGTTGTACGAACGCCTTTTGACCCTATGATGTCAGACATTCTTTAATCAATCAGTATTGACGTTTCTAGTGGTTTACCCACAATTACGTGCATGGCACGCCAAGAAGTCGTTGTAACAGATGGTTTCATTGGCTAATCTCTCACACCATCCAGAACGCTGGTTATATAATATAACAACTCTTCTAGATCCTAGTGTAGTAAAGACAAATAAAAGAAATTTTGAACTATAAAAAATGAAACGAAATACGATCTGTGTTTTAATCCGATCTGTGTTTTAATCCGGTTGATAAAATAGGTACAATTACTGCATTACTATCTCCAGTCGGCAAAACCAAAATATCTAACATAGATAATCACCTGTCTTGGATTTAGTCGGATTAAATAGATACTCGTCAAATTCATGTTAAAGGGACAATAACACTCTTGCTGGCTTGACAGCTCCAGAAAATAAATAATAGCCTTATTCTAAGTATTAGATGTTTATGTGTCCTACCTGTTGTGTAAATTATCCATTACATCGTATTTTACTTGTCCAGAGGGTTCGAAAATATTTTTAAATCCAAGTCACATTTGAAAAGGTTTACGTTAGGCTTTTCAAATCATTTAGTTGGATTTTTCCAATTTTTTAAATTAGGTGTGTTAAAGCGAGAATTTCAAATTTTCTAAGAAAGTCAAAACATAATTATTTCTATGTCTTTACTCTTTTGCTCAATAGGTTATCAAATCACTATTATACGATCATGGGCATTATTTCCCACCCTTAAAAATCTATGACACAGGAAATAACAACACAATTACCTCCACTGTTTTGCTATTGACAACATGGGGCAGCCATTTTCCAACGTTGGAATTTGAAGTTAAAGTGCACATAAGATGGTCCCAGAAGATTTGAGATACGTGTAGCCAATGGTTACTATATCCACTTTACGGCAAGTTCACGCCAATCTGGTTGAAATTAATTCAGTTATCTTCATTCAAAGTCATAAAAATAGACCTTCCATAAAAACGGCTTTGCCAATTATCGAAAACACTCTTAATCCCCTCAGACGCCAGTGACGTCACAGTGACCGAATGCATATTCGGAATGTTTATTCCTTAATTACCTATATACAGCCGGCGTGTGTATTCTTTAACGCCTGAATGATTCCTTAACCCCCCCATATAAATAAAACAATTGACTACGGAATAATTTGTTTTGTAATTCATTTTAATTTAAGATCCAATTTAGAGTGCCTACAACTTTTAAACTTTGAAGTCCTGAACTCTTAATTAATTTTTTACAATATGGAACTTATTGGACGAACACTTTTAATATGTAAAAAATATACGGGTCCAGTTATAATATGTGGTTTTTACTGCGAGCACTTCGCTTTTCCACATAAATTGTAGTGTCGTTAATATCTGTCATTAATTAATCAATCCGACTATAAAAGTTATACAGGCATGGATCATAAATTAATTTCAAGTTGGTGTTAGCAGTGAGTGTTAGTGGGATTAAGAATGTTGATTAGGTAATTATCTTTTTTTTTACGCCGGCCAGATCAAAGACATCACTCTCAGTGGAACGTGTGCGTAATACCTCATGAACGAACTAATGGTAGAATCATACACACACACATTAATTGTATAAAATAAATTAAGTTTTACTAATAAGTTGTTTAAAATTACTATATACCCAATAATTATTGCTCACCGGTGTTTTTGTAATCAAGTAGCCTTGTATTGTTTGTTGATTGGCGTTTAAACAACATTTAATTGATGGATGAATTAACGTTTTTGATACGATTAGATTATGTCTAACATCGGTTATCTTCTTTATAATAAAAGTATTTTACAATTGCATCTCCTATTTTAACTTTCATTATGACAAAGTGAGAAGATGACCCGCCCTCTCTTCCCACGACAAAGATTTTCAAGCCATTTTTAAAACCGTGTTTTAAAGTGATTTTTAGATATACAAGAACTTTTAATTATTTTAAATCTGTTTTAAAGTGACGTTTAGATATACAAGAACTTTTTATTATTTAGTGTTTTTACCTAACTTCTATTTTTTATTTAAGTAAATAACTTAATCAAATCAACCTGTCCATAATATCATGCATTATGTATTGGACGTTAAATTTGTAATAAACAACAACAACAACAGCATTGACAGTTTAATCACTCACCAAACGGCACCAGGAACTCCACGAATGATCCCGTGCAATTTTCGCGGCGAAGTTTAACCTCATTTACTACACCCGTAGTACGTGGAACGGTACATGATAATAAGATACCAAGCGTTAATTGGCAGAGAAATGAGTGCGATCTATTGTACATGTTATGCATAGTCATCGGAAAATTCCATATTCACTGTAGTTGTTCTTTATGTATAGAAATGGTTATTATTATTATATATAGCTAATAATGAATATATCGACATCTTCATTTGACACGTGGCCTATTTAAACAAAGACAGCTTAAATTGATCTACGGCATGATACGACATTTTAAATTTACTCTAAAATATTCCAATCACAAATGTCTAATCTATACCAATGAAAGACGATAATTAGGTGATTATGATTAGGCCAGTCACGTGGTAATTCGACCGTCAATAGACGCTTGCCCAGTTGCCGTGTGTATTGATAGTGCTATATTGTACATACGGTGAGATATTGTATAGATAATGTATATACTATGTGTAGTGCCTGTGACGTCACCAGCCAATCAACCGGATTAAGATCGTAATTGAAAAATCGATAAGCGTTTTGGCGTGTCGGATACTTAAACGTTAACAGCGGACTTAATTTTAATCAGATTGGTGTGAACTTGCCGTAAAGTTGATATAGTAACCATGGGCTGGTCTTTAAAAATGATATTTTTGCCATTAATTTCTCACATGGCACGTGACAAGAAGGAGGGTCGCCTGTCCAACCTCATTGGTTTTCTCCATGGTCCCCCTGTTTCCTCCCACTGCTAAAGACCCCTACGTGCAAGTGAATTATTGAAAGAAAATGAAACCATATGTTAGTCCCGAAATGACTTAGTTTGTGTCGAGTGGACGTTAAACCCCATTTCTCTCTCTCTCTCGCCAAGACCATAATCAACTCTCGATACCATTGGATGGATATAAGTAGATTTAAATACGTTTTGTGGTCATTGCGGTTGTTATAAAAATGGATAATCGAGACTTTGTTTATTATTGTAACGATGGTAGTAATGACAACCAAGGTTAGATATCTAGGCTCAGAGTGAAGTAATTTAACTGTAATAATTTGCTTTTTGTTTTTTTATTAGTTAGACAGATTATTGGAGAGAAGACATACATCATTAGATGCTGTAATTGAGTTTTCTATAGATGATTCTCTATTAGTTCGACGTATTACAGGACGTCTAATTCACCCATCTAGCGGTAGAAGTTATCATGTCGAGTTCCATCCACCTAAAGTACATATGAAAGATGATGTAAGTGGATATTTCCGTCGTTGTTCTCGCTAGCCTGGAGGTCGGGTGTTCGATCCCTGCATTGGCCGAGAAAGTTCATCCAGATTTTCCGGCGTGGTTCCCCCTTGTCAGTGATGCAGGATGGAGGGCCTGACAAGGACAGCTGTCTAGTCCTGCGGATGGGACGAAAAAGTGAGGTCCTGTGTACACATTGGTGTGCACGTAAAAGATCCTTTGATAGTTGGAATTCGATATAAGAGTAGGCCGTAGTGCTGCTGTCTGGGCAAAATTTCCCTCATAGCACACTGTATGATGTATGCCTGTCTTCATTAACCCAGTTCAAGCATAACAGTAGGACGTTAAACCCCATTTATTTCATTTTAGTCATTGTTGTTTGTATTTTAGAGGAGAGCCAATAAAAACTCCCCTTAATCAACAAATTGAGAAAATCAGTCCTGTAAAAAAGCTCTCCCAGTTTCGATAAGAAGAGTGATTTAGAAATTAAGGAGAGTAATCTGATATTAAGGAGAGTGATTAGTTGTGTGTATGGGAAATGTTTCTGAAGATCTTAAGGGGAGAGAAAAAAACCTCCCCCTGGGTCGACATTCAGATGAGCAACAATCACTCGAGAGCGATCGCTCTCTTAAAAAACAATGACTGATATTGTGCTAGCAAAATGAAAGACAAGTAAAATGAAATTTTCAACTATAATAAACTACATGAAATATGATCTGTGTTTTAATCAGAGAGGAGGATAGGATGGCCGAATGGTTAGCATGTGTGCACTGTATCATAAGCTCTGTCATTGAGTCATCTGGCATGATTTTGATTACCCGGTTGTATGTGACAAGGAGTAAGGTTGCCTGTCTAACCTTGTGGGTTTTCTCCGGGTCTTCCGGCTCCCTCCCACTGCTAAAAACCCATACGCACAAGTGAATTATTGAAATAAAATTGAGCCATGTGTTAGTCCCGAAATGATCTAGTTTGTGTCAAGTGGACGTTAAATCATCTCTCTCTCTCTCTCTCTAATCAGATATTGTAATACTCTATTTCTCTGTCTTTCAGCTGACCGGTGAACCACTTATTAAGAGATCAGACGATAACGAAGAGGCATTAAAAAAAAGATTAGATTCTTATCACAGACAAACAAAACCATTGGTTGATTATTATAGTAAAAAAGGTTTACACGTGGCAGTTGATGCTTCACAACCTCCTAAAACAGTTTTCGCTGCTATCTGTGCCACTTTTTCTGCTGTGAACTCAAAAGATAAAGTAGCATTTATGTAATTTTTGTAGAAGTTTTTTAAATTCACAGATTTAATCTATGGTATTTAATCTATTGGTACGGACTACGCAATTCAATGTATACAAACATGAGAATTTTAGCTGTTAATTGGCTGAGAGCTAAAATTTGGGCCTATGAAAAGGCAGTATTCTTAAAATATTGATATTCATTTTATTGGTACTGATATAAATTAACAAGGACTATGCAACTCGATCTATCTATTCTAGCCCGGAAATACTGCCTGTTCATTTGCTAAGGTCGAAATTTTGTGCTAGGATCTTGGCTATCAGCCAATGAAAAGGCTGTATTTTTAAAAGATTTTAATTTAAAGATGCATTATGTAAGAGCTAAATCTCAGGATTTTTTTTGGCTTCAAATGATATATTTAGACATTTATTTGCATGACATTCAATAATCAACCCTCTAGATCATTGGATGTAACAGATTATACCATTTAATGATTTCATTTAAAAATGGAAAAGTGAGACTGAGTCTCGATTAACAAGTAACGTTGCTGCAAGGATAAATAATTTATTTATATCAAAACTTCAAACAGTGATAACTTTGCTTATAATAAAGTAATTTAAATGAAATTTCCAATATATTCATTTTTCATTATCTATTTTCGAACTATTATAGCAAAACGGCCAGCTCTTTATCTAAATCTTACATAATGCATCTTTAATATTCAAATTAATGACTTAAATAAAAAATTACCAACTTTTTACAGTTTAATAACATACAGTGTTTATTTGTGCCTTTAGTGGAATATTGGAAAGTCAGATTTGTTATTAAAAAACAGTTTGGATGTTATTCAATAATTGACCTGGAATACAAAGGTTACAATTCTATGGAATACAATGATGTGACATTTAAACTCTTTTTATACCCAAAATTGAGATTAAATATATACATGTTACAATCTTACTTTCTCACATGTGTTATATTAATGTGCTGATATGGGTACTATATGTTTTACCGATATCAGCATGTTCTAGAAGCAACGACTGCAAGTTTTACAACATCTTGACATTGCTAGATTGCTTTGCAATTCCTGAACTTATAGCTACGTTACCTCCCTTTACTGCAGACACATGAACAGTAGCACCCAATCAGAGATTATGACACAAACACACTCAAGTCAAACCTTGACATTGATTCTCTTGTCTTCTATCAAACAAATATAAAGACATGAGAACCCTCATCAAAACAAAACGTAACTTGTATTCCGTAGAATTGTGTCCTGTGTATATTTGCATGGACCTTGTAATATATTGACTGGTAACGGCTTAATGACCCTACCAGCAATGGGTGTCATACAGGAATTTGAGACAGCTTATCGGAAGTTATTAATGAGTTATGTCCCTTAGCAGCATCTGTGGTTACCTGGTATGTCCTGTGTATATTTATAATTAATAGTTTGCTGGTTACGGATAGGGTAATTAACAGTAGCAATAAATTAAATAACATAGAATTAGTAGTATTATATTTGTAACTTACGATGTGATAATCAGTGGTGCAGGAACACGCTTGACTGGGTTGGTGTTCAGAGACGAACTTTACAGGTAGTCGGCAAAAGGCCTATTTTGCCAACCCACATTTTTGTTCATAGGTAATTTTGCATTCTACAAGATAGAGTTATGTGAGTAGTCTCCAGCAGTTAACCCTTATATGACCTAGCATGCACAGCCATGTATATTTCATCCGTTTGAAGTAGGTATATCCTTACATATATACTAAAAAAATGATCGAGGATACATCAATTTCCAAATATTTTCCTATGGCTGGGGGAGAAAAACCCTGCCCCCATAGAATTTAAAGTCTGCCAACCCACTTGAAATAAAAGTTCCTGCGCCACAAGAAATGATTAGATGATTATTTTTCTATAAATTTTTCTAACACTATTTGAAGAGTACAGTACTGAAGTGGCAGCACCAAGGGGGTGGAGACTTACAAAAATCAATGGATGTAAATTTGATATGATGGGAACCACATCTATGCACCAATATTTCTGGTAATGCGAAGGTGCAAACAATCTGATTAAAACACAGATCCTATTTCGTTTCGTTTTTTATAGTTCAAAGTTTCATTTTTCTTGTCTTTACTACACTAGGATCTGGAAGAGTTGTTATATAACCCATGTTCTGGTTAATGTGAGGGATTAGCCAATGAAACAGTCTGTTATGGAACTGTAGGTAAACCACTAGAAACGTCACCGCTGATTGACGCCATAGGGTCAAATGCCGCTCGTATGACCCCTGATGCGACCTTCCACTACAGCTGGTCAGATCTTCATGTAGTGTAGGTCATCAAAAGTATAAAAAAAACGAAACGAAATATAGATCTGTATTTGAATCAGATTGAGATGCAAATATTTGTGTAGATTGTGATCCTTTACAAGTACATTCTTCAAATAGTGTATTTTGCAGGGTAATTTTTGAAAATTTTCAATGAAAACCCAACCAACTCCCACTGAAAAATGTTTTGAAAACCCCCTCACCCCCTACTGAAAAATTCTGGTGCTGCCACTCGTACTGTAAAATTTCTTTGTATTTGTGTGATGAAATTGAAATGAATATTACTAATACATTTGAGGTTCTACTCAATTTTATTATAGGTATTGCTGAATCGTTTAAATAATTGTATATAACTTAAAAGATGTTTAGAGTCGACTCAATTTAATAAAAAGTATTGCTGAATCATTGAAATAATTATCTATAACTTGAAAGATGTTTAGGAGTCGACTCAATTTAATTAAAGGTATTGCTGAATCATTTAAATAATTATCTATAACTTGAAAGATATTTAGAGACTCCTCAATTTAATAAAAAGTATTGCTTAATCATTGAAAGATATTTAGAGTCGACTTGCCAATTTGTTGAAATAATTATCTATAAGATGTTTGAATGTACACAGACACTGATGCGAGTTTGTGTATTTGGATCAATTCAAATTTACTTGAATTCTATATGGTATTAAACCAAGACTTATAAGGAAAATTTTATCATACAGTGGAGCTCACATTGAATGTCGACTTTACTATTCATTATTCCAATGCTATTTACATATTTGATTGACTGGAATTGATAATTTCTGGTGCATTTTGGGGTTTCTAATTTTAAATCAATATATTTTACTGTATCTGTTTGTTTTGGATATTAGTTGATTTCCTTGAATTAATTTTAGTAAATTATATTTCAAAGTTGACAAACACCAGTCCAAATTCCATTATTTTAAATAAACATTGATTAACGAAAGCTAAAAATTTGGTAGGAATAGGCCTGAAAAACTATAGAAATCGATTATTTTTATTAGTTCTAACTCTTCGGTATCTTGTTTCGTTCCATTGCACAATACCCTGGGTTCATTCACAGGGGCGATGCATAGTCAAATTATCTGCCCTTGATACTTGGGCTATTTTTTTTCGACCAATCGAGTGAGCGAAGGGAAATAACTCACCTTTTATTGCAACTAAGATTATTGTAAACAATGAATCTAAGACTGGTACATAAACACTTTTTTGATTGGTTTGAGAATCAACAAACGACCCAAGGGCAGATAATTTGAATTTGTGGAAAGCCTGTAAATGAACCTAGGATATTGTGGAATAGAACGGAATGATACTACCGGGGAAACTGAGGATGTTGTGAGCTCTGAATTTAACATTAGCAACCTACTTTATGTTTTAAGGCTTTTAGACCTCAAGGGCTCTCCTGGTTTCATATCGAGAGTTTGTAACTAGAAATCGGTGAAGGGCTGCTGTTGTTATTTGAAGGGTTTCAGAATGTTTATACATTTGATTATCCTTCAGCCGGCTTTTCATGTACGTGTTTCAGCCGGTTACGATCCCATTACATTTGCTTTAGATGCACGTACATGGAAAACAGGCCTTAATCAGTTTTGGGGAAAATATTGAAAATCATTTACAAGTTCAAGGCAGATTGTCTTTATTAATCAAAACTAGCCACTTTAACTTTGCCTCAATGTTTGCCAGCTGTTATTTTATTTTTATTTTGGCAACAACATTTCACTCGATGAGTCTATTAGGGTAGGATATATAGTTTTATTTAAATCATGTTACACTATCAATGCTGGTAACTCTTAATCACATAAAATGCTTCATTTATCTTTAATAATGGAACTGGAATTCCACAGGACACAATTTTATCGAATATAATTATACTGAGCTATGTTTTACTATCATTGCTTGATACAGAAAAGTCAACAAGGCTTCTCTTCGGGATGTTGATAAATAAATGGCCACTTGAATCATGTGAAAGATGTTTAGTTTAAAATTTCAAAACCTAAAAATTTTGTCTTAAATATTGCATACCAGAAGCCTATATTTTCACAGTAAGATAACAACATCAATGTTGATTTAAATTGACCAGTAAGTCGTTGTTTGCAATGTCGAAAACTGTGGATGATATTGAGTTAGGGACTTGCTTCCTTTAACACTAATTAAAATACAGATGTGACGTCACCTTTGATGTTGGCGTACCATTATTTCAAATAATTGTACGTGCAACTTGCCAATCGTACATTATTTATACTAGTGAAATATTGGACTCGCGTGACGTATTTCACTGTAAAAGCACGTGCAAGTGTCTGCATTTTAAGTTGTTTAATGGTCTCGAGCTTAAGACATTGCGTAATATATTGTAAAAACACTCGGGCCTACGATCCTCTTGTTGTTACAATATATTACGCAATGTCTCGCTCTATACCATTAAACAATACATAATATATCTCAGTATTAAACATAAACGGTATTCTGTAGAATTGTGTCTGGTGTGTTTCTTCAGAAGTTGATTAATGAAAATTTGCAAATTACTTGTAAGATTTGCTATGTCTTTTTTGACCCTATTTTGATGGGATTGTTATATATATTAATACATGTATTATTATATGTAGAATGATTTCATGAAATAAAAACCTGGTTAGACTCCATCTTGTTTAACTACGTAAATCTTATCAAGGCCTTCACGTAATACCATGCATATTGCAGCACTAATTTCGACTGGGTACAAGCCCAACTTGTGAGCATATCAGATTCCTCGATCGTCGCGAATACCAAGTCTCGCGCTTTCAAGCTAAAATGTCTGCCTGTGATAATCGAGTTGCCGTATCATAAAGTCTCTCATTGAGTCAAACTGGCGTGGTTTCGATTCCCCGGTTGTACGTGACAAGGACAGCTGTCTAGTCATTCGGATGGGAAAAAAAGAGGTCCTTGTGTATACAATGGCGTGCATGTAAAATATCCTTTGACAGTTGGAACTCAATATAAGAGCCATGGTGGCTAAGTGAGTTAAGACGCTGGCTCGCTGTCTGGATGTCACTGGTTCGATCCCAGTGTTGGCCGAGAAAGTTAATCACATTTTTCAGAGTGGGTTCCCCATGTCAGTGGTGCAAGATGGAGGGCCTGACAAGGACAGCTGTCTAGTTGTTTGAATAGTACAAAGATAGGTTGAGACCCTTGTTTCAATTTGTAGAACCTTGTGAACCCTCAAACAGCAAAAATTATAATCTGATCTGTATGGAACTGTCTTGTAAAGGCCCCCAATTACCTACAAAGGAATAAATATGCGACAACCCTTGTCGACCGCTCGGACGATTTAGCCGCTGTGGGCGTATGTTTCGTTGCCTGGCAACCTATCTTTTCATTGTGTATAAATCGCCAGCATATTGGGTGGGTGCTTTCCTGCAAAATGGTTATGCCAGAGCATGCTCGTTTTATACATTGACTTCATGGTCGGTAGCAAACAGTTAACTTTAAAATTGCTGAAACAGGGATATTTACCAACTGGACTCAAGTCAACTTTTCAAAAGTTTTATGATCGTCAACAATGAAATAATTCTTAGATTTCTGAATTCAATAAGTACAAGTCATAGTTAGGGTGACCCACCATAAATAAATATCTCCAAATATCTTGTCAATTACACCACAATATATATATATATATATATATATATATATATATATATATATATACCAAGCCTTAAATCAGTTTCGCAGATTTATAGTCACTAAATAAACAGTCATGTTATACTTAATAAGCTATGACCATTTAACCATCCATAAATAATTGACTGAAGGATAGTTATTGAGTGTCGGCCATAACATCCAGGCACTTGTGAGTAAAAAATAGGTTACGTGCCCTTGTTTTGAATTTAGTTTCGCTTAACCAGTCTACTGACCATTCTACGTCTGATTGACAGGCCGGGATAATTAAGAAACATAACAGAAAGTTCGAACAAGAAATCGAATTTAGAAACACGCACGTTAAGCAACTCAATTGTTTTAAGAACCTTGTAAAAGTAAAATGAAACTATTGCTAGTATCAAGTTCTTGCCTAACGAAAGTGTTTCAGAGATATGGTACAGTTAAACATACATTATGCAAGAGCTACATCTGCCTATTGCAGGTCTTTCTTTAGGCCTTAATGTTATCTAAATTATTAGACATTAATTAACTTATCCAGACCATATTCAACTCTCGATGGCATCGCTAAACCTGCGATGTTTATTGGATTAGGTTCCGATTTTATCCTACCGACTTTAGTAATGATGACGAGGCTAGGCCGAAAATTCAATCGCTAAAATCTCGGTTCATAGTGGATCAATTTGACTTAAATTTTCAGCGAATTCCCTTTACAGTATTTATTTTTTAACTTTTATAGTGAGAACTACCAGCTCTTTACCTAATCTCCCATATTGTATCTTTAACTATAAAGCAATTTAAAAAATAAAATAACTTCTAAAGCTGCTGTACTAACCAAAAAGCTAAATTTTACTGCTATTCAGAATCGTCAACAATAGATTTTTTACGGCTGTAATAGTTGATGGATGTGTAGAGAATTGCACATGTGATGGCTATTTATAGTCTCATATACTGCGTGGTTAAACAGAAATCACTTTGAGACAAGCCACTGAAGCGTGCACATTCGCTGAGTCGAGTCCAACTTTCTGTAGAGAAAATTTTCACTGTACGGGTCACCCTACCATAGTGGGGCTGATGTCTCACATTTATCTTTTTATAAAGCATCAAATTGCTTATAACTCTATTATCAAACTTAGTCAAAGTAGCAATGTAATGAAACAAGACACCAATTTTCACTATTCCCATGCAATTAGAATCAGAATTATCATGTTCCATAGCACTGACAAATCAAACTGCTTATCTCTGCTTAGCCTCACCTGAAAATGTTCAGTTACGACATACTGAAAGCCCACTGACACAACTGCATCAGTCATTTTGAAACATTTTGTGAGTCTATAGGACAAGACCTCATAGTCTTGGTTCCAATCATTTTATATGCTGAATTCTCACCGACTCAACCATGCTATTGAAATTTTGTAATCCTAAAGAATAGGTCTTTTAATCATACCTTTTTAGGTAGCAGCCATTTTGAAACATTTAAGGATACTTTCCTGCATACAAACTGTGTGATTTGATGATATATTTGGACTAAAACATATTCAAACTAATTAATCCATCAAACATTTGCTTCAAATCCCTCTCAAAACATTGTACTCGCAGTGAGATAGGTCAAGCTATAAATAAACTTGTTAGAAGCCATGTCTGTCAAATCTTTTCACTGAGGGAGGGTCCATTTTGCATAATATATTTTTCATTACTTACTGTCCATTTACCAAACATACTGCGGCCTAATTAAATTCTCGAATTATTTTCTTTCAACTTCTTTTTTACACTGTTTAATTGCAGAATCTTTTGTATGTTGACACCCCCCACCCAATGTTTCCAAAACCGTTCAAACAATTGATCAAGAAATAACAACCGCTCCCTCAGTCAAGCTATGATTGGGTGTCTATATACTTTCCATATATACCAAATATGTCATACTTTTATTGGAAATAACCACTCGATAAATACTTTCAGGACAAACCATATAAACCATGTTTGAATATGAGAACATGAGAAGTGCCTACTGATGTTTTATAAAGCGTGTCCTATAAATCAGAGTTTAAGTTTCACTAGTTTGTGTATGTTTAACACATAGGACTACAGGTACAGAAGTACAAGTTATTGTGTCAAACTCTTAATCTGGTACCAGTCATTTTTTATTTGGAATCCCTAATGACACAACTATATAGAGTATACCATAAATGAGAGTTTAAGTTTCACTAGTTTGTGTATGTTTAACACGTAGGACCACAGGTACAGAGGTACAAGGTATCATATCAAACTCTGTAATAACAGCTGTAATAAGTTCCGGTGGTGTCACATCGTACACCAGGTTGAGTAGTGTCAGAGAATTATAGTCCTTCCAATCTGTTAAAACTGGCGCTTTATTTCCAATTTTTACTAAATCATTTGGATCACCTTAAAAAAAATTCACAAAAATTAAATAAATGTCAGTTATTAATAAGAAATGGATGTTTTATTCTAAAGTCACTTATCATTCATTCTTGGTATCCCCAGACGCCTCATTCCGTTCTACTCCACTATACCCTGGGATATTCACTTATTCAAATTATCTGCCCTTGATCATAGATCGTACACACCAGTCTTAGCCTCACTGCTTACGTTCACAACAATAAGGCGGCTATATTGTTGCACCTGGATAAGAGTTACTTCCCTTTGCCAGCTTCCTTTGTATTAAACAATATCTTTGATTGGTCAATAAAAATAGCCCAGTCATCAAGGGCAGATAATTTGGATATGTGTCTACCCCATGGATGAACCCAGGGGTTAGTGGAATGGATCGGAATGAGACCACTGGGGATACTGAGGATGCAGAACAGTAAGATATTATATACAAATTATACCCAATTTCATTTCCAACTGAATATAAGACAGGTGATATTTTAGTTTTGTTGTCGTAATGGAATGTTGAAGAATCAAATTAAATGTATTTTAGTGTAGATTCAGGTGTGAAAAATTAGATATTGTCAAAAATAATGTAAATGATGATGAAATGTTAATCCTATAAGAAATAAATTTGTAATTTATCAAGTGCTATAATTGGATTAAAGATACATTATGGGAGATTAGATAAAGAGCTGGCAGTTCTCACTATAATAGTTAAAAAATAGATAATGTAAAGGGAATTTGCTGAAAATTTCAGTCAAATTGATCCATTCTGAACCAAGATTTTAGCGATTGAATTTGCGGCCTAGCCTCGGTCATCATTACTAAAGTCGGTAGGATAAAAATCATAGTCTCGATTATCCATTTCATGATTAAATTATGAATGGAAGTCGAACAGGAAATCGGCACCTAATCCAACAAACATCACTGGCTAGCGATGCCATCGAGAGTTGATTATGGTCTGGATAAGTAAATTAATGTCTAATTAATAATTTATAGAACATTTCAGGCCTAAAGAAAGGCCTGCAATAGGCAGATTTAGCTCTTGCATAATGTATGTTTAAATACATAAAATAGGTATATGTTTCGGCATTGATTATTGGAATAAAAAAGATATGACAACTTACCAAGTTCATTAAATACAAATGAATCTGTTTGGACCCGTTCACAGAATTTATATGTTTCACAACAGACTAGAGTTGGTACATTGTAAGCCTTGGCTATTAGAGCTATCATAGAGCTTCCAACACGAGACATAACACAACCATTAGCCAATAAGGCATGGGATCCCAAAAATACTTTGGTAGCCTGGAAGAGAAGTTACATGTATTTAAAGATACATTCCCATAAAGTATGTCAATTTTGGTATATATGGACAGAGAAAGAGAGAGAGAGAGAGTTAGTTTAACGTCCACTCAACACAAACCAGGTCATTTCGGGACTAACACATCGTTCAATTTTATTTCAATAATTCACTTGCGCGTAGGGGTCTTAAGCAGCGGGAGGAAGCTGCTGGATCCTGAGAAAACCCCAAGGTTGGACAGGCGACCCTACTTTTTTCATGTACAAGCGGGGAATCGAAACCATGCTACTTGACTCAACTCCCAAGCAGTGGAAGGAAACCGGAGGACATTAAAAACCTCATGAGATTGGGTAGACGACCCTACTACTTGTCACGTACAAGCTTGGATCAAAACTATGTCATTTGACTCAATGACAGACCTTATGATCTAAAGCATGTGTGTTAAGACCTTCATTAGATATTCTTATAGTAATGCAAATGTTTCTTAGAAATGTCCAGCCTAGTTTTCCATTGGACCGGATAGGGTAAAAAAAACAACCTGTTGTCCTGTGAAACCAGTGGCAGACAGTTGGAGAGCGAAATAAAACTAGGCTGTAGTGCCACTGCCTAGGCAAGATTCCCCTCATATTAGCCAGGTTATTGTAGAAAAGAAGGAAATGAAATGAAATTAAATGGAGTTTAACATCCAACTGTTCTGCTCCGAACTGGGCTAATGAAGACGGACATACGCCATACAGTGTGCCTACGGCCTACTCTTATATCGAATTCCAACTGTCAAGGGGTCTTTTATGTGCACGCCGGAAAATCTGGAGGAACTTTCTCAGCCAACGCAGGGATCGAACACCCAACCTCCAGCGTTTTACCCACCATGTCCCCCCATGTAGAACAGACGGAGTTCAATTCCCATTTCATTTTGTTTGACTTACTTCTTGCATAACGTAAGATGCTGCATTAATAAGAACATAGGTACATTTAATACCTTCTTTAACTAATCTTCTTAACATTTCTTTACCTAAAATATATATAAACATAAAATATCATAGGCTCTTTATCAAACTGTGTTGCCGTGGTTACTCAGTGAGTAAGACACTGGCACGCTATCCAGGAGGTCTCGGCTTTGCTGCAGGGTTGACCGGTTAAGTTCCTCTGGATTTTTAGGCATGGTTTTCCCCCTTGTCAGTGGTGCAAGATGTAGTGAGTGTTTAGTCATTCAGATGGGACAAAAAAATGAGATTCTGTATACACATTGATGTGTCCGTAGTTGGTAGTTTCAACATCAGTAATTGGTCTATCGGAAGAAATCGGTATCGATCATTACTCAGCCATTTTGCTGATTTTGGATTTGCCGATTGTGAAGAATTAAATCATTAATTTGCATGACACTCAGTACGATTATTTTAGTTGCTGTGCGTGTGAATATTTAGACGTAATACACGACTCTTGTTGAGGCCGTAAAAGAAAAGCACGATTCCAGCTCAATTACTAAATAACAATAAACCAATTTAATAAAATCTACCTTCTAGTTTTGGTCGACCATCGACAACTATAACACGAAATCTCTTTCCTTGTTTATAAGCATCTAATAAAACATGACGTATCAACGAGGAACTGAAATAAACAATGTATTTCATCATATTGATATAACATACATCTACTGTTGCCAGGCAACAAAAATATTAGCAGTCACCTGTAAAGTAAAATGAAATGAAATAGGGTTTAACGTTCTACTGTTCTGCACCGACTGGGCTAATGAAGATGAGCATATGCCATACAGTGTGCTGTTAGGGAAATTTTGCCCGGACAGCGGCACTACAGCCTATGCTTATATAAAATTCTTACTGTCAAAGAGTTCTTTCGACATTTTCGTCCCATTTGAATGACGACACATTGTCCCTTTTCAGACCCTCCACCCTGCACCATTGACAAGGGGAAACCACTCCAGACAATCCTGATGAAATTTCTCATTCAACACAGGGATCGAACACAGGACCTCCAGCTTAGTGAGCCAATGTTGTACTCACTGAGTCACAGTTATGAGAGAGAGAGAGAGAGAAACGGGGTTTAATGTCCACTCGACACAAACTAGGTCATTTCGGGACTAACATATGGTTCAATTTTATTTCAATAATTTGCTTGCGCATGGTGGTCTTTAGAAGTGGGAGGAAATCGGAGGACCCAGAGAAAACCAACGAAGTTGGACAGGCGACCCTACTCCTTGTCACGTACAACCAGGGATTCGAAACCACCCCAGTTGACTCAATGACAGACCGTATGATACAGCGCGCGCGTGCTAACCACTCGGCCATCCAACCCCTCTGACCCAATGACAGACTATCTCTAACGCGAATGCGTTCAATTACTCGCACCCACTCCAACCTCCTGTTGAACATGAACTGAACATACAGTAGTGCTGGGTATTGCCACTGCAGTCATGATACGATTCATATTGCGATTCAGGTGCCACAATGCGATTCGTATCACGATTCAAAACCAGGTCAATATTTACCAACAAAACAACAGGATAAATGAATAATTGATATTTTATTGGAGTCGCAAGTTGCAAATTGTCCAGGGCTTGAAATGTTCGTTTGGTTACATGTGTACCTATGGATAATGTGGAACATGGATAAATGAAGAATGACAGGTTAGTTACTGGAGTGACAAAAAAAAATTAAAAAGATTCAGTCTTGCGATTAAATACGCGTATTATGAGAAAGTGAATCGTGATACAGCGATTCAACGTTATATATCGTGCCAGCACTATTGCTAGATTCCTACAGTCGTGCGATGCTTTGCGATAGCATTATCCCTATTGAGTCCACTATCTGGTACGTGCAGATAGAGAGAGAGAGAGAGAAATGAGGTTTAACGTCCACTCAACGCAAACTAGGTCATTTCGGGACTAACATATGGTTTAATTTTATTTCAATAATTCGCTTGCGCGTAGGGGTCTTTAGCAGTGGGAGGAAACCGGAGGACCTGGAGAAAACCCACAAGTTTGGACAGGCAACCCTACTCCTGGTCACGTACAACCAGGGATTCGAAACCACGCCAGTTGACTCAATGCTAACCATTCGGCCATCCAACCCCCCACGTGCAGATAAGTTCGGATCAACACGATTGCTACAATTGACCTTAATATATGATTAGACCCGATAGGATCACCACAATTACTCCACGACTCAAACCATGATTCAAATCGTAGCGCAAATTGTGATAGTAGGAATCTAGTATAACATACAGTCAAATGTAACTTACCAAGCATAAACCATAATAACATCGCCATCTGCGATTTTTTTACAAGCATACGTCGATATAGCATCTGCTGGAACCGTGATTCTCTCATGGATAAACGTATCAATACATTCACATAAACTCTGTTTCGCCTGAAATACAAGTGAAATGGGGATTAATGTCTTATTTTTGGGGGAAATGAAATGAAATAGAATTTAACGTCCTACCGTTCTGCTCCATCTGGGCTAATGTATACAGTGTACTATGAGGGAAATTTGGCTCGGACAGCATTGCTAGGGCATACTTTTATATAGAATTCCAACTGTCACCTTTTTTTTTATGTGCATGCCAATGTATACACAGGACCTCGGTTTTTTATCCCATCCGAAGGACTAGACATTGTCCCTTGCTACACCCTATGTCCTGCACCACAGACAAGGGGGAACCATGTCGGAAAATTAAATGAACTTTCTGGGTCAACACAGTATCTCCAGGTTAGCGAGCCAGCGTCTTACTCACTGAGCCACTGTGGCTTCCATATCTTTCTGGGCTAGTGATATCTTGATATCAATGGTACATTTGATACCTTCCAAAGGATTAGACGGTCAGACTCTCTGTTAATTAGGATCTCTGTTAATTTCTAGGCCAACATGGTCAGTGAGCATGTATTTCTGTATGAAAGAAACCGGCTTGAAATGAATAATATGCTTATAACTGCCATCAAGTAAACTGTAATCACAGTGGGTTTTTTTACTCACCTTAGAATCCCTAAGTTCATGAGGTGTATGATTTACCTTAGAACAACTAAGTTCATGAGATACATTGCTCACCTTAGAATAACTAAGTTCATAAGGTGTATGACTCACCTTAGAATCACTAAGTTCATGAGATTTATGACTTACCTTAGAATCACTAAGTTCATGAGGTGTATGTGTTATATGCCATTTTAAATATTTAATGGCATTTCCCATACTGACAGACAGAGGGCGGCATTGTATTAAAAAACTGAAACATAAACATTTCTTAGTTAAAATAAAACGGGAATTCTTTTTTGGGTTGAAAATTAATAATCCTTGAAAAAATTAGACAAAAGTAATATTTATTATCTTGATTTTCGAAACTGCCCAAAACTACTGCTCTTTAGAATGCTCAACCTGCGACCTCCAGACTAGTGAGCCAGTGTCTTACCCACTTAGCCACCTTGGCACCCTAAATTAATATAAAGAATGACAAGATACTCACCTTATATATGGTTTTATTTTACTATCTAAATCTCTACACAGTTCTTTTTGAGGTGGAGTTATGTAGTCTGTTATAACCTGAATTTAATACATGAATATTAATTTTATTCACAGGTTAACAAAAGAAAAAAAGAAAAAAAGAGTGAAAGAAAGACAGAGAAAAAGAGAGTGAGGGAAATGAAATGAAACTGGGCTAATGAGACAGGCATACGCCATACAGTGTGCTATGAAGGAAATTTTGCCCGGGCAGCGACGCTACGGCCTACTCTTATATCGAATTCATTTTATTCACAGGTTAACAAAAGAAAAAAAGAGTGAGAGAAAGACAGAGAAAAAGAGAGTGAGGAAAATGAAATGAAATGGGGTTTAAGGACCTACTATTCTGATCCTAAACTGGGCTAATGAGACAGGCATACGCCATACAGTGTGCTATGAAGGAAATTTTGCCAGGGCAACGACGCTACGGCCTACTCTTATATCGAATTCCAACTACCAAGGGATCTTTTATGTGCACGCCAATTTGTACACACGATTGGTTTTTCGTCCCATCCGTACGACTAGACAGCTGTCCTTGTCAGGCCCTCCGTCCTGCATCACTGACAAGGGGAAACCACGCCGGAAAATCTGGATGAACTTTCTCGGCCAATGCAGGGATCGAACACCCGACCTCCAGGCTAGCGAGCCAGCGTCTTACCCACTTAACCATGTGATCCCCGAGAGTGAGAGAGATATTTGGTAAAGTGCATGTGTCGGGGAATTTGTGCGCTATAAAAATATACAACAATAATAATAATAATATATTATAATAATTATACAAATTTGAAAACAATCTGTTAAATACTACAGCCTTTCTCATGTTCACAAGGTTTTTGGCCAAGGGGGGGGGGATAACTCTTAAAGTAGAAAGTCAAGGTACATTGAATATCGATAGTATTTTTCCTCAGATAACCACAATGCTTCACACCAAATTTGAAAAAAACACGTCAGAAACTGTAGCCTCTATCACATTCACAAGGGGGATAACTCTGAAACGGGAAGAATTTACAGGTATATAAAAAATCAATTTGTTTACCTTTTTAAAAGCAGCTAACAATGCGACACATCTGGCATTAGATCCTACTATCAAACCTTCAGCATACTGTAAACCTAGTTTAATAATGGCTGGATGTATACCACTACTTGTAAATCTACATAAAAAATATATAATAATAATAATGGCTGGATATATAAACTACTTGTAACTCTATATATAGAGAGAGAAATGGGGTTTAATGTCCACTCGACACAAACTAGGTCATTTCGGGACTAACATGTGGTTTAATTTTATTTCAATAATTCACTTGCACGTAGGGGTCTTTAGCAGTGGGAGGAAATCAGAGGATCTGGAGTAAACCCAAGAGGTTGGACAGGCCTCCCTACTCCTTGTCACATACAATCGAGGATTCGAAACCACGGCAGTCGACTCAATGCCTTATGATAAAGCGTGCACGTGCTAACCATTCGGCCATCCAACCCCCCTATAAATATATATAATCAAACCTTCAAGATACTGCAACCCTAGTTTAATAATGTAAATCTACATAAAATATATAACAATAATGGATACATATGTACACAGGACTGACAAATGTACACAGGACTGACATATGTACACAGGACTGCAGTTTTTTGCCCCATCCACACAACTATACACACCTGTTAATTTGTGTAAAGGAAACTTCACGCTGATATTGCTGGAGATGATTAAATAATTTTATTTTACGCTGTACGGAGGTTCTCTGTGGTACTTGCTGTTTCTCTAATTTTTTTGCAACTTTTTTTTGTGTATCTGGTAAATCAGCCTTGACATGATCCGGTACTCTCTTTGACTCCTGGGGTTTGTCTTTCTTCACTATATATAAAAAAAGGTTGAAATATAATAGTGTTTCAAACAAGTAGTCGCCATGCAAGATACGTCCACATTTTGGAAGAGATGGACAGAGAACAAGCTAAATCAATTAGAAGGAGAGTTATTGTGTCCTAAAAAGTGTGACCGACAGACAGACAGATGGACAGACGAACCCATTTTAATAGTCCCCTGCTTTCTTCGAAAGGCAATTTTTGTACAATAAGGGTCCATAATCCTGGATGTTATGGTCTGACATGCGTCAATATAAAAAGGAACTGAGATCTTTGGGATATATACATACATTATAAGTTTCATTAAAATCTGATGAAAAATTGTGACCTTTTTTTGATGTCCATAGCCTTATTATAACATGCTTTGACACTATTTGCGTAAAGGGGAGCGGCCATTTTGACAGGAAATTTCGGTCCAATTTTCACGAAATTCGAACTCAACTGTAATTACAGTGAAATGGTGGATATATTATAAGGCGCATGCCTTAGACCATTTGCCTGACCAATCTCCTCGGTTAGAATGGACAGAACTGACCACATAAGCCTTCTGGGCCCTTATTCACGAAAACTTAAACTAAGTTACAACCGAAATTTTTAGAAATACTGCAACTTCATTGGATATATGCAAATTGATTTTACTGGTCAGCCAATCGAATTGCAGTATTTCTTAAAATTTTGATTGTATCTTAGTTTAAGTTTTCGTGAATAAAGGCCCAGGCTGTTTGTACAAAGACTTAATTAACTATCTTACCTGGTTGTTGCCCTGGTTTCTGTTGAGCTTTAGCAGCTCTCTGGGCTTCCTGAAAGCAATAGACAAATAAACAAACAATACTTTTAGGCTGTAACCATTCGAAATATTTACCATTAAGCTTATAATATTTAAAGATACATTCCCGCGTACGAACTAGGTGGTTTAATGGTATATATGGACTAAAAGATAGGTTGCCAGGCAACGAAACATACGCCCACAGCAGCTAAATCGTCCGGGCAGTCAACAAGTGTTGTCGCATATTTTTACTTCTTTCAGTAATGAAACATTTATAATACACTAAAATCTGATTAAGAGTAACAACTCATGAAGTAATTATCAGAAAATCATTAGAATTTTTTTAGTTTTATAAAGTTCTGCCCCATGCTAACGTTTAGTATACAAAACTTTTAATATCTTGGATTTAGCTGTTCAAGTCATAAAAATTCATTGAAAATCAATATTCTTGTTCGTCTCAAGCTCTTAAACTCTGTGTATCAATCTGAAGTCAACTCTGGCAGTAATTATCGGACATCGCTGAAAACCAATAGGCTTCTTCGTCTCATGACCTTAAACACTGTGTATAAATTTAAAGTCAATCGGATATTAACTTTGGCCTTTAGAGCGTCCACAAGATTTTTTGAAGTGATCAAGGGCCATAACTCTGGCAGTAATTATCGTAAATCGCTGAAAATCAATAGGCGTCTTCGTCTCATGACCTTAAACACTGTGTATAAATCTAAAGTCAATCGGATATTAACTTTAGCCTCTAGAGCGTCCGCAAGATTTTTTGAAGTGATCAAGGGCCATAACTCTGGCAAAAATTATCGGAAATCGCTGAAAATCAATAGGCTTTTTCGTGTCATGGCCTTAAACACTGTATATAAATTTAAAGTCAATCGGATATTAACTGTAGCCTCTAGAGCGTCCACAAGCAATTGTGGACGCCGGACGGACGGTCGGACGGGGGCGACGACAATATACAACCACATTTCAATGTGGGCGTATAAAAACATATTCAAACTAATTAATTTGTCATAATTTTGCTTCAAATCCTTCTCAAACATTGTAATTTCGAAGGAATGCCCTGCTATAAAAATTTGATCAAAACAGGTCATGTTTACGTCACGTGACTTACTTCTCTTGGAAGTCAGAGGAGAGCTCATTGCATACATAAGACAATGTTGTCTTTAATTGCTTACTATTTATTACAAATATCGAATCCTAATTAAATTCTCGGATTATCCACTATCCGCGTCTTTTTCCATCATTTTTATCTCAGAAAGTGTTGTACATCTAACTCTTCATAGAGTTTATCAACTTGTACATCAAGCGCTCAATGTTCACGTGTGAACTTTGACATCTCACGTGCAGAAATTCCTAATCGTCGGGCTGTCGATTAGGGGAACCCTTACATTTTTGTCCTGTATACGCTCCATGAGTGTTTTTCAGGGAATCCAGTAATTTTTCTAGTAAGATTGGATATCTCTACTTTCCATATATACCAAAATTGCCATACTTTTATTGGAAATAACCACCCGATAAATACTTTTATGGGAACCCATCTTTAACATTAAGTTTAAAATTAGTTTGAATATAAATGGGAAGATAACTCTAGCAATTCAATTTTAGGCCAGCCTTGACTATTATTACCACCATTGTTATGAAAATAAACAATGTCTTGATTATCCATTGTTATGGATACATTTCATCCAGCACAACACATATTTAAATCTATTGAAAATCTAGACTTTACGATGGCATCAAGAGTTGATTATGGTCTTGGTAAGTTAATTAATGTCTAATTAATAATTTATATAAAATTTAAGGCATAAAGAAAGACCTGGCCCTAAGTTCACAAATCATTCTCAGACTTCAGTTAAGAATTTACTCAACTTTCATTGTTTCAATCACTGTTTATGAGAAATATCTTTGATCCAGAAACACAAAAATTTGCACATAGTTTCTTATTGATGTATTTGATACATTAAAACAAAAGGTTTATAAAGGGCTATATTGTATTTACCATAAGGCAAACAATTTTGAGTAAATTCTTAACTTAAGTCTGAGAGTGCTTTGTGAATTTGGGGCCTGGAATAGGCTTATTTAGCTCTTGAATAATGCATGTTAAACTTTTATTAGAACCTGTTTCTCGCATGTGTCGAACCCTTTAACGTGCTCATGAATATACTACTCTGCTCGTTTCTAACATCATATTCCTCACCTGAACTGCTCGTCTTTCAGCTTTCAACTGAGCCTTAGATTTTGGTTGACCATCGGTTGTTTCTGTTGATGATCCAGGAACGTCAACAGAAGATGATTTTTGATTGATCTTCGTCTGCTGAATTTCATTTTTGTTTGTCTTCTGAATTTCTTCTTTGCTGTGTTTTTTTTTCATTTCTTTAGGATTTTCCATTTGAGTACCGGGTGTATCTTTCTTTACATCACTTTGTTTAATTTTAGAATCTGGTCGCTTAAAGATACATTATGGAGGATTTAGATAAAAAGCTAGCCATTCTTGCTATAATGGCTCGAAAATAGGTAATGTAAAATGAATAATTTGAAAATTTGATTCAAATTACTCTATTGCGAGCCAAGATATTAGCCTTTGAAGGTTTGGCAAGATGTGTGCAATAATTTCAACCGCTGTACTGGTTGTTCGAGACTAAGTCTCCCTCCTCCATTTTTAGCTTAAATCAAAATATGGCTGAACTGTTCTAATCTATTTTATATTGGAGAAATCCAATGCTATCGAGAGTTGATTATGGCCTGCTTAAGTTAATTAATGTCTAATTAATAATTTCAGGCCTAAAGTAAGACCTGCAATCGGCAGATTTAGCTCTTGCATAATAATGTATGTTTAACCTTTGTCTCTTGTTGTACAGCTGCGCCACCTGGACTGTGTGACTTCACTGAATCCTGGCCTCGTGGTGATTTACTTTTTGATTTCTGCTTTTTTTTACCTTCATTGGGTGTTTTGATATTATCAGGAACTGCACCTTTTTTATCTTTACTTTGACAGTCTGCCATCTTAAATAAGTAAGTTTTACATTGTAAAATCATTACAGTACCATATTGTCAGATATTAGAAGGTAAGGATTCCAAAATAGCCCTAGAACAGATATGGGGAAGAGCGGTATTTTCATATTGCAGCTATATAGGGATGGATAGGAAATGTCAGTGGACATTGTATGATCAGAGACAGTTCCTAAAGGAACATGTTTTGAAACTGCTCAGCAATTAGTAAACTGGACGTACAACATGTAACAAAGTGTCATGCCCTATTATTCTTCTTCTGTTGGTGTTTAAGGTCCGCTTCCACTGATGGTGATATTGCAGACAAGTTGTCTTATTTTATTATGCTTTGCGCATGCACTGGGGTCATTCCTTTGGGAGGAAACCCATATGAGGTTAAAAAAGGCCGGCACCCCAATCTCCAAGCCACACCAGATCACACCATGTATCGAAACCACAATCACAAGCCAATGGTGACTGACAGTAGACCACTAGGCCATCCCAACCCCACCACCCACATGCCATTTGCCATTGGTAAATTGTCACTCTGGTTCTATACTAGCTGTGTAGGCCTACCATAACTAGGGTGCCCCGTGGTCGAAACTTTTCCCTACTAAAAGTTGTACTCGACACGTTGAATGTGCACGCTTCAGTGACATAACTCTAATTGATTTCAGACGAGTCTCAGGCTCTCTTTGTGTCTATAAATAGCCACAGCACGTGAAATTCTCAACACATGTAATAACTATTACCGACGTAAAAAATCTATTGTTGACGATTCTGAATAGCAGTAATATTTAGCTTTTTGGTTATTACATCAGCTTTAGAAATAACGCTCGTATTATTTTTTTAAATTGCTTTATCATTAACTAGACCATTAGGAGTGGCATCTTTTGGTTTAGTACAAATAATATCTCTGAATAACGCGGGTTGGACAGGAAAATGATACTAGCAGTAGTTTCATTTTACTTTTACAAGGTTCTTAAAACAATTGTTGTGTCGCCCACTGGGCGTTATTTCTAAATTCAATTTCTTGTTCTAGCTTTCTGTCATGTTTCGTAAAAAAGTAGTCTTGATTATCCCGGCCTGTCAATCAGACGGAGAATGGTCGGTAGACTGGTTAAGTGAGACTAATTTCAAACAAGGGCATGTAACCTATTTTTTGCTCAAAAGTGTCTGGATGTCATGGACGACACTCTGAACCATTTTTCAGTGTATTATTTATAGATGGTTAAATGATCATATCTTATTAAGTACAACATGACCATTTATTTAGTGACTATAATTGTGCGAAACTGATTTAAGGCTTAGTATATATATAAGTATTGTGGTGTAATTGTCGAGATATTTGGAGATATTTATTTATGGTGGGGCAGCCTACCATAACGAAATAATTAGTTTAGTACAGCTGGTGTTGTTCACTAAGGTATTGAAAGTGTCAAATATGGACCTTATAATGCATGTATTATAAAGGTCCATGATATAATATAGTGTGTTATCATTTTTAGTAATTTTTTAACTTTTCATTGACGGGAATCAAGCGATGGAATTTCGAATGGGAGAAATTTATGGATATTTTTCATATCTTATTGGCTCAGTCTAGAGTTCCTTTGCTTTAACAAGTTTTATACCGGGTTAGCGGGTAGTAAAAAAAGGGGTCACAAATGAAAATAAATTAAAGTCTACCCTTGTTTGATGCGATATAGAGTCTAGTACAAATTACAGCTGTTATCCATACTTCGCAAATCTTTCTAATGAAAATTAATATTAGTCCAGGTGATAGGACAATTTCATCAGATTTTTCATTTCACGCTTTTAACAGGAAACAGGGGAATCCCAGCAGTGACGTATTGGGAATGTCGATCACTGAGCTATAAATAGTTACCGGAATAGATAGAAACAGACCGAATCACAGCAGGAACTGACCGAAACAAGATGAAAATATATGTTGACGGTTTCAGGTCTCAAGATCAATATATGGGCATTGTTTTAGATACACATTTCTTTTCTAAGTCATTTTTTATAACTGATAACATGAACTTATATAAAAATAGTTTGAAATTACATGTATTCATATGCTCCCTACATTCACACGTCTTATTAAAGATACATTATGGGAGATAAGATAAAGAGATGGCAGTTCTCGCTATAATAGTTAAAACTAGATAGTGTAAAGGTAATTTGCTGAAAATTTCAGTCAAATTGATCCACTATGAGCCGAGAAAGAAGCGGGTGAAATTTTTGCATAGTCTCGGTCATCATTACTAAAATCATTAATATAAACAGCATAGTCTCGATTATCCACTTTTTCTGATTTAATTATCAGTGGCCGTTAGCGGCATATAGGAATCTAATCCAGCCAACATCGAAGGCTAGCCTTGACATCGAGAGTTTATTATGGTCTGGATAAGTTAATTAATGTCTAATTGATAATTCAGATAACATTTCAGGCCTAAAGAAAGACTTGTAATAAGCAGATTTTGCTCTTGCATAATGCATGTTTAAACTAATTAAAGGGTAGGGGTGTGAATGCAGCCAGAGTCCCCCAAATTAGTTTTAAAAATAATTTTGTACAATAAATAAATAAAACATATCAAATGTTACGGCCAAGTTTAATAAGTCGGGCATAAAACTTTTGAGGCTATGGTAACTAGGGAACCAGGGTAAATGTACCACATGTGCCTCCTTCAACTGTTGATGTTATAGGGTCGGCCCTCTGTAACATTTTCAGCCAGGGACCCAAACTAAGCTTTTTCCGGCTTGAGTATTCATACAAATGATCATAACTTATAGAAAGTGTTTGAAATTATACAGTAGTCATTAATTAACAGGTGTGTAACTTGCTGTTATTGTGTAAAATCATTACTATTTCTAATACCCATCCCTATATTGAATACACAAAGCTGACCAATAAGTGATGTATATCATTCAGTAGTCACCTTTTTAACTTAATGACTGCTGCCGGAGTGCTAATCATTTTAACTTAATAACATTATGTATAGTTTAATGGTCAAGAGCGAGACATTATTAAAGTTACAATTTCATATTTTTAAAATGTATTAAATTAAAGCCCTAAAAAAAATTGTATCTATAAGCAGTCCTACCTTGTTAAAGAATAATCCTATTAATCCTATAATTCACTACTGCCAGTTGAGAAATTTGCAAAAATATCATTTTCAACTTCAAATTCAAATGTTTGAAGATAGCTATTGCATGGTGGGGAATAGGAAAACAAGGGAGGTAATTGTGTTATTTCCGTTGTGAAGATTTTTAAGTGTGAGAAAGATAACCTGTGATCGTATAATAGTGAGTTGACAACCAATTGAGCAAAAGACATAGAAATAATTATGTTTTGACTTTCTTAGAAAATATGAAATTGTAACTTTAAGTAATATATTGATACTGCACGAGGCATTAGCTGAGTGTATTTCAATATATTACACAATGTCTTTAGATCGAGACCATTAAACAATTTAAAATACCTGACCCACACGTGCTTTTCAATGAAATACATCCTGCGAATCCAATATTTCATCTAGTTTAGATAATGTATGATTGGCAAGTTGCCCGTACATTATTGGAAATAATGGTATGCCAACATCAAAGGATGATGTCACATCTGTATTTTAAGTATATAAATGATGACTCGATCTGATCTGTTGGTGTCACATATTTTCATTTTTCAAAGAGATTTGTTCATATGTTGAGGTGTTGCTTTTTAGAAAAATAAACACAAGATTTAATTTTAGTTTGAAGAAGGATTTATTTTTGCATTCCTTTACGGAAACAGCAATTGTTAATCAATTCAGAATGGGTGCGTATGGTCTGATGCATGAGCTTTAGATCCCAAGTTCAGTCATTTAGTCGACTGACATGGTTTCGATGCAGCCTGTCCCTTAAAGGTTTTCTCTCAATTTTATAAACCTGTAACTTTAAATCTCTTTGATCTTTGGGGTATATTCTATGCCCGGAATAACTTACGGTCTGAAAGTCGGGGGAGGTTTTGGATATACAGGGAAATTTGGGGTTATTCTTCTGAAAGTTTTTCTTTAAACCTGTACCGGGTTATTCTTCCAGGGTAGGTTTTTTTCCATAAGAAAACATGATATAAGTTTTTTCTTACAGGAATTCTGGGATATTCTCATCTTGCGTACATGTAAACATAGACGGTTTATAAGCAAGATAAAGTCTTCGACTTCCGTTATGCTGGGGAAGAAAGACTTCAGAAAAAACCCTCAACAGAAAAACCTCGGCCTACCGGCCTCGGTTTTTCTTTCTCTCTGGTTATTTTCTTCAGTCTTTCTTTGCCCAGCATAACCTCAGTCTTGTGCTTTATCCTACACCTAAAAACCCCTATGCGCAAACAAGTTTTTGAAATAAAATTGATCTGTATGTTATTCCAGAAATTATCTAGTTTGTGTCGACTTTTAAATCTCTCCCACTCCCCCTCTCTGGATGAGCAGAATAATTATGTATAACAGGTAATATAGTTTATTTTCAAATACATGTACATACATATAAATATCAGTTAAATTATAGACAAGAGGACAGAACAAATTGTACAATTTACAATCTAAAAATTTTAATTAAATAGATAGTTATATATACTGAGCGCCATGGAAAACGCATCACTTTTTTTCCCAAATATTTTATTACTAGGTGGTTTTGTATGTATAATATTATGCAATACTATGAACTATTGTTTCACACAATGCTCCCAATCGCAAAAAATATCGGCCCATGAGCACAAAAAAAATTGCACGAGATGCACATGAAAAAACCCAATATTCACGTGCAGCATTGTGTGTGAGCCCTTTAAAAGCATGTTTACATATGTAAATAAATAAAAATAGCAATCATGGTGATTGTATTTGAACGTATCTGCATGCACCAGATCGTGGACTCCATAGGGACAATCCTATTGTAATGCATCACACGATGGTGGGAACCTACGCTCGTACCATTAGATTGCAACATGCTAAATTTGTGCATAAGCTAGAAACAATAAGACATACTCTCGAAAGCACCTTGTACTGCCTTAGGACTCCCCCCCCCCCCAGCTCAAGTTTGCCCCTGAATAAATAGAGATATTGATAATTCACTGGAGACTTATAATTGAAGTTATTAATTAATAATTAAGTACATCTTTTCATTGCTTTAATATAATTTTGTAAAATCTCATCTGGCCCCAAGTTCACAAAGCATTCTCAGACTTAAATTAAGAATTTACTCAAAATTGTTCGCCATATTTTAACTAAAATATAGCCGTTTATAAAACTTTTGTTGTTTTAAAGTATCAAATACATCAATAAGAAACTATGTGTAAAGTTCTGTGTTTCTGGATCAAAGATATTTCTCATAAGCAGGGATTGAAAGTTGAGTAAATTCCTAATTTAAGTCTGAGAATGCTTTGTAAACTCGGGGCCAGGACACATAAGGCTTCAGGAAATAGTGGAGAACCATCTTAGCATCTTTCTCCATGTTCACGATTTTCTGTCCAATTCCTTATCTGCTGGCCAGAATATTATTCACTAGCAAGTTCATCTTTTGCTTGTATATTGATTTATTGGAGATAGAGAAAACTTTTTTTAAGGATGCATTATGTAAGATTTAGATAAAGAGCTGTCCATTCTTGCTAAATTGGTTCAAAAATAGATAATGCAAAATGAGTATATTGAAAATTTCATTTAAATGACGTTATTCTGGGGGAAGTTATGACTGTTTGAAAATGTAGCGTAGATTGTTTATTATCATAGCAACGGTACTTGACAACCTAGACTTAGCCTCAACTATCGATTTAATCGATAAATTTTAAATCTAGCAGGTGTTCAAATCTCGGTCTAGAGAGTTGCTTATAGGGTTTTCATGTGAATAAATGTCTAAATAATAGTTAAAATAGAAACTGTTTTCTTCAGTATTAACACCCTTTATAAATGACAATATTATTATTATTAAAGACCTGCAATAGGCAGACTTATTTAGCTCTTACATAATGCATCTTTAAAATATTGATACAAATAAATAATTTACAGGTGTCCGTCCACAGCAATTACTTCCTTGTTACAACATCTCCAAATCCATCGGCCCATTCAAAGAATTCACATTGTTCTTTTTTTGGAAGTGAACAAGTGAAGAATTTTCTGCCGTTGTTGGCGCCAAGTTTTAGAACAGTGTGATAACCACAAGTTTTACCATGTCCTGAACAAGCTGGAAACCTTTTATCACACCACTGAAATAAAAACAGCCAATCAGATTAAAGATGGGTTCCCAGAAGAGTATTTATCGGGTGGTTATTTCCAATAAAAGTATGGCAATTTTGGTATATATGGAAAGTAGAGATATCCAATCTTACTAGAAAAATACTGGATTCCCCGAAAAACACTCATGGGGCGTATACGGGACAAAAATGTAAGGGTTCCCCTAATCAACAGCCCGTCGATTAGGAACTTCTGCATGCGTGATGTCAAAGGTCACAAGCGAACATTGAGTGCTTGATGTACAAGTTGATAAACTTTATGAAGAGTTAGACATACAATACTTTCTGAGATAAAAATGATGGAAAAAGACGCGGGTAGTGGATAATCCGAGAATTTAATTAGGATTCGATATTTGTAATAAATAGTAAGCGATTAAAGACAACATCGTCTTATGTATGCAATGAATTCTCCTCTGACTCCCAAGACTTGACGTAAACATGACCTGGTTTGATCGAATTTTAATAGCAGGGCATTCCTTCGCAATTACAATGTTTGAGAAGGATTTGAAGCATAATTATGACAAATTAATTAGTTTGAATGTTTTTGGTCTATAAACACCATTAAATCACCCAGTTTGTACGCGGGAACCCAAATTTAAATAATTCATAATAAACATGAAATGAAATGGGGTTTAACATTCTACTTTTCCACACCAACTAGGCTAATGAGAGAGAGAGAAATGGGGTTTAACGTCCACTCAACACAAACTAGGTCATTTCGGGACCAACATATGGTTTTAATTTTATTTCAATAATTCACTTGCGCGTAGGGGTCTTTAGCAGTGGAAGGAAACCCGTGAACCCGGCTAATGAAATTTGGACAGGCGACCCTACTCCTTGTCACATACAACCGGGGATTCAAAACCACGCCAGTTGACTCAATGACAGGCCTTATGATACAGTGCGTACATGCCTACCATTCGGCCATCCAATCCCCCATGGCTAATGAAATGAAGTGTGTTATTTAATTTATTAGCCATATCTTTATTATTATATTTTCTACGAAGGGCAGGATGTTAGAAAGGGCTATTATAGCCTAATCTTCAACCCTTCTTAAATAAAGTCATTATTATTATTATTATTAGTTTAACCGTTAACTGGGCTAATGAAATGAAGTTTAACCGTTAACTGGGCTAATGAAATGAAGTTTAACCGTTAACTGGGCTAATGAAATGAAGTTTAACCGTTAACTGGGCTAATGAAGTGAAGTTTAACCGTTAACTGGGCTAATGAAATGAAGTTTAACCGTTAACTGGGCTAATGTAATGAAGTTTAACCGTTAACTGGGCTAATGAAATGAAGTTTAACCGTTAACTGGGCTAATGAAATGAAGTTTAACCGTTAACTGGGCTAATGAAAACAGGTTTAACCATTAATTTTAACTCCTACTTTTCCACACTAACTGGGCTAATAAAATGGAGTTTAACCATTAACTGGGCTAATGAGATGAAATGGCCAAACGCAATTTAACCCTTAATTTTAATGTCCTACCTTTCCTCACCAACTGGGCTAATGAAATACTTAAACATCCTACTTTTCAGCTCCAACTTGGCTAATGAAATGAAGTTTTTAAACTAAACTATTTGTGCTTGATAATGATAAGAGAATACTTGTCGAAACATCGTGCTATGCCTATAAACCAGTGATTGTATTTCCATATAAACTGTGTTGTGTTTCCAATGAAATGAAGTTTAACTGTTAACTGGACTAATGAAATGAGTTTAACGGTTAATTTTAACATCCTATTTTGCCGCACCAACTGGGCTAATGAAATGAAATAGGATTTAAGCTTTCAAATAAACCCTCTTACCTCAAAATAATTGCACTTTTTGGGTCCCTTAATAGAGCAAGTAAAAAACCATCTGTTTCTATTAGGCCCAGGTTTATGCGTCTGCCACAAAGAACACTTTTTCCCATGCTGAGAACAATTAGGAAATTTACTATTCAAGTCATTCTTGACATTATTTTCTGTTCCGACATTTTCCTTCTTTATTTTTTTGTTGTTAAACTGAGGTTGCGTTGAATCTTGGGAATCAGATGACTTCCGTTTTTTAGATCCTTGAAATGAATTTTTTGATGATAATATGTCAGTTGAGGACACAGCGATTACTTTTTTTGCAGTGTCTAATGATAAACTTTTTGGTTCTTGTGTAGATTTGAATTTTAAATCTATAGCTAAGAAACTATTTGATTGGTCTATAGCGGTTTCCTTTCTAGATAAGGAACTATTTGATTGGTCTTGAATCCCATTTCTTTGTACTGGAATGTCTGATTGGTTTGGCTTTGGCCCTAGGCAAGCATCACAGCTCAAATGTGTGACTTTATTCACAAGAGTACAAACTGGACATGACCAATCAACTTCTGTTTTACAATTGGCAGTTTTCACCCAACTTAGAAGACTATTTTTACTTGGAAGGGTTCTGAAAAAATAAAATACTGTAGAAAATGTACGAATAGAAGAAACAATCACATAGACGTTACGGCTCGATGAATGTTAGGGGTCAGAACCTGAAATGGCAGAAAAATTTCGGGTGACCGACAGCGAGAGGCAAGGAGTGGAGCAACCGAAATCCTACTCTATGCTGATTAAAATTTTAACCATCCAATCAGAGTTATAGCTGCATTTACAAATAATAATTTATGCCCAAAAAATTTTGGGCATTATATTTGGCCAACTAAATGAAATAATAATTTTTGTTGTCACTCTACCTGTCTGTCTGAAAATTCAGATTGCCAAAAGTTAGGGGGCTAATACCCCCCCCCTCCCCCCGCGTCATACACCTATGAACAATCATTAATAATGAGAGATTTAATGGGATTTAAGTCCATTCAGAACATTTGAGAAAGAGAGAGAGAGAGAGATGGGGTTTAACGCCCACTCGAAACAAACTAGGTCATTTCGGGACTAACATGGTTTTAATTCTATTTCAATAATTTGCTTGCGCATATGGGTCTTTAGCAGTGGGAGGAAACCGGTGGACCTGGAGAAAACCAACAAGGTTGGACAGGTGACCCTACTCCTTGTCACGTACAACCGTGAATTTGAGACCAGGCCAGCTGACTCATTGACAGGCCTTATGATACGAGCTAGCAATTCGGCCATCCAACCCCTCCAACACATTTGAAGATGCTCAAAATACTGCTCTCTTTATTTCGTAAAACATGTAAACTTACAATTTATCCAGTTTACTGGTATCTGCTGTCTGACAAGAGGAACAGAAATATGTAACTCTTCCACTGTCATCACCCATTCTAGTTTTCGTAACTCTAGTACCACACGATTTACACGTCTCCTGGGCGTAGATTCTATAATATTTATTGAGAGGCTTCCCAGTTTTACGACACTTCAAAACAAAACAAAATAAACTAAACCTTAATTTTTAAAGATACATTGTCCTGAAAGTATTTATTGAGTGGTTATTTCCAATAAAAGTATGAAAAATTTGGTATATATGGAAAGCAAGGACACCCAGTCTTACTCGAAAAATACTGGATTATCCGAAAAACACCCATGGGGCAAGCACTGGGCAAAAATGTCAGGGTATCACTAACTTATTGCATGCTAGCTTGTTATTTCCTGATCGAATGGTTAGGTGGATTTGGGAACATTGAGAGGTGTAAACGTATAACAGACTCTGTAATTAAACAGCGGAAAAAGAAGTTGACAGAAATCCTCCACTACTGACAAGGGGGAAGTAGGCTGAAAAATTGAGAGGAAGTTTCTCAGCCAACAACATGACCAAAAAAAAGAGAGAAATGGGGTTTAAAATCCACTTGACACAAACTAGGTCATTTCAGGACTAACACATGGTTTAATTTTATTTCAACAATTCACTCGCACGTAGTGGTCTTTAGCAGTGGGAGGACCCAGAGAAAACCCACAAGGTTGGACTGGCAACCCTACTCCTTGTCATGTACAACCGGAGAATCTAAACCATGCCAGATGACTCAATGACAGACCTTATTATACAGCGTGCACATGCTAACCTTTCGGCCATCCACCCCCCCCCCCCCCCACTGCACACTGCAATATGAGAGAGAGAGAAATGGGGTTTAACGTTCACTCGACACAAACTAGGTTATTTTAGGACTCACATATGGTTTAATTTTATTTTAATAATTCGCTTGCGCATAGGGTCTTTAGCAGTGGGAGGAAACCGAAGGACCTGAAGAAAACCCATGAGGTTGCACAGGTGACCCTACTCCTTGTCACGTACAACCGGGGATTCGAAACCACGCCATAATCAAATCATAGTAAGTGAGCCTTACCATACTCACTGAACCGCTTCTTCAAATTTTTGATGTGAAAGCCCTTATTTGTTTACGGGTATTGTCATGATCTTACATCAGCATATGTTCCGGGTATGGTGTGTTCATTGGTATCGCCATTATTTTACTTAGGTATATGTTCTGGGTCTGGTTTATTTACTGGTATCAAGCATGATCTTATATCAAGTGTATATTCGGGGTCAGTGTGGTTCTGATTCACTACAATTCAAGAGAAAAATAAAACTATTTTTTTTTACTTACCTGGTAAAATATCATGGTAAAATCTCTTGTCATTTTTATGATGTTAGAAATATGCTCTGGTTTTAACTCATCCACCTGGAATAAAATGGAAAGTGGGCTCAATAACAAAATAATTATCAGACAAAAAATGAAATGAAATGGGGTTTAACGTCCTACTATTCTTCTCCTATACTGGGATAATGAAGACGGGCATATCCCGGGCAGCGGCACTATGGCCTACTCTTATATAGAATTCCACCTGCCAAGGGATTTTACTTGCACGCCAATGTATACACAGGACCTCGGTTTTTGTCCCATCCGAACGACTAGACAGCTGTCCTTGTCAGGTCCTCTATCCGGAATAACTGACAAGGGGAAACCACGTCGGGGAATCTCGATGAACTTTCTCCGCTAATGCAGGGATTGAAAAAAAATTATCAAATAGATTGGAGAGAGAGAGAAACGGGGTTTAATACTGCACAGATTCTCATGAAATGTTATATTATTTGACTAAAAGTAAACCTACCAGCATACATGGGTTGATGCCACTGTCAAACAAAGCCTGAAGGAGCAAAACAAATTTATTATTACATCATTGCTTATCAATATTTACTACACATCATTCCTTATCAATGTCTATTATCATTCCTTCCTTTATCAAATGTTATTACATCATTCCTTATCAATGTTACCATTCATTCTTTCATAAATTACAACATGTTTATTACATCATTCCTTATCAATGTTTATTACATTATTCCTTATCAATGTTTATAACATCATTCCTTATCAATGTTTATTACATTATTCCTTATCAATATTTATAACATCATTCCTTATCAATGTTACCATTCCTTCCAAGATATAGAACAAGCCAGAATAAAGAACCCAGATATGAGATCACAATTACTTGCTACAGAGTACATCAAGCAGCAACAAGGCGCTTAAGTAGAAAACAAGGTCTCCAAAAAATACCTTTTTGTACAAAATTAAAAATAAACCTTAGGCAACACTGGATTAAATTTCAAGATATATTGTAATTAAAACTAAAATTTCTGACAGTTTTGTTTGACTGAAAAATGCCCCAGAAGTAGAGCACAAGCTCTTCAAAAAAACACCTTTTTACACAAAATGACATCGTCAAACCTAGTAGGATTTACTATCTAGGAATATTGTGAAGTCAAATTAAAATTTGTGACAGACAGTCAAATTGTGACTGACAAACACCACAAATTCAGATGCTAATATTCAGACTTGTGTATCCAACATCACATTTATAACAACCAAGTTGTGTGACTGACATAGGCCACAAATTTCAGTCTCCAGTTTGTGTATCCCACATCCCATTTATAACAACCAAGTTCTGTGACTGACATATGTTGCAAATTCTAGTCTCCAGTTGCCAATTTCTAGGTTTGGGTTGTTCACATCACATTTATAACAACCATTTTCATTATATATTACCTCATTATTTGATAATATTTCCTACACCAGGCAGAATGGTCTGATCGAGAAGTACATCACAGAGTTGTCTCCCTTTCTGTGGAAAAATTAAGGATAGGGCTTTTTTGGGATTAAAATATTGTGAACAAATATCTACATCTTTTAGCTGTTCATATCTTTGTAAACAAGACTGGGTGGATCTGAAACAAATTTAATTAATATCCTGTAGTAGAGAGAGAGAGAGAGAGAGAGAGAGAGAGAGAGAGAGAGAAGGTCATTTCTGGACAAACACACATGGTTCAATCTTATTTCAATAATAATAGTTAGCTTGCGCATAGGGGTCTTTAACAGTGGAAGGAAACTGAAGGACCAGGAGGAAACCCAGGATGTTGGACAGGCAACCCTACTCCTTGTCACGTTCAAGCAGGGAATCGAAACCACGCCACTTGACTCGATGACAGACCTGATGATCTAACGCATCCAACCCCCCATCATGTGGCACAGTTGGTTGGTTGGCCGAGTGTGCTTTAGATCATAAGGTCTGTCATTGAGCCAGAAAAGGGAGGATACAGAGAAAAAAAACACTAGGCTGAACAGACAGCCCTACTCCTTGTCATGTTCAAGCAGGGAATCCAAACCATACCACTTGACTCAATGACAGACCTTATGAGTTAATGTGCACACTTTTACTCCCCCCATCCCCACCCCAAAGATACAATCCAAATACCGATGGGGGGATTAATTTACCTGACATCGAAAGCTGACTGATAGAAATATAACACTGTTTGTTGGAAGTATAACAATACTACTGGTTCTTCTTTCTTATCATTACATACCACTGTAGATGGAGATATACGATGTGAACCATTCATTAAAAAGTGAACTCTGGAAAGCAAATGAATTGAAATCGGGTTTAAAATTCTTTTTTGCAAGAGAGAGAGAGAGAGAGAGAGAGAGAGAGAGAGGTTGAAGGTCCACTTGACACAAACCAGGTCATTTCGGGACTAAGATATGGTTTAATTTTATTTCAATAATGCGCTTGCGAGTAGGGGTCTTTAGCAGTGGGAGGAAACCGGAGGACCCGGAGAAAACCCACATGGTTTGACCGGCGACCCTTCTCCTTGTCACGTACAACCGGGGATTAAAAACGATTGGCCTTATGATACAGCGTGCACAAGCTAACCATTCGGCCACCCAACCGGCCCTTCTTTTTTGCACCAATCCAGTTGATGAAGACGACCATATATGCTATGTAGTTCTTTTATGATGTAAATTTTATCCGGACAGCAGCATTTTCCAACAATTGTCAATAAGGGTTCTTTATGCACGCCAATAAGGACTTTGGGTTAACATCCCACTGTAATGTATAATTGCAAGTATAATTGCTCTGTGTTATGAGGGGGGTGGCCGATTGTTTAACACGTGTGTGTTGGATCAAAGGTCTGTCATTAAGTCAAGTGGTGTGGTTTTGATTCCTCGCTTGTACATGACAAGGAGTAGGGTCGCCTGTCCAACCTCGTGTGTTTTCTCCGGGTCCTCTGGGTCTGTCCCACTGCTAAAGAGCCCTACGTGCAATGAATTATTGAAATAAAATTTAACGATATATTAGTCCCAAAATGACCTAGTTTGTGTTGAGTGGTCGTTAAACCCATTTCTTTCGATCTCTCTCTCTATGTTATGAAGACAAGGGCAGTAACTCTAAAATTAATGGTAAGTGACATGTCCTACGCAATTTTCCAATCGGCCGAGATGATATTCTACATAACATAAAATATATTTCTAGTTGAAGTCCATTAAACGGAATAGCAGCTTATTGACGTTATTTCCTCAAGCAGGCAACGACTTTTGGTGACGAAATTCTGGACTCTGTTAACCCCAATTGTCCTTAGAAAACCTTTGAATCCCTGGTTGTACTCGACAAGGATTAGGGTCGCCTGTCCAACCTCGTGGGTTTTCTCTGGGTCCTCCAGTTTCCTCTCACCGCTAAAGACCCCTACCTGCAAGCAAATTATTGAAATAAAATTAAACCATATGTTAGTCCCGAAATGACCTAGTTTGTATCGAGTGGACGTTAAACCCCATTTCTCTCCCTCTCTCCCTTAGAAAACCTCAAGGTCAAGGTAGAGGGAGGGGAGCTAACTGCACAAGCTTAAAAGCTTAATCTGGCCCTGGGAATATTATCTACCTTAAACACTGATCTCCAAACACCATAAATAATTCTTTGCCAAGTGTTATTACTTCTTCCAAGGTTTGACCAACAATTTTATTACATTGCTCCTGCTTTTTATTCCCACTGCAACTCCCATTTGCCTGAAAATATTTCAACAATAAAATTTCATAAGTATTTCAGGGGCGGATCCAGGAATTTTTGCCGGGGGGGGGGGGGGCATGTTCCGGAGACAATATATCTCCCCACCCCCTCCCGCATGGTCTCTATCGTCATTTTGGCGTATATACATACACATTGAGCTTCTTAAACAGAGAAATTCAACACCTCGTTTGACGTCAATTTTTATTATGAATTAATACAATGACATTGTGATTCAATTTCATGGATGCAAAGCATTAATTGTGATATCACATAATGTCTATATCATTATCTCGTGCTTTGAGTGCCCATCCTGTCCCAAATCTGACGATAAAGGATAAAGCACACGGCCGAGAAACTTTCTCACAAAAAGTGTTGATTTACCAAAAAATCTATGTAGCTGAGCAGGGAGGGGTGTTTCGACCCCCTAACCCCCCCCCTTTGGATCCGCCCCTGGTATTTGCATCACAGATAATTATTATTTGTAGATAGAGAGAGAAAAATGGGGTTTAACTCCACTCAACACAAACTAGGTCATTTTGGGGCTAACATATGGTTCAATTTTATTTCAATAATTTGCTTGTTCGTTGGGGTCTTTAGCAATGGGAAGAAACTGGAGAACCCGAAGAAAACCCATGAAGTTGGAAGGCAACCCTACTCCCAGCCATGTACAAGCCGGGAATTGAAACCACGCCACTTGACTAACTGCGCATGCATTAACCATCCGGCCACACAATACCCCTTATTATTTGTAAGTTGTGACAAGGTAAAAAAAGCTTGCCAGGCAACAAAACAAATTCCACCAGTCAATGTTTTATACAAACCACAATTTAAAAAAAAACATACATTGCCAGGCAACAAAACATGTGCTCACCACCAGCGTGTTAGTGTGAAAGGGCAATTCAAATCTTGTCGCAATTTTGCAATAATATTCAATTAATTTATCTTTTGCCTCATATCAGGTTACAGGGGAAAGAAACATAACTTTGGAGGCAATCATCAGATAAAAGGCTGAAAACCCAAGCCAGGAGAAAGTCTACTCACATTTTGACTTGTTTTCTTTATTTGATTTTAGTTTCCGATGTGGTTTCCCCTTGTCAGTGGTGCAGAAAGGAGGGTCTGACAAGGGCAGCTGTCTAGTCCTTCGGATGAGTCGAAAAACCGAGGTCCCGTGTATACATTCGAATGCACGTAAAAGATCCCTTGGCAGTCGGAATTCGATATAAGAGTAGGCGATAGGGCCGCTGCCTGGGCAAAATTTCCCTCATAGCACACTGTATGGAAAATGCCCATCTTCATTAGCCCAGTATAGGAGCAGAACAGTAGAACGTTAAACCCCATTTCATTTCATTTCATTTCATTTATTTGATTTTAGTATTGAACTGAAAACCTGATATTTTCCGAAAAAGGTAAATGATTCAAAGATACTTTAAATTATACTGTTAAATTTATTTTCAAAAAAAGACTCAACGATACTTTAAATTATACTTCATTTTATATTTGTTCATCCCATCTTCATTAGCCCTTGACAGTTGGAATTCGATATAAGAGTAGGTCGTAGTGCTGCTGTCTGGGCAAAATATCCCTCATAGCACACTGTATGGCGTATGCCCGTCTTCGGGGGGTTGGATGGCTGAATGGTTAGCGTGCGCGTGCTGTATTATAAAGTCTGTCATTGAGTCGATTGGCGTGGTTTCGAATCCCCGGTTGTACGTGGCAAGGGGTAGGGTCACCTGTCCAACCTCGAGGGTTTTCTCTGGGGCCTCCGGTTTCCTCCCACTGCTAAAGACCCCTACCCGCAAGCAAATTATGTAAATAAAATTAAACCATATGTTAGTCCCGAAATGACCTAGTTTGTGTCGAGTGGACGTTAAACCCCATTTCTCTCTCTCTCTATGCCCGTCTTCATTAGCCCAGTCGGAGCAGAAAAGAAACCCCATTTCATTTCATTTCATTTCTTCAAAAATACCTATTTAATTTTTGCTTCTTATATCTTTGGGGGGAAGCGCAACTTAAAGGAGCTAAATCGCTAACAGTTGGGACCTAGAAATTGACAAAAGTGGGTCGCAACTCATATAATACTGTAATATGAATGTATATAAACTGATTTCCATTCAATGGTTTCCGTTTTTACTCCAATTTCAAATCAGTTATGTTAGGCGAAATAAGCCAGCAGTCTCAAGCGAGTGCAAATTTCTAGCGTCTGGTTATTCCAGTCTACATACGCCGTTTGATTTGTTGCAACGTGTCTAGCCTCGTCCCTCGAGTCTCTTGATACAACTGGGGCTGAAGCGCATTATGGTACACGGTTCGTGTACCAATGGTAAAATGTTTATTTTGTCTTAAATATTGGATATCAGAAGCCCATCTTTTCCCGGTAAGATCACAACAACAATGTTGATTTAAATTGACAAATAATTTGTGTTTTCAATGTTGAAGATTTTGGATGATATTGAGTTGGAGACTTAGCATGTACCATTGTCATGAACCTAAAAGATCCCTTGGCAGTTAGAATTCGATATAAGAGTAGGGCATAGCGATATGCTTGTCTTCATTAGCCCAGTCGGAGCAGAACAGAAGGACGTTAAACCCCATTTCAATTCATTTATTGACTTACATTTTGAGAGGTTTGTTTAACAATAATATTTGATATTCTTTTATCCTTCAACTTCGCTCTGATATTCTCTCCCTTTAATTTACATCCTGGGCCTTCAACCATTTTCGTTCAACTTCGATAGTTAGTATTAACGCTGAAACAATCTGAAAAAAAAATGAAGCAAATTAGGAGTTTAAAGTCTACTGTTCTGCTCTGACTGGGCTAATGATCATGGACATACGCCATACAGTGTGCTATGAGGAAAATTTTACTAGGGTTTTTTTTTAATCTGCACGCCAAGGACCTCAGTTTTCCGACCCATCCGAATGACTATACATTATCCCTTCATCCACACCACTGACAATCCTAATGGACTTTCTCGGGATCTCTGTGGTTAGTGAGCCAATGTTTTACTCACACTGAACTACCATGGCTCCCTGAAAAACAAACGAAAACAAAAATATTGAGTAGGGCCCACATATATGGTTTAAAATAAGCTTGTTTATGAGAGAGAAATTGGGTTTAACGTCCACTCAAAACAAACCAGGTCATTTTGGGACTAACATGTGGTTAATTTGTTTTCTCCATAAATATCATTGCGCATAGCCTGGGTCTTTAGCAGTGGGAGGAAACCGGAGGACTCAGAGAAAACCTACGAGGTTGAACAGGCGACCCTATACTCTTTCTCATGTTCATTCGGGGAATCGAAACTATGCCCAGTTGACTCAATGAGTGAATGACAGACCTCATGATTCAATGCCCACATGCTAACCATTCGGCCATCCAACTCCCAGCTTGTTTTATAACATAGGTGTTGATTTAAAGAGTCAAACTTTGGGCACTAGAGTGCTGCAATTAAAAAAAACTATTTTTTCAAATTCACCTACGGCAACAACACAGAAAGAAGTACAATAATGTACAAAGCTGATGCAATAGTTCTGTATAATTATTATTTATTATACCCCTCCCCCCTCGCAAATTTTTGGATAAAATCAGCGATTCCATTTTTTTTAAGTGGCCTTATTCTAGTAAGTGATTAATATATATTATAATTATATAATAATTTTTTGGAGATTACATCATTGACTATATATGATATATAATATCATATCAACTTGTCCATGATTATACATAGGTCTATATAGTATATTAATAATAATAAAACTTATAAACGCCTGATTTTAAATTCACAATTCAATTGTTGTGACCCTTTTGTGTCGGTTTTTTTTTTCTATATAACTTTTGAACGTTATTGTAAGGTTGGTGTAATGTAATTGAAGAGTCCCGTATCTGAAATATATCTATATTGTTATCATTACGTTATCATAATGATACTGTACTTTTCTTGGGCAGTATCGTTACTTCAAACCACAGCGGCAAATGTCACGTGCACCTGGGCATTTTACGACAGGCAATATTTATTTCTGACTTCTTCAACAAAACATATATTAATTCAGTTGTTGGGTTATTTATCACGCTTTTGTTTTACAACAAACTTTAGCAACTTAATTCATTGAGAAGTCATACACAATTATGAAATAATCCGAACTTGGGACTTCTCGGTCATGAGATTGTCGTAAAAATACAGTCGAGCCCATTTACGGTATTTATTTACGCTGTCATGTGATTTCAATCCAGGTGTTGAGCGATTTACAATATTAAGGCCTTCAGCCGCAACAAAAATGGTGAGTGACATTAAAATCACCGTTTTGTCAGTGTTCATAATCCAACTGAATAAGATCTTATTGCTGACATTCGATCTGATAAATTTAGACTCATTATTTTTCTTTAGATCTAGCGTTGCGGATAGCAGCCGACGCTATTTATAGTAACATTGCAAATATTGGTCCTTCATTTTCTTGTTTGCACCAACATGTCACATGAACAAAATTACCCAAATCACTCAATTTCTAACAGATACAAACATAATTCATTTAAATTCGAATTTGCATATGAATAAAACAAAATAATATTCTTTCAAATAATTACCAAACAATATCCATAGTTTGTTTTAAGTAGGCCTATTAGTATTATTAGGGAATTTTTAAAGAAAGCTAAGCTAGTGCGTGTGTGAGAGCAACATGGCTCTGGTGAGGTGCGTGTGGGCTGGCTTCTCCAGGAGGTTTTGGGTTCTCTCTTGGTGTAGGCTGAGAATCTTCTTCATGATTTTCCAACATGGTTTTCTATTCTCAGTGGCGCAGGATGGAGGACCTCAGGAAGAGAATTGAAGTCGTTGGGATTGGGATGGAAAATCAAGACCCGATGTAGGCCTACAAGGTCACAGAGGTGTGCACGTAAAAGAACCCTTGACAGTTGGAATTTGAAATAGAGAAGGCCATAACACTACTGCCTTTACAAAATTGCACTTATAACACACTGCATGTCCTATGCCTGTCTTCATTACCGTACCACAGTACAGAGAAAACGGACGTCCCTGTATCATTTCATATTTCAATACAATTTTGAATGTTTTATCATTGTTTTATGCCCTGAGTTTGTCATAGATCACATGTCACTATATGCCATGTTTTGTTCTACCGTGAGGGAAATTTTGCCTGAGCAGTGGCACTACGGCCTACTCTTACATGTATGTCGAATTCCAACTGCCAAGGGATCTTTTACGTGCAAGCCAATGTGTACACGAGACCTCGGTTTTTCGTCCCATCCAAATGAATAGACAGCTGTCCTTGTCAGGCCCCCCATCCTGCATAACTGACAAGGAGTACCCACGCTGGAAAATCTGAATGAACTTTCTTGGCCAATGCTGGGATCAAATACCCGACCTCCAGGCTAGCGAGCCAGCGTCTTACCCACATAGCCACCTTGGCCCCCTGTTCCATTATCAAAAACTGAATTAATCTTTACTTTTTATCCTAAATTTCAGTTTTGATGCTAGATTTACATCATTTTATGTTTAGTATTAAAGTCATTACCACATATGTAATAGAACTGGTTAAACACGTTCCAAATATCATTTTAACACAGAGATCATTGCTACGATAGCTGCGTAAATGAAGGTTTCAACAATCGGAGGTGACAAACGCAAAACATGTGTTATTTCTCTATATATAACTGACTGAAGTGACGAGTGATAACACATACACAGGCGAATTTCTGCTATCTGTGTTAAAATTATGTTTGGAATATGTTTAACCAGTTCCATCACCAATATTGTCCTTTAAATCTAGACCTTAACTTAATGGTTCCTGAAGTGATAATTGATAGAAATATCATCTGCATAGTTATATATTGTTCCATTCGGGGGGGGGGGGGGGGGGGGTGGATGGACGAATGGTTAGCCCGTGCACGCTGTATCATAAGATCTGTCATTGAATCAACTGCCATGGTTTCGATTCCCCGGTTGTATGTAACAAGGAGTAGGGTCGCCAGTCCAACCTCTTAGGTTTCCACTGGATTCTCCGGTTTCCTCTCATTGCTAAAGACCCCTACGCATACGCACATGCGAATTATTAAAATAAAATTAACCATATGTTAGTCCCAAAATGACCTAGTTTGTGTTGAGTGGACGTTAAACCCCATTTCTCTCTCTCTCTGTTGTTCATTCTGGTGGCTTCATCACCTTTTTGTGACTCAAATCACCAGCGGATAGCTTTTGCCAAACACCTTACAGTTGTATAAAAAGGGTCATAATGTTTAAATGGTTTCCTAATTATGGATTTAATTGATCTGTGATTTAGAATTGGAAGGATTGGGGTTCAGTGGAATGCACTCAACCCCCACCTCCACCGAAGGGTCTCACAATTGGCAGAAAATAGTAGTCTTCAGACAGGAAGAGGTCAAACTACTAATATTTCTTCCTCCATTTGGCCTTCATATTTTTTTAACAACCCAGGGACGAATATTCCTAGTAGACGAATAGTGCTAAGGGACGAATTGTCTAAGGATGAATTGTCCTCGGGAACGAATTGTCTAGGTTCAAATAGTGCTAGGGGACAAATAGTGCTAGGAGATGAAATGTCCAAGGACGAATTATCCGGGGACAAATAGTGGGGTATGAATAGTCCCCGGGGACGAGTTGTCTGGGGACAAGTTTTCTGAGCTCGAAAAAACACTGAAAATATAATGGTTTTCTCAGTAAGTTTGGGGCATAAGGTCTGAGAGATTGTACATAAGACTACATTGTATATGTCTGCTCATTTATGTGCATCATTCAAGAGACATTAATACAGTGATATATTCGGCTAGGAGGGAGACCACATATTGTAAGGTGTATACATATACACTGAATATAACGATTTTGTCATCAATGATTATAAATGTACTCATTATAATAAATTGAAATTAGGATAATTGAATAGAGAAGAGTAGTTCAGTATCTCAACTGAACCATTTAGTTTCATGCATGAATAATTTAAATTAGCATTCGGAGCATGTTTCATAAGGATGATGTGTTAAGCTTATCAGTATTAATAGAGTGGCATGGATACATGTAGGAATAAATTGGAGTTTTAGCCTAAAAATAGACATGAGGGTAAAAAGTTCAAAAAGAGTGACAAGGGTAAGAAGAAATTTTACTTTAAAAAGTAGACATGAATTTAAAGATGCATTATGTAAGCCCGTGTACACATTGGCGTGCACGTAAAAGATCCCTTGAGAGTTGGAATTCGATATAAGAGTAGCCCGTAGTGCCGCTGTCCGGGCAAAATTTCCCTCATAGCACACTGTATGGCGTATGCCCGTCTTCATTAGCCCAGTATAGGAGCAGAACAGTAGGACGTTAAACCCATTTCATTTCATTTTCATTTTGCATTATGTAAGAGCAGTATCTGCCTATTGCAGGTCTGTTTTGTGGCTTCAAATGTTATATAAATTATGAGTATTTAGTCATTTACTCACATGGCAAGGTGTTAATCAACTCTCTAGAATATCAGATGGCTGAGATTTAAATGGATATTAATACATGTGAGATTTTAAAATTTAACGATAAAATGCATCCGATCTGTATTAAATTTATATGCAATATTTGAGTTAGTAAAACAAAGAAACTTCTAGGGTTATGGTCCTTGTTTCACTTTGATAAACTCCCTGTGAACCCTTTGACTGTATTTAATTGATGTCAGTGTCTTGTAAATGCACTTATTACCTACAAAAGAATATATATGCGACAACAATTGTCGACTGCTAGGACTATTTACCTGATGTGGGCATATGTTTCTTTGCCTGGCAATCTATTTATTATTATTTATTATTTTTTTTTAACTATTATAGCAAGAATGGCTAGCTTTTATCTAAATTTTACACAATGCATCTTTAACATTTTATCATTGAGTCAGTTGGTGTGTTTTCAATTCCAAGCTTGCGTGACGAGTAGAGTTGCTTGCCTAACTGGGAATCAAGGTGGCTAAGTCGGTAAGATGCTGACTCAGTAGCATGGAGGTCGGGTGTTCAATCCCTGCATTGACCAAGAAAGTTCTTTCCGATTTTCCGGCGTGGTTCCCCCCTTGTCAGTGATGCAGGACGGAGGGCCTGACAAGGACAGCTGTCTAGTCCTTCAGATGAGACAAAAAACTGAGGTCCCGTGTATACATTGGAATGCACGTAAAAGATCCATTGGCAGTTGGAATTCGATATAAGAGTAGGCGATCGTGGCGCTGCCCGGGCAAAATTTCCCTCATAGCACACTGTATGGCGTATGCCCGTCTTCATTAGCCCAGTATAGGAGCAGAACAGTAGGACGTTAAACCCTATTTCTTTCATTTTTTCATTTCATTTCGCTTGCCTAACCATGTTTGATTCCAAAAGCTAATAAACACCTCTACAATGTCAAGTGAACTAGTTTCTGTTTAGTGGATATTAAACTATTAAGTCTACTCTGTGTGTTATATTAATGTTCTTCATTCTGTCACCATTGTTGACATTGATTTAGTTCTTTATAAATCCAAGTGACAAATATTCAGCTAATATTTATATATATCATGAGATCTAAGCTCTGCTCGAATTCAGTCTTCTCTTGTGGACCGGAACTGGATAGAACTTGATGGACTCCGCAGGATTGTTCTAGATTGAATCAAACTTGTTCATCCTATTATAATTGTTATGTTGTTTATCCTATTGTTATTTATATGTTGTTTTATCCTTTTATAATTGTTGTTATGTTGTTTATCTTGTTGTTTTATCGTATTATTATTATAATTACTTTTATTTCTGACGCATCTGGGGGGGTTGGATGGCCGAATGGTTAGCATGTGCGCCTGTATCATCCCTAATCATAAGGCCTGTCATTGAGTCAACTGGCGTGGTTTCGAATCCCCGGTTGTACGTGACAAGGAGTGGGGTCGCCTGTCCAACCTCGTGGGTTTTCTCTGGGGCCTCCGGTTTCCTCACACTGCTAAAGAACCCTACACGCAAGCGAATTATTGAAATGAATTTTAAAAAAAACATATGTTAGTCCCGAAATGACTTAGTTTGTGTCGAGTGAACGTTAAACTTCATTTCTCTCTGTCCCTTCAGATGTACCTATGATGGCTCAGTGAGTAGACGCTGGCTCGCTAACCTAGGTGTCCTGTGGTCCATCCCGTGTTGGACGAGAAAGTTCATCAGGATTTTCCGGTATGGTTCCCTCATGTCAGTGGTGCCAGAAAGAGGGGCTGGCAAGGGAAACATATAGTCATTTGGATGGGATGAAAAATCAAGTTGCCATGTACATGTACTCAATGGCGTGAACATAAAAAAATCCTTGAGAGCTGGAATTTGATATAACAGTGGGCTGTAGCGCGGCTGTCTGTGCAAAATTTCCCTCAAAACGCATGGTGCATATGCCCATCTTCATTAGCCCAGTTGGAGCAGAAAAGCAGTATGTTCAACCCAATTTCATTTTATTTTTTCAGGCAGCAAGAGTGGTGGGATGGCCAAATGGTTAACACGTGTGCACTGTACCATAAGGTCTGTCAATGAATCAACAGGCGTAATTTCGATTCCCCAGTTGTATGTGACAAGGAGTAGGGTCGCCTTTCCAACCTCTTGGGTTTTCTCTGGGTCCTCCGGTTTCCTCCCACTGCTAAAGACACCATACGCTCCAGCGAATTATTGAAATAAAATTGAATCCTATGTTAGTCCCGAGTGGATGTTAAACCCCATTTGTCTCTTTCTCTTTCAGGCAGCAGGAGGTGAGAAGAAAGAACATCTTTATAAGATTCTAGTCATAGGAGAATTAGGTACAGGAAAAACCAGTATAATCAAAAGATATGTTCATCAGTTCTTCTCACAGCATTATAGAGCAACTGTATCCTTTATTATTCCAAGAATAACAAAGTTAACAGGAGGGAGGATGTATTCCAATCTCATTAAAATACAGGTCCTATTTCGTTTTTTGTTTTTTTATAATTCAGAATTTAGTTTTACTTGTCTTTACTACCCTAGGATCTGGAAGAGTTGTTATATAACCCGCCTTGTGGTTGATGTGAGGGATTAGCCAATGAAATGGTCTGCTGCAGCGAGTTGCATGGAACTGTGGGTATCCTACTAGAAACATCAATGCTGATTGGTTAATCAAATGTCTAATGTCGTAGGGTCATGTAGTAGAGGCCATCAAAAGTTTAAAAAAACAAAATGAAATATAGATCAGTATTAGTTGTATGTCTGAGGAATATCTTGGAAGAATTTGGTAAGCATGTATCCGCAATATTTCTCTTATAACACACTGTCTGAGTATATCCGTATTTATTAGCCCAATTAGAGTAGAAAAGTAGGATATATAACTTCATTCATTCATTCATTCATTCATTCATTCATTTATATAAGACATGGTATTACACTAGAGACTGAAGCTTGATCATTGTGACGCAAATTGTCTGCACAGGAAACAGGAAGAAGTTTCAAGATTTAAAAAAAAAACATTTCCTCTTAAGAACGAGGTCTATCATTGTTCAGGAATGTTTGACGCTTTGACCTTTCCGTCAGAGACTTATACATGTAGCTCCTCCCACTTTCATAAACCTTGCCCAATGACGTCACCTTAGACAACATTGACTCAATTTTTAATCCTCCCTGTTAATTTTTCAGTTTAATTTATGAAAGAGCCTCCAAATTAAGGAAACGATTGATTTAGTTTAAACAATGTTTTATTCAATTTAATCAGATTGAAAAACAGTCAAGAGGCTAAATAAATTCTCTCCAAAAAAAGAGAGAGAGAGAAATGGGGTTGAACGTCCACACTGATACAAACTAGGTCATTTCGGGAGTAACTTATGGTTCAATTTTAATTCATTGATTAGCTTGCATGTAGGGGTATTTAGCAGTGGGAGGAAACCGGAGTACTCATAGAAAACTCACAAGGTTTTTATGTTATAAATTATAAAATAAAAACAGGAAAACACAACCATTGATCTACCAATGTGTTCACAGGCAGGGAGGGTGGGGTGGGGTGGGAGAGGGGAACAATGGGGTCCAAAGCCTCATTTGCTGGCTCAGAGCATATATTTTTTCTCTCCGACATTCATGGAGATAACATCGAAAAAACTAACATGCAAAATATTGCCGTTATTTTTGTTCACTCCACTAAAATCTTTTACATGTATCAACCTAAATGAACAAAGCGTCTGGTTTTTTTCAAATTCGTGGGTAGTTACCCTTGACTTGCGAAATATTGCCGTTATTTTTGCTCACTCCACTAAAATCTTTTACATGTGTCAACCTAAGTGAACAAAGCTTCTGATTTTATCCAATTCGTGGGTAGTTACCCTTGACTTAGCACAAAACTTAAATTCTTGAATTCTCTCCACCTTGGACACGCCCCTTTGTTCATAACTTGATGGCATTTATTTATGTAACAGAATTGATTCACCTACGATTAATCACACATTATGCAAGAGCTAAATCTGCCTATTGCAGGTCTTTCTTTAGGCCTATACAGTGATTTTAAGATAAGGTTTTCTTATCTAATCTTCCATAATGTATCTTTCAGAAGCACAAAAAGCAAACTTTAAGTGTGGAATTAGTTCTGTACAAGTGTTCATATTATTGTCCAGCGCCTTTTGAAGAAAGCAGGCGACTATTAAAATGGGTTCATCCGTCTGTCCGTCTGTCTGTCCGTCACACTTTTTAGGACACAATAACTCTCTTTCTAATTAAGCTAGAATGTTCAAACTTGGTGTTGGTGTTTATTTGGTCAATACCTTGATGGAGTTTGAAGATGAGCATTTTCGGCTTAGGGTAAGCAGAGATAAGCAATTTGATTGGTCGATGCTTTGGGACACGATCACTTTAGTTCTAATTAAGTGAGAGTGATGAAACTTGTTGTATGGTTTCATTACATCAATACCTTGACTAAGTTCGATAATGAGCATTTTCTGCTCAGGGTAAGCAGAGCGATAAGCAATTTGATTGGCCAAGATTTTGGAACACAATAACTCTCCTTCTAATTGAGCTAGAATGTTCAAACTTGGTGTAGGTGTTTATTGGGTCAATGCCTTGATGGAGTTCGAAGATGAACATTTTCTGCTTAGAGTAAGCAGAGATAAGCAATTGATTGGTTGATGCTTTTGGACACGATAACTTTAGTTCTGATTAAGTGAGAGTGAGGACACTTGGTGTATGGCTTTATTACATCAATACCTGTACTAAGTTCGATAATGAACATTTTTTGCTGAGGGTGAGCAGAGCGATAAGCAATTTGATTGGTCGAGATGTTGGAACACAATAACTCTCCTTCTAATTGAGGTAGAATGTTCAAACTTTGTGTAGGCATTCATTAGGTGAATCTCTTGACGGAGTTCGATGGTGAACATTGTCTGCTTAAGGTAGGCAGAGATAAGCAATCTGATTGGTTAATGCTTTAGGGGCACGATAACTTTGGTTATAATGAAGTGAGAGCGATTACCTTGACTAAGTTCGACTGTGCGAATTTTCTGTCTGGGCTAAGGAGCGATAAGCAATTTAATTGGTCAAGACTTTGGAACATAAAAACTCTGCATTTAATTGAGGTAAAATGTTTAAACCTGATGTAGATGTTCATAAGGTGAGTGTCTTGACTGATTTCAATGATTAACATTTCAAGCTAAAGCTAAGCAGATCTAATCAATTTCATTGGTCGATGCTTTGGGACAAGATAATCTTGATTCTATCTGATAGAGAGTGATGAAACTTAGTGTGTAGTTTAATTGCTCGATACTTTTGAAAAAAGATAAATGTGTGATTAATTAATAATGTGTGATCTATTTATTTTGGGATTTCGGCGGGGGACATCAATCTCACTGTTGGCTTGTTATTATTATTATTGATCTTTAATTAATGAAATAGATTGGTGTAGACTTTGCTTTAAAAGTATTAAATTGGGATGCAGACACATTGATAAGACTTCAGTTATGGGATATAGCAGGTACAGTATGGTTATAGTAGGGCTCGTGCTTCAGCCATATTTGTCAGCCTAGACTGACTGGCTTTCAAATTGACCGAAACAATAACTGACCTGTTAGTCAATTTATGTCAAACTTTGAATGTCAAAGAATTTACCCATACAACAGTAAGCACTGATATATTTAGAGCTTGTCTTCTATGTGTAAAAGCAATTTAAGATATATAGGTATCCAAAATATTTGGATAATATGAGAGAGAGAGAGAGAGTTTTACGTGACACAAACTAGGTCATTTCGGGTCATTGCGCGTAGGGGTCTTTAGCAGTGTGGATAAAATCTTGCCCTTATTGTTAAAATAGTTGGACATTCTAACTCTTGGGTTGATTGGCAGAAAGATGACCACCATCATGATCAGTCGCATTATTTCTGTCAGGTCTTTCTTGTAAATCAAATTTGTTTCATTTTGAGTGAATACAGGCCTGGGGCCTGTTTCATGAAATCTTAACTAAAGATAAAATCCAAATTTTAGTAGATACTTCAACTTTGATTGGCTAAGGACTAAAATCAATTTAATATTATCCAATCAAATTACTAAAATTTGAATTTTATCTTAGTTAAAGTTTCGTGAAGCAGGCCCCTGGTATAGCGCAGTTGATGCTTACGGCTGACCCCAAGCTCAGATATATATTAATATGATATTTTTTGTATATCTTGCAATGTCTATGTAGGTTACCTTGTCCACAGGTTTGTCTTATCAGTTTTGTGTTGTGTGCTGTTGTGTCCTCCTGCACTTAATATTTAAAAGGAGGAGTCCAGTCCTTACAGATTCTAATTTTACTTCTTTTGTCCATCTTTGTCAGTCAACAATGTAGGACGTTGTACCCTAAGTCATTTGTTTTGTTTATATGTTGGCAGGTCAGGAGAGATTTGGCAATATGACTAGGGTATATTATAAGGAAGCTGTTGGAGCTTTCGTGGTGTTTGATGTTACAAGAGCATCCACGTTTGAAGCAGTTTCCAAATGGAAGAATGACCTTGATAGTAAAGTTCAGTTACCAGATGGTTCACCAGTACCTTGTGTTTTATTAGCAAATAAAGTAAGTATTCCTCATTAGGTAGAGGTTTAACATCCAGTCAAAGTCGGGGGAAACTGAAGGACCCAGAGAAAACCAACAAGGTTCAGCAGGTGGTCCTACTCCTTGACATGTACAAGCAACGGATTGAGGCGCCCAGATTAAATGACTCAAGTGGGAACCAAGTTTGAAATATTGTAAGATTCTCTTCGGCCCACTACTTTGGCACAATGGAAGTTAATGAACGATTCACCAGCCAATGCTGCATGGTATTCTTGTTGAGAACCCAATGCTCTCCCCATTCAACTACTGCAGCTCCTGGAAGTTAATGAACGATTTACCAGTCAATGCTACGGGATATTCTAGATGACAGTCCAGTGTCTTTACTGTCTAGACTACTACACACCCCTGGAAGTATATGAAGGTCTCACAAGCCAGTGCTGAAGGGCTTTCTAATAGAGAGTCCAGTGCCTTTATTGACCACCCCTCCCCTCCCCCCCCCCCCCCCAAGCCGTTTAGGGTTGGTTCACCGGTTAATGCTGCAGAATTTTGATTATTAGCAATGTTGTCCTCGAGAAAGGGGCTGTCCAAACGTTCAACCAATATTTTATGCTGGTTATTTAATATAAAATCATAAATTGAAATATGTCAACGTTTTCTTACTCTGTTTGCGCGGGCAGGTGGGCGACTGGTTTTCGAGATCTATCCACAGGTTATTCGTTTGGAACAAGTGTTGAAATGGACCAAAATTCTGAAACCAGATACTTATTGTTAAAACATAGATCACAGAAGGGGGGTTGGATGGCCGAATGGTTAGCACGTGCGCGCACTGTATCATATGGTCTCTCATTGAGTCAACTGGTGTGGTTTCGATTCCCCAGTTGTATGTGTCAAGGAGAAGGGTCGCCTGTCCAACCTCATGGGTTTTCTCCGGGTCCTCCGGTTTCCTACCACTGCTAAAAGACCCCAACGCGCAAGCGAATTATAGAAATAAAATTAAACCATGTGTTAGTCCCGAAATGACCTAGTTTGTGTCGAGTGGACTCAAACCCCATTTCTCTCTCTCTCTAGATCACAGAATTTGATAAATAAATTGGTTCTACTTGAATTGTTTTATATTGATCACAAGAATTAAATAAATAAAATGGTTCTACTTTGTTTTACATTGATGTATTTTAGTGTGACCAAGCAAAAGAAGGTTTAGTGAATAACACCGCTCAGATGGATGAATTTTGTAAAGAAAAAGGTTTTATTGGATGGTATGAGACATCAGCTAAAGAAAATATTAATATAGATGAAGCGGCTCGTTTTCTTGTCACAAAAGTGAGTTATTACATTAAAGTTACAATTTCATATTTTTAAGTTATATTTTTAAAATGTATTAAAATAAAGCCCTAAAATAGATGGTATCTATAAACAGTCCTACCTTGTTAAAGAATAATCCTATTAATCCTATAATTCACTATTGCCAGTTGAGAAATTGGCAAAAATATAATTTTCAACTTCAAATTCAAACGTTTGAAGATAGCTATTCCATGGTGGGGAATAGGAAAACAAGGGAGGTAATTGTGTTATTATTTCCAGTGTGAAGATTTTTAAGTGTGAGAAAGATAACCTATGATCGTATAATAGCGAGTTGACAACCTATTGAGCAAAAAGACATAGAAATAATTATGTTTTGACTTTCTTAGAAAATATGAAATTGTAAATTTAAACGTGCATTGTGTTAGATTTAGACAAAGAGCTAACAGTTCTTGCTATAACAGTTAAAAAATGCATTATGTAAGATTTAGATAAAGAGCTAACAGTTCTTGCTATAACAGTTAAAAAATAGATAATGAAATGGACACAAGCTGAAAATTTCAGTAAAATTACCTCATCCTGAGCGGAGATATTGTCGATTACAAAACAATGTAGTCACGATTGTCATTGCTACCATTGTTACCATAATAAACAAAGTCTTGATTATCTATTTTTATATACCCACATTTTAGTGTTCAGGTATATTGTCGTCGCTCCTGTTCATCCGTCCGGCCAAAATTTGTTTGTGGATACTCTGCAGGTCACAATTTTTATCCGATTTTGGTTTATCTCCAAAAGATCTTGGTTCCTTTATAAATTGGGATGTATTGGACTGTAACTTCATGGATTGTGTCCCCTGATTGTATGAAAAGTCACGTTTTTAGCTTGTGGCCACTCTGGAGGTCACAATTTTTATCCAATTTTGATGAAACTTGAAATGAATGTTTATAACCCAAAGATCTCGGTTTCTTTTCGATATCGGACTGTAACTTCTTGGATTATGGCCCCTAAATCACGTTTTTAGTTTGTGGTCCCTCTTGAAATATAGCTCTTGAATAATGCCACTTTAATAATGTTCATCACTATATAAATGGCAGTTAAAATTATACTTTAGATAAAGATAAAGTCTGTTATTATGTATCATTCAAGCACTGAGTAAGATGTTGTCTTGCAAACCCTTGATGATTGGAATAATAAGAGTAGTGCTGCTGTCCGGGCTAAATTTCCCTCACTGCACACTGTATGGAATGCCTGTCTTCATTAGGCCAGCCGGAGCAGAACAGTAGAGCGTTAAACCCCATTTCATTTCACTCCAAGAGTTGGGGGGTTGGATGGCCCAATGGTTAGGGTGTGCGCGCCGTATCATAAGGGCTGTCATTGAGTCAACTAGCTTGGTTTCGATTCCCTGGTTGTACGTGACAAGGAGTTGGGTCGCCTGTCCAACCTTGTGGGTTTTCTCCGGTTCCTCCGGTTTCCTCCCACTGCTAAAGAACCCTATGCGCAGGCGAATTATTGAAATAAAATTGAACCATATGTTGGTCCCGAAATGACCTAGTTTCTCTCTCTCTCACCCCAAGAGTTATTTCCCCTTGCTTACTTTGAATTGCCCTGGCTAACTTTGTTGAATTTCCCTTACAGAACACTGCATGATGTATGCCCGTCTTCATTAGCAAAAAAGTAAGAAATGAAACCCCATTTCATTTCAAATATAAACACTATTTTTGAAGCACTGAATTTAGAACTTATAATAGTTTTTTTTAAGTATCATTGAATCGCTGATTTTAAAACTTATTAAAGCATGATTTTTATTCTTCTTCAGATTTTAGAGAAAGATAAAGCAATGAAACTAGGAGACAACGATCATGACAATGATAAGATAGTTATAGACTCTAACAGACCAGCCGGTGTAGAGAAAAAATCAACATGTTGCTGATAGTATTCACATGAATTAAATTTTTTATATTTTACTATTTTTATATAAATAAATTTGTACATTTATCTTTATATTGATATTATCGGCGAATTTTAAAGATGCATTATGTAAGATTTAGATAAAGAGCTGGCCGTTCTTGTTAATTCAAAATGAACATATTGAAAATTTCAGTCATATTACTTTATAATAAACAATAATGAATTATTAAATGGAGTGGTTATTCTAATCCATTTAATATCATGGCCATCTAATGATCTAGAATGCATCTTTAAATACAAACAGAGATTACTCTTATATCATTTTGAATTTGAGACAAGTGAATCAATCATTCATTTTTCGTTTAATACCCCATATTAACGGCTTACTCATGAAAACCTAACAAAAAATACAGCTTTTTCATTGGATAAGAGTTAAAATAAAATACAGCTTTTTCACTGGATAAGATTTAAAATGAAATACAGCTTTTTCATTCGATAAGATTTAAAATTCTAAAATAAATTTGAGCTCTTAGCCAATGAAAAGTCTGAATCCTTAATATATTTTAGTTTAAATTGTCATGCGTAAGGTCCAGAGTATTTAACTGAATTGAATTTAAAGCAGATAATTGAAAGTGGGGGCAATTCTTGATTCTCACTGATGAGAAAGAGTGACAGTATCATAAAGACCAACTGATAATCAGTTACGATATGTATCACAAAGTTGTCATAATGCAATAGATGTTTCGCGATACCTATTACTACGTAGTTGTCACGATACATATTGCAATACCAATGTGTCGCAATACCTATACCTATTGCTATGCAGATGTAACGCCGCTACAATTCAATTAGCAATCCACAACCAGGCCACAAATTTTACAAGAAAACCCAACTTTGATACTGAATAGATTAATATCTGTATTTTAAAGTAAGGCCACACCAATTTTATTTTCTGTTCTCTGGGAACACTGGTAAACATTAAAAAAATCCAAAGTACTTGGTTGCACTGTTCAAAAAGATTTTAGTTCCAAATTTTAAGCTCAACATCTTTCATGTACGGTAGCAGATTTAGGACACGGAAAAAAAAAAAATATCTCGTGCAAGAGGGGGGGGGGGGGTATCCACTCCGTCACTTCAGTTTTGGATGGGCTGAAAAAACGAACAATTGAATATCTTTATTCTGCAAGTTTATCATCAAATTATGCACAAAATTATACAGCTTAAAACATCGGTTGAGACATTTTCGGTTGTATTAACTCGAGCGCTCAACTTAATTATTTTGAGCGCTCGACTTAATTATCTCAAGCTCTCGAATTAATTATCTCAAGCGCTCGACTTATCATCTCAAGCACCCAAGATATTATTTTTTCTTTGCGTGTCCTAAAACGGCCACCGTATTCATGTGATTTAAGTGGCTGTTTTTTTTATCAATGCCTTGTAAAACTGAAAATCAAATTAGTTTGGTCTGAGTAGATTATGAATATTCTGTTAACATGAGTTGTGACAGAGTTTTTCAGTACAATGTGAGTCATTTTGTACCAGATATCTGTAAAATATATAGAATAATTTATAACAATCTCAAGTATCATAACTTATGATTAATTAGATAAAGTGTGTTGTGAACAGTGAACCATATATCATGCTCAATTGTGTTAAAACGCACTGAGGTCATTGACTGGAGAAAAACTGTTAAATACTAAACAGTGGGGTAGGTGGAGGTAATCTGTGTAGCAGCAAACTGTCTTTTTAAGGATCTCAAGATGCTTGGTGGATCAATGAGTGGTCGTGAACAAAATAAGTAAAAGTACCCTAACCCAAGAGAGAGAGAGAGAGAGAGGGAGAGGGAGGGAGGGAGAGAGAGAGGGAGAGAGAGAGGGAGGGAGAGAGAGAGAGAAGAGAGAGAGAGTCCACTCGACACAAGCTAGGTCATTTTGGGACTAACATACGATTCAATTTTATTTCAATTATTCTCTTGTGCGTAGGGGTCTGTTAGCAGTGGGAAGAAACCGGAGGACCCGGAGAAAACCCAGGCGACCCTAATCCTTGTCACGTTGGACAGGCAACCTTAATCCTTGTCACGTACAACCGGGGAATCGAAACCACGCCAGTTGACTCAATGGCAGACCTTACGATACAACACGCACTCGCTAACCATTTAGCCATCGTATCCCCCTCTAACCCAAGAGACTGTATCGATCGGATTAGTTTATCATAATAAGGTTTTGGTCATAATCGACCATCATCAGATGGTGATCACGTGGCTAAGTGGGTAAGACGCTGGCTGGCTAGCCTGGAGGTCGGGTGTTCGATCCCTGCATTGCCTGAGAAAGTTCATCCAGATTTTCCGGCCTGGTTCCCCCTTGTCAGTGATGTAGGACGGAGGGCCTGACAAGGACAGCTGTCTAGTCGTTCGGATGGGACAAAAAAACGAGTTCCTGTGTACACATTGGTGTGCACGTAAAAGATCCCTTGACATTTGGAATTCCATATAAGAGAAGACCGTAGTGCTGCTGTCCAGGCAAAATTTCCCTCATAGCACACTGTATGGTGTATGTCTGTCTTCATTAGCCCAGTTCGGAGCAGAACAGTAGGACTTTAAACCCCTTTTCATTTCATTTCATTTCCATCATCAGATACATCAGAAGATCGATTAAGATCGAAACATTAACATTTTAAACTAATCAACACAGTGTCTGTTCTTCTTGGGTTAGGTTCTCAATCCTTTACTTCTTTGTTTAAAACATCGAAACCATGCCACTTGACTGAACGACAGACCTTATGATCTAAAGGGCACATGTTAATCATTCCACACACCCCCCCCCCCCCCACTGGTATCAATGTAAACAGCTGTAAACTGAAGTTTATTAGTATTTATATGTACCTGATGTGTTCAAATTAATGTTTTTAATTAATATCTGTACATTTAACATTCAGTTATAGATTATAATTCTATAAATACCGGTAGTTTGAACTTCTTAATATTCACCACCTTATAGACAGAGATAGACTTGTCAGCAACAGATCAGTTTATATTTAAAGATGCATTATGTAAGATTTAGAGAAAGAGCTGGCCATACATGCTATAATTGTTCAAAAATAGATAATGTATATTAAAAATTTCATTCAAGTTACTTGATTCTATGTTATCACTGATTGAAGTTTTGGCATAGATTACTTAAGGTTACTTGTTAATTGACTCAGTCTCGCTTCTCCATTTTTCAATTAAATCATTGAATGGCAATCCAATTCGTGTACATTAGATATTCTAGATAGTTGATTGTCATGTGAATAAATGTCTAAATAATAGTTTATTTTATATAAAATTTGATCATTTGAAGCCAAAATAAAGACCTGTAATAGACAGATTTAGCTCTTACATAATTCATCTTTAAAGGGTGTATTGCTCTATTCTTTGAAGCCGTAAAAAAAGACAAAAATGTGTCTCAAAGCACACAATAATGTAATATGAATGTATATAAAGAGATTTATGTTCAATTTTAAAACAATTTATTGTAATTTGTAATCTATTATGTGTGGTGAAATATGTGAACAGTAAAAATTGTTCTTGCTCACGTAAAATTGTTTGAATGTACAAAATGAATAATACTCTAGAAACAACATTAATTGCTAGATTAGTTAGATGAAGAATCCTGTTCATTTTCAGAGATTTCTTATAATTACATTTAGAGTTATTGTCCTTGCTCACGTAAAATCGTTTGAATGTACAAAATGAATAATACACTAGAAACCACATTGATTAGTTAGATGAAGAATCCTATTCATTTTCAGACATTTTTTTATAATTATATTTAGAGTTATTGTCCTTGCTGACATAAAGTCTTTTGAATGTACTAATGACCAAAGTGATCATACTGCTTATGATTTATATAGTTTGTCTAGATTAGTGATATGAATAATCCTATAGAAGTTCAACAATTTCTGATAAAAATTACTCCGAGAGTTGGAGCCAATGTGGCTAAGTGAGTTAGACGCTGGCTCGCTAGCCTAGGATTTCAGCTTAGTTTGGTCCCGGTGTTGGCCGAGAAAGTTTATCAGGATTTTCCAGCGTGGTTTCCCTTTGTCAGTGGTGCTGGATGGAGTGCCCGACAAGGACAGCTGTCTAGTCGTTTGGAAGGAACGAAAAACGATACTCCTTATACCCATTGGCAAGCAGGTAAAAGATCCCTTGACAGTTATAATTTGATATAAAAGTATGCCATAGAGCCGCTGTCTGGGCAAAATTTCCCTCATAGCACACTGTATGGCGTATGGCCGTCTTGATTAGCCCAGTCGTCTTGATTAGTCCGGTCGGAGAAGAACAGTAGCAAGTTAAATCCCATTTCATTTCATTCCTAGAGTTATTTCCCCTTGCTTACTTTGTTGAAGTTGAATTGCCCTGGCTAACTTTGTAGAATCTTATAATTGTGAGTGTCTAGTCACAAAGATATTCAGTGGCGCTACAGCCAGCATCGAATTCCAATTGCCAAGGGATCTTTTATGTGCATGCCAAATGTGTGCACGGTAGCTAGGTATTTCGACTATGCGGTGTGCCTTCCCAGGCCCTGCTGCCTGGATAACTGACAAGGGGGAACCAAGCCAGGAAATCTGAATAAACTTTCTTTCTCAACACAAGGATCAAACATGGGACCTCCAGATTAGTGAGCCAATGTCTTACTCACTGAGTCACCACGGTTCCTGTTAACCACGAGAGAAGATGTATTTAATATTTCCCAAGTGCTTGCTCATTTGTTAAACTTTAGTAATAGATTTTATATTGATATACATTATCTGTGTTGTTGATACTATATTAAGCCTATAAAATGTTTATCATTACTTCTGGTCTATACAGCGCAAGAACTTTTATCCATTGTTCGAATTCTTTAAAAATAAAAAAAACTGAGATAAGATTTTGTTTTTTCCTTAAATTAACAGAAATAATGATAAAACTCCTAAATATAAATCAATTGGCGAAAATTGGCCGTTCTGTTATCGATATATAGCTGCTTCCATTACAGTAAACTATAACACATATTTATTGAAAACAGCTACGAGATTGGAAGTATTATTTTCTTTTAAAGGCATTTAGTAACTGGATAGAGTAATAGACTATATAGAATAATTATGGAAAACATCCACTAACCCTTTTGGGCCAGGTTATTAGTTTCATAACCATGTTGAAATAATACTTTTCCAAACATTGTCCCAATAGAGTACTGACTGTTTTCCATAATAAGGCGTTATGGTTTATTAATTAGAAGGATGGCCTTGTACATTTAGTAGCTGTATTCCATTGTCCAAATAGAGTACTGGTTGTTTTCCATAATTAGGCATTATGGTTTATTACTTAGAAGGATGGACTTGTACATTTAGTAGCTGTTTTCCATTACTTAGAACTATGACATATTTAGTTGTTCTATGGCCTTATACATCTGGTAGCTGTTTTACAATATTTATAAGTATGACCTTATACATTTAATTGCTGTTTTCCATTACTTACATTTTTGACCTTATACATGTGGTATAGAAGTATGGTCTTGATATTTAGCAGTTGTTTTCCATTGCTTTATACATTTAGTAGCTGTTTTCCACGTGAATAGTTTGATACTAATTATTGGTCTAATTAAAGCGCCTCAAGCTAGACGATAAACCTTAGAAGTATGGCCTTATGCTTTTAGTACCTGTTTTACATAGAAGTATAACCTTATACTTAGAGTATATTCAGTTAAAATCACAATAAGGTAGTGTAAATACTTCTTTTTATGGTGATTTTCATATTATTGCTTATAATTATCAAATATTTTGTGATGCCATATTTACAGAATATAATTGTTATTACATAATTTATATATTCTCTTTGGGTTTTTTTATACGCCACATGGAAATGTGGTTGTATATTGCCGTCGCCTTCGTCCGTCCGTCCGTCCGTCGTCCACAATTTCTTGTGAACACTACAGACTACATTTATCATCTGATTGTTTTGAAATTGATATATGTTGTTTATAGTGGCGAGAAGAAGACTCCTATTTAACTTTAATAATTTCCGTTAATTAAGTTTAAAGCTTTGGCCCTTGTTTCACTGTGTTGCACCTTGTGAACGCTCTAACGACAACCGATCCGTATGACATTTATATGCATCATTTAGATTAGTGAAACGAACGAGCCTATTGAATTTCAGCGATTTCTATTAATTACGTCTAGAGTTATGGCCCATTTTTCACTTTGCTGAACCTTATTGTGAACGCTCTAATAACAAAAGTGATCATCCGATCTGTATGAAATTTATATGCATCATTTAAATGAATGAAACGAACGATCGTATTGAATTTCAGCAATTTCGATTAATTACGACTAGAGTTATGGCCCTTGTTTCACTTTGTTGAACCTTGTGAACGCTTGAATGACAAAATTTATCACCCGATCTGTATGGCATGTATATGCACCAATAAGCATACGAGCTGGGTGGGGGGGGGCCATTTTGGGCACCAAATGATGGGAAAATGTGGGCACACAATTGTACTTTGTAAAAGTTGTATAAAAAAATATTGCGTTCTTGAATGTGTCCAATTTAACAGCGAATTTATTATTATTATTATGTAACATACTAAGAACCTAACTACATTTTTTGGGCACCCTGTATGTCTATGTGCACCATTTAAATTAGTAAAACGAAGTAGCCGATTGAATTTGAGCAATCTCCATTTATTACTTCTAGAGTTATGGCCCTCGTTTCACTTTTTTGGACCTTGTTAACGCCCGAACGACAAAAGTTATCATCTGATCTGTATGAAATATACATGCATCTTTTAAATTAGTGAAACGAAGAAGTATATTGAATTTCAGCAATTTTAATTAACTACGTATAGAGTTATGGCCCTTGTTTTACTTTGCTGAACCTTGTGAAGGCTCGAACAACAAATGTTATCATCCGATCTGTATGAAATTTATATGCATTACTTAAATTAGTAACACGAAAAAGCCTTCCAGAGTAGATACCCTGGTTTCAGTTTGTAGAACCACGTGGACCCTCAAACGACAAATATTATAATCTGATCTATGCAAAATAGTTTTGTAAATGTCCAACATTTAGCTGCCTTGGGCATATATATGTTTGGTTTATTAATGGGGGGGGGGGGGGGCTGGATCACCTTTTGTTATCTTTTCTGACTCATTTCAATTACAGAAACACATAACATTTGGGATACTGTTACAGAAACACACATCAGCTGTGATACTGTTACAGAAATACACATCAGCTGTGATACTGTTACAGAAACACACATCAGCTGTGATACTGTTACAGAAACACACATCAGTTGTGATACTGTTACAGATACAAACATCAGCTGTGATACTACAGAAATAACCTTGGTACTAACATTAATACAAGGGACAGAACAATTGGTTGATATGTGCAATTCTTTAAAGATTTAGGAGCATTAAGGTTTATAAGCAATTCAAATGATAGAATTAAATGTTTTAGGTCTACAGGATCCATTGTTATTAATTATTTATTGTTTCCGAAGGTGAGTGGTACAGGACGGTCCCGTAATCCCAGTTACAGTGACTGTCCTCTGGGGTGGGAAATATACGCCCCCTAATTGAAAACGTATTGACTTGGTATTGTGAAGATTATATTACAGCTGTACCTGGTGTATAATACTGCAGGATACAGGGTGGGGATGTTTTCGTTCTCAAATAAAATAGTGTTGTTTTTTAAAGTTTTTTTTTTGGGGGGGGGGGGGACTGACTTCTTTCTGCCTCCCTCACTAAATAACCTTGTGGGTTTCCCCCCCCCCCCTTGTGAAGACCCCTAGGCGCAAGCGAATTATAGATATACAATTGAACCAATGTGTTAGTCTCGAAATAACCTAGTTTGTGTCGAGTAGACGTTAAACCCCACTTCTCTCTCTCCCTTACTAATAATTATGGCTTATGGCTGTTGTCGCAGCGATGGCTTGGGTAAATTAGGCATGTGTACGCAGAGCATATTTTTTTTTCTCCTGCACCTCGTTTGTCTGACACATTTTCTGCACAGCTTCTCTTTGTCAGTGGTGCAGGACGGAGGGTTTGACGGAACGAAAAACCGAGGTTCCGTGTACACATTGACGTGAACGTAAAGGGACCATTGTCAGTCTGACTTCAATATGAGAGTAGGACATAGCGCCGCAGTTCGGGCAAAATTTCCCTCATAGCACACTATATAGCACATGTCCCTCTTCATTAGCGCAGTCGGAGCAGAACAGTTGACACTATAGCTGACTATCCCCCTACATAGCTTGTGGGCCTATAACGGACTATCCCCTTACATTGCTGGTGGACCCTGTAGCGGACAATCCCCTACATAGCTGGTGAAACCTCTAATTGACTAGCACCCTACATAGTAACATAGCTTGTGGACCGTTTAGCGGACTATCCCCCTACATGTTGGTGGACCCTCTAGTGATCACAATTTGTATTTTCAACAAACGGATCAGTTTTGACAGAGATTGTCGCTGGTGGGATAAATAATGTATTGATGTTTATAGCCACTGGTTGTTAGTGTAAAGAAAGGGGAACACGGTGACTCAGTAAGTGAATCTCTGGCTCATCCACCAGGAGATTCTAGTAGTGGCCGAGAAGGTTCCTCGGAATTTTTCACCGTGGTTGTCACGATAGACGTTCTGGGAAGGAACACCATCTGATGGGTTGGATGATACGTTGGCATGTACCTAATAGAGAGAGAAATGGGGTTTAACGTCCACTCAACACAAACTAGGTCATTTCGGGACTACCATATGGTTTAATTTTATTTCAATAATTCGCTTGAATTAGCAGTGGAAACCGGAGGACCCGGAGAAAAACCCATGAGGTTAGACAGGCGACCCTACTCCTTGTCACGTACAACCGGGGATTCGAAACCACGCCAATGACAGACTTTATGATACAGCGCGCGCACGCTAACCATTCAGCCATCCAACCCGTAATAGAACCTTCGAAAGTTGGAATTTGTCAACATCTCCCTTAGGCCGGGACTGTCTTTATTACCCCAGTTGGTGCAGAAAAGTAGGACGTTAAACCCCATTCCACTTCAATTTTGTTATGAAAATATAAATGAACAAAACAACAAAGATGGCTACCAACATGTATAACTTTATGGTGAATATTTCAACTGGTTAACTATGACATATATACATCTATTTTACAGTATGTTTTAGAGTAAGTTTTATATATTTGTTGATACAATAACCATGTAGTGACAGGATAGAGCAAATAATCTAACACCAATTAGTAATATATTTTGGCGATGTGTCGAAAGGTATTCTCTCAAGCTGTCTAGTCCTTCGGATGAGACGTAAAACCGAGGTCCCGTGTATATATTGGAATGCACGTAAAAGATCCCCTGGCAGTTGGAATTCGATATAAGAGTAGGCGATAGTGCCAATGCCTGGGCAAAATTTCCCTCATAGCACACTGTATGGCGTATGCCCGTCTTCATTAGCCCAGTATAGGAGCAGAACAGTAGGACGTTAAACCCCATTTCATTTCATTTTCATTTCTCAATGTTTTCAAGCAAGTACAGTCACAATTGTGCAGAGCAATAACACCAAATCAGACAAAAGCAAACCAAATCAGACAAAAGCAAGACCAAAAGCAAGATACGTGGCCAAAATCAATTAGTAATAGTTCTTCCATAAGTGTGTGTGTCATAGAATATATAATAACCAGCACAGGGTAACATAACCAACCGTATCTTTGATAACCAGCACAGGTTAAGATATCATATCTTTGATAACTAGCACAGGGTAAGATAATATATTATATCTTTGATAACTAGCACAATGTAAGATGACATATCATACATTTAATAACACAGGGTAAAATGAAATATCATAACTTTTATAACTGACACAGGGTAAGATAATATATTATATATTTGATAACACAGGGTAAGGTAATATTTCATAGCGTTTGGAATTAGTGTGAGTTAAATAATGGGATATCACTGGTTCTATAACACCTGTTCTGATGATATCATTAAGATAAGGTAACAATTATAAAGAATGATAATATTAATAGTCCAAGAGCCAGTGACGAAAAAACTGCCTCATAAGTAATAGAAGGTTTGACTATATTAATTGGCAGCTATTGATAGGGCAAATTCAAAACACCCAGTCTTACGAGGTTTCAGTGGGGCATTTGGCTGGGAGGGGCAGATAAAAAGGGCCAAAAAGGACTAAAATTTGCCTCATAAGTAATAGGATCAGAATTATTTCTAAAATGTTGCCATACAATGTATGAATATAAAAAATATAAATCTGACCAGAAAAAGTGGGGCCATGCCCTTTTCTGACTGCCTTAAAAAGTGCTGACGGGGGCCAAAATTTGCCTCATAAGTAATATAGTTGAAATTGGTGCCAAATGTTAGCTATGTACGAGCCGATTTTAAAAATATCAAATCTGACTGGTTTCAGTGGGGCATATCCCTAATCTGACCACTTAAAATCTGCCCGATCTGCCACGCCCACAAAAAAGGTCAAAATTTACATCATAAGTAATACGATCAGAAATAGTTTTGAAATGTTGTGGTGCTATATCTGAATCTTAAAATGTAAAATCTGACCGGAAAAAATGGGGCCACGCCCCTTTCTGACTGCTCTAAAAAATGTGGACGGGGGCCCAAAAATGCCTCATAAGTAATAAGACTGAAATTGGTGCCAAATGTTAGCTAATTATGAGACTATTCTAAAAATATCAAATCTGACTGGTTTCATTGGGGCAAACCCCTAATCTGACCACTTAAATGTGCCGAATCTGCCACGCCCACAAATGGGGTCAAAATTTGCCTCATAAGTAATATGACTGAAACTAGTGCCAAATGTTAATTATGTATTAGTCGGTTCTAAAAATATAAAATCTGATGGGTTTCTGTGGGGCAAACTCCTAATCTGACCACTTAATTGTCACCAACCACCCAAAGGTTGAATACTCATGCTTGATTTCAATTCAAATTTAAATCTATAATCTAACTAATTTGACACCCCACTATTAATTTACAGTTTTCAACAACATAGTAGAAATTCAATACAGCATGGCTGGCCTCCAAGTGACATGATTCTCCATTAAAGGAGTCAAGTCTTGAACTCAATATCATCCCAAATTTTCAACCAAGTGATACAATTCTCCATTAAAGAGGCCAAGTCTTGAACTCAATATCATCCCCAATTTTCAACCAAGTGATACGATTCTCCATTAAAGGGGCAAAGTCTTGAAGTCAATATCATCCGTTTTCAAGGTTGCAAACACGACTTAAATGGTCAATTTAAATCAACATACATTGATGTTGTTATCTTACCATGAAAAGTTGAGCTTCTGGCATTTAAGACAAAATGAAATTTTAAAATTGGCACACGAATCGTGTGTCAGAACATTTTTGAGCGCAATTTGTATGAAGCGACTTGATGAACGAGGCTAAACATATCCCATGTAGGAGAATACTACCAGTGTAGACTGGAATAACCAGATGCCAAAGACTACCATTCAATTCGGACTCGTTGCCTATTTCGCCAAACATTACTGATTAGAAATTACAATAATAACCGAAACGATTGAATGTAAACCAGTTTATATACATTCATATTACATTATTTTATGTGTTGTGACCCATTTGTGTCCATTTCCAGGTGCCAAAGAATAGCGATTATAATATTAAATTATTTCATGACAATATCTTTTATACAAGAATCTATTATTGAACAAGGAAACGTAAACATAACAAAAGAGCTGTATAGTCAGTACATTGCCAATCTGTTAGAAGTATATACCAGTTTTTCAGAGGATGGCAGCCAAGATAATAATATATTTGGTGATTTTACTATTTTCAATTTTGAAAGGAAGATAGTGGATTACTTTGGACCACAGAAATTGACATTATTATCATCAAATACTAAAGGAAATATCATTTATAACAATAGAATGAATGTTGAAGAGGCCATTAAAGAGTGTGTTCTTAGAAAATCATCGATAAAAGCAAAGATTCGTGACATGGCATACATATTACGGAAGGAAATACTAAATATATCAAAGTCCACTTTATCATCAAAATTATCAGTGCAGGATATAATTCAAGGAGAGGTTTCTGTACCAGATTTATTAATCGACTTTTTACTCATTTATTAGGCGGGCCTGGCCAGAGAGGTAGGAAAACAGAAAAAAATGTAAGAAAAATTTCCTCAATTTCTCAAGATGCCATGTACACTATTCGTGTGGCAAAATTAAAACTTCCAAACATTTGACTCTTGTAATGGCGATGAAGAGTATAACAGGAAACCTAAGAAAAGTAAT